AAAAAGCGAGTAAAGGATTGGTCTCCGGCCCGTACTAGCCGTGTGGTTGACAAAACATTGTTAATTTCAATCCAAAACGTCCTTCCTTCACGGAAGCATTTCAGTAGTTTTAGAAGCCAACCCTTTTGGATTAGCTCAAAGAGGAGGCCCGCGCGCCACACCTTGTCAAAGACTTTTGAGACATCCAAAAGCAAGATACCAGTACTCATGCTGAGGGTGAATCCTCCGGTCACGTGTTCCTCCTGCCTGACTGTCTGTAGCTCGGTACTAAGCTCGGACCGAAAGCCGAATTGTACGTCAGGAATCACATGGTGATTTGACGAAAAATTCTTACGATAAATCGCCTTAACGGAGCTGACAGCAGACTAATGGGACGGTAATCCTAAGGAAGTGTCGAATCCACCATTTAATTTTGATGGCGTCAGCGAAAACCTCGACCTTATTCTCCGTTCTAAAGACTACGCCTTCAGGACCGTGGATGTGCGGGAGTTGTTCTTACTTTCCGTTTTTGAGTAACTTTGCAACCCTCCAGAGAGGAATACTTGAATCAAGCATTCCCGCCAGACAGACACTCCATTGCTCGTTGCTGAATTCGTGGAGTGCGTTTCTCACTTCATGGACCAGATTTGTAGCCCTACGAGTGCCATTAGGATGTCAAGACCGTTTTGCCTGCTTAATAGCGGCTCTTTTGTCAGAGATTTTCTGAGGAATGTTCGCAGGCAAAAAAGGTATGTCGTGTCGTTGTACAGGAAGTACAGCTGCACGCTGTAGAACTGTTTGAATGAAACTTGTCAACTCCGCTTGAGCGGCACCTATTCCAGCATCATCATCTATGATCGGGATATTGGGAACTCTCTAAGGAACAACTTTTATAGCTCCCAATCAATACGTTTCCACGGAGGAGCTTCCTCCTCATTGCCCACATTCAAGACAACAGGTAGATGATCTTCTAGCGATACCATACAAGATTCGAGAAGAGATACTGTACCTACAGTTTTTGGATATCGGCAAGTCAATGACATCTGGTGCCTGAAGATGGTTGAATGGGTGGTTTGTCGGCTCTTCAGTGTTATCTATAAGGTACACATTTCGCATCACATGGTTGTACAATTGAATCCCATTAGTGGAATTCAACCTAGAATTCCTTGCTCGACGTTTCCAGTTGAAGTCCTCTGCCACAATAAGCGGACCCGAGTAGTCCAAAAGGACCTCCGGATCCGCCTCAACGAGATACCTTCCGCCATATGACCACCACAGAAGCTGCTTGGATGCGGTGCTTCTATAATAGTCTATACCACGTTTAATCAACACTGCTAAACCGCCACCTCGACCATTCGAACTGTCACCTCGGATAACATCATCATTCGGAAGAGCTCCAACGTTTCCTGCAGCAAGGCAACATCTATACCTTCATCCAAAAAAGCCATAAGGGAAATGGCTGTTTTTTGGGAATATCCCTTATGCCCAAACAATTCGAAAAAAAAAGAATTTTGATGAATACTTTTGTACCTAGTCATTTATAGGAAAGATCGCCTGCAACGCTTGGGTAGCGCTAGTCAGTGAGCTTATTATTTTTTGTAAGGACCTTAGCACGGTTGCCAGGTCCACATGTTGCGTGCTCAAGGGAGGTTGGGCAGAGGGGGCAGGCAAGGTTGCCCCTCTAGCTGCATTCGCGTATGACAGATTGCGCCTTTGCGCTATAAGTTGAATGACATCTGCGTCAGTGGGCCCATGTTGTTTGCTTCTGCTTGGTTTCCGTCACCTCTCAGCTCTCTCCCCTTAATTTGTGGAACTGCATCATCTCTTGACCCTCTTGGATCAACTTTCATCTTTAACAACTTTTTCTTGCCAAGAAGAAGCTCGCGTTTGAGGAAGCATGCTCTGCTACAGAAGAGTAAATAAAAATGGAATGTTGACAACACTAAGCTCTTAATCGACTTTCAATTAAATGAACGTATAAGATTAATATTACTAACAGTGGCGGCTCGTGAGGTAGTGCCACGATGCCATGGCACTACCTTGTCTTCTTCAAAAAGAATATTTTTTTCAATCTTCAATGTTTTACTTTATTTTTTGCTTTTTCATTTTTTTTTGGTATAAATTATATGAAGTGACAACACTGACAACGTGACAACACCGCAAGCACCCGAACCACGCGACGAGATATAAAGCATGCCTTGACCTTGACGTCATCAACTTGTGCCAATGTCGGGCCGGCCCAAATAAAAAGAGAGAAATTTTACCAGCATCGCATACGAGCGACAGAGATAACGCTACAATACACATTTTTATATGAGGTGAATAGCGAAAGACAAGTATAATTTGTGCCAGGCACATCATCAGTCGTAATTCGTTATCAAATGATATCGGCGGTGTTTTTGTTCGGTCGGTCGTTTCGTTATGATTACGTCTAGTGCTGATTTCGGTCTTTTTTTACCTGAAAAGTGAGAAATAACGTTTTTGTTTTAGTACGTCTAGTGTTAATGAACTGCTCTGTTTTGTGATCATATTTTTTACTGTTTTATTAAAACTAGTGAAAATGAATAAAATCGGGATATTAAAAAACTCATTTAGTGGTTTTTCGCTGGATCAAAAACTGCAAATTAAAGAATTAGGACGGCCAATACCCGATTTAAAAATTGAGAAACAAAGTGGTAGCGGACAAAAATCGCGCTGTCGCAAATTTAATAAAAATGTGTACGATAAAAACAGCTGGATATGTGGTTGTGAAGAAACGAATAAACTATTTTGTTTTGTATGTGTTCTATTTGGAGGTGACGAGACTTGGTCAAAAAAAGGTACAGATGATCTTATACATATATGGGATAAAATGAAGACCCACGAAAAATCTAAAGTCCATATGAATAATGTTTTTAGCTTTTCTATTCTTGGTAAATTAAATATAAGGACTCAACTCAATTCGGCTTATCGCAATGATCTAATTAAACATAATAATCAAGTGGATAAGAATCGATATGTATTGAATAAAATTATTAATTGTATAAGGTTTTGTGGAGCATTTGAGTTAGCCTTAAGGGGTCACGATGAAAAGGAAAATTCGGAAAACAGAGGCATATTTAAGGAGCTGGTGAATTTTAGCGCCGAATTAGACAACGAATTGAAAGTCCATATTCAAAGTGCCAAACTTTTCAAGGGTACCTCAAAAACAACTCAAAACGAGCTTCTTGAGTGCATGCTAGATGTTTATCATGAAGAAGTTAAGAAGGAGATTGCAAATTCTCCTTTTGTTGCAGTAATTGCCGATGAAACGACTGACGTAGCCTGTGAATTTCAGTTAGTTATTATTTTCAGATATTTGTGTAAAGGACAACCAGTTGAGAGATTTTGGAGATTTTACGTCCCCGACGGACACGATGCCAAATCAATCGCTGCATGCGTTTTAAATGTTGTAAATCCATTAATAGATCAAAATCCAAACAAATTAATAGCTCAAAGCTATGATGGTGCGTCTGTTATGAGTGGTGAATTGAATGGCGTTCAAAAGATTATTAAGGAAACTTATCCACTTGCAAATTATGTTCATTGCTATGCACACCAGTTAAATCTAATTATGACAAGCGCATGCTCTGTCAATAAGCAGGCTAGAATATTTTTCCATAATTTATCTGGATTGTGCTCTTTTTTTTCGACGTCTCCTCAAAGAACAAAAATTTTGGATGAAATAGTTAATCGCAGATTGCCAAGATCTTCCCAAACACGTTGGAATTTTCAGTCACGAGGTGTTCATACAGTTTATGAAAATAGGAAAGACCTGATTGAAGTTATGGACAATATAGAAAGTACTTCACGCGATTCTTCGTCGATTAATCAAGCCAGTGGGTACAAATTAAAGCTGCAAGATACAAATTTTGTATTTTGGCTAAGTATATTCCATAAAATAATGCCACATGTTGAAATTGTCTTTAACCAATTACAAAAAGTATGCACCGATTCTGTTAAGGTCAAAAATGATTTAGAGAATTTTGAAGCAGCAATTCAAACTATACGAGAACAAATGGATAGCATTATTGACGAGATTGAACGAGTGCAGAGAGAAACTGATGAACCGGCAAGAAAAAAAAGGCAAGTTGAAGAAGGCAGCAAAAAACGGGAAGCGTTAGAAATATGCGATGCAGTATTATCGCAAATAAGAACAAGATTTAACTTTTCTGGGCATTTAGTTGCTTCTAATTTATTTGTGTCTGAAAAGTTTTCTGTTTATAAACATCAGTTTCCTGAAGCACATTTAAATGACACATGCACACAATTTTCATTTTTAGACAAAAACAGGCTTAAAACTGAGTTACAAGTATTATATCAGAGAGAAGAATTGAGTACTACTTCTGGAGCTGTTCCACTATCCATTTTATTGAACGAGGAAGGATTAAATTGTACGTTTCAAGAAACTCTTAAGCTCTTAAGTATTTTAATCACTATACCGATGTCAACATCTGAAGCAGAACGCTCTTTTTCAATGCTGAAACGGATTAAAACTTTCCTCAGAAACACAATGAAGGAAGAAAGGCTTAGTGCTTTAGGAATGCTGTCTGCAGAAAAACATTTTGTTAGTGGCATTGAAAATTTTAATAATAAGGTAATCGAAAACTTTGCTACCAAAAAAGAAAGAAGAATGGACTTCATGTATAGAAAACTTTGAAGTTATAGGTACTTCTCCACACTTGTTTTATAATTTGGTGCGCGTGTGTAATTAGTTTTATTTTTGATTTTTTTTTGGACATATAGATTTATTGAACCTCAAGAACTTTGACCACTAACTATCAGGGGTAAGTTATAAGTTATTCTTTACAATTTTGAATCGATTCAAAATTATGGCTTCCATTCTGGCACTACCTCACTGAATTGGCACGAGCCGCCACTGATTACTAATAACATTATTGAAATTCGTTACAATTATCCATACTTGCCTATGTAATTTTCGTTTATGATTATTGGAACTCCAATAATTAACTCAAGATCTTCATTTATTGAATATGTGTAATGTTCGATACAATAAACAATTAAAATCTAGCTCTGATTTATGGAGAGATGGAGAAGTTAGAAACATAAAGTGGCAACTACAACAACAGTACTTAAACATATGGAAAGTACAAATGCTATTTTTTACCGTGCATTCAATATGTTCACCTTGATTTTGGGAATTAAATAACTAACAAAATGGTGGTTGGTACTTTATTGTTACGTTTGTTAGTAAGGGCTACAAAAAAATTAAATTACTCTTGTATTGAACCAGCTTAACTGGAGAAGCTGTTTCCTCGCCTCATACCTTCATACAATGCGCTTGTTATATCTGTTTGAGTTTTTTCTTCTGGGTTGTAGCTAAAAGGCTTCATTGTCCCAGTTGGACCTATACCATCTAAGTGTATGCATTAAGGAAGAATAAATCAAGACATCACCCATTAATCAAAAAAATGTAACGCTATAAAGCCACGACACAAGTTGGTTATCTGAACTCTAAGACAAAGTATGTTATATTATGTATCATAGCCAATTGCACTTTATAGAAAACCCAGGAGATAGTTGGAGGTTTCAGAAATACAAGTTGTTACGACTGCCACCTCTTGCTGACTTCACTCAACATTTTCTAGATGGATGGATTCAATTGAAAGTTTTGGCACGAACGAAAAAATTGACATTTTTAGGTACTTAAGCGGCCTACAAAACGAAACCACACGTAAGATCCGATTAAAGCAAAAAGTTATTGCCAAATACCTAGTCTAATGCAGGTTTTAGCACTTATTGGTAATCAGAAGATAGTGTCACACAAACATTTGAAATTCCTCAAATCTGTAGGTATCATATTTAAAAAATAACAACAACAAAATTGGAGTCCATTCGTTTTCGAGAATTTATATTTTTTCCCACAACACCTGCTTTTCAGCCATCACTTGTTTACGGAACAACATACAAAGTTCGGTCAAACGGCATTTTATAGCAAAACCACGAATTTACTTCGCCAATATGAATCACAAACCATTTCGCGAGCGAAAGGAAAAATTTAAATTTTTTTCATAAATAAAAATTCAAACATTTCGTATTTGAGGGGAAGCGGACAGATGTGTTACGGTACTCGAAAAACATACGTTATTATTCACATTCTAAAACAAAGCATACGTGTCTACAACTTTTTGTTGTAGAGGATGTTTTCAAACTATTCCCCTACTCTTGTGTATAAATATTTAGAGTTGAAATTTTCACACGATCAATTTATAAAAAAATAATTTTATACTAGAACACACTGAATTGTTTAAAAAGCTAGACTTTGTTATAAATAGGTCATGTAATGCAGTTTCTGTTTGAAGAAATATAATTCTCTGGACTTTTTCTCTTAGTATACGTTTATTTTACAAATCTCGTACCACTAAAATCACGGCGGCATGGTCATTACGGATTTTGAAGTGACATTTTGTCGGTTTTTTAAATTTTGTAGGTTTTTTGTGACATAACGTAGATTTTTCTACAAGATGTCAACTTAGCACTAGCTGTTGTACACTTGTGAACTCGTTTTGTAGCTGTACGTGTTGCCTAGACGACATGATGCTTCATTTATCAATCTGCTTCAGAGACGGCTATTGGAGGTCTAAGCTGTAAAGTGTATACTATACCTGGAATGAAACGGCAGTGCATAGATGCATAGGGAGGATTTGTGTGCTAAAAATCTGTGCTGATGATAAGTATTCCATTGGTTTCTTGTCTCAAATACACTTACTTGATATGTATTCAAAGCTCGAAATTCGTTGGGCATCCATTTTTTCTTATTCATTCTGGAAATTACATATGCAAAGTTGCTGGATTCAAAAAACGAGAGAGATTAGGAAAGAAAATCCCTGATTGGTGAAGTATATTACAAGTAACAGGTGACAAAATATGCTACAGACAGGAGTATTTATGAAACGTACAGAAGTTATTACATTATTGGCCTGAGTAAAGATAACATGGCTACGCAAGATAATTGTTGAAATACAATACTATCTGTAGCGGAATTTTTCCCTAAATCGTTGCACAACACTTAAAAGAATGCAAATGAAAATTGGAAAATTGACGCCTTGACGTTCGAAATGGCTCCGTCAGTCCAGGCTAGATATGTTTTGGCAGTTGACCTTGTTATTAGTGTCACCTGTTTTGCGGTGTTGCCAGTTCCTTACAATGTTTTCACTCAAATTCTAGATATCCTAGTCTTAAGATGTCCAATTCATCAATAACACGGACATTATTTTCATATAAAGTTTCTATTTTTGAATTATAGCAGTATAATGCAAAGATAATCACCCCTTTAGGAGTGGTAGAATAGTGGATGCCCTGACACAAATCAATGTTGAAGGTTAAGATAAATTGAAGAATGGCTAACATTCATTTGACAAACTTTCACTAACTTGACTGTGCTACAAGGAGCGTGAACTCGCAACAATGTACGAAAACAATAAATTTTATTAATATCCTCTGTGGCTGAAAGAGGTCATTTGACGACCGCACAACAGAAATTTAAACATCAAAAACGAGGATTTTTGTGCGTTTTCATTACTTTTCATTGAGAGCATACTGGTAGCAATAGATCTCTGTAACTAACTGAAATTTCCGATTATATTATAATACTTGCTTGGTCTATGTCATATGAAATGCTGTTTGATCATAATAAATGTGCACATCCCCTAGAGCGAGGTATCCAAACTATTGCATATGCCATTATCTCTAAGGCCAACAACGAAATCGACCTCATGCGAAAAACCAACGAGGCGCTAACCACCATAGATAGGTGGATGATAAACCACAAGCTAGAATTGGCACCGGAAAAAAACAGAAGTCTTGATTCTGCGGGGCAGTAAAGTAAAAAGAGTAGAAGTCTTGTTTAAAATCAGGGGCACTCAGCTAACACCCAGCTAGACTGCAGTCTAAAAACTGTCGCTGCAAAGGCTGAAAAGAAAATAGCGGCTTTATCTCGTCTTATACCCAACGTAGGAGGTCCGTCCAGCAGAAAAAGAGAACTTTCCAAACAATTCAGTGAGTTTCAGTATTTTTTTACTTATGGCTCATTTTCAATTGGGCGTAAATTTTAGTTGTAAAAATGTGTACACAAGACTATGGAGAAATTTTTAAAAACACTTCTTTACAACAAGAAGTCGTAGACACATCTGGTGTGTAATAAAATGTATATAATAACTTATGTTTTTCAAATACCACAATACATCTCTTCAGTTTTCAGTTCCTCACAAAAATGATATGTTTGAATTTATGTGAAAAAAACTTTGCATAATATAGTTTATGATTCATATCGGCGAAGCAAATTCGTGTATTTCACTAGAAAATACCCTGTGAACTAACATTTTATGTTGCTCCATAAAATAGTTAGAAAGCAGGTGGTTTGGGATAAATAATCAGAAATTCTTAAAAACTCCTTGACTGATTGATTCCAATTTTGCTGTGGTTATTTAGAAGTATGATACCTACGGAGTTGAAGAATATCAATTTTTTGCCTGATACTATCATCACGTCACGTTAGCAAGTATGTACCTGTATTTTGACTAACTTTTTGACCATACCTTTTTTAACTTTTATTTGGATCTGTTTACGTGTACTCTCATTTTGCAGGTCTCTAAGTACCTGAAAATCTCATTTTGTGAGTTTTTTCATTCAAATAAAACACTTGATCAAATCCCATCATGGAAGAGAGTTCTGAAGAGCAAATCCCGATGGTGTACCGGTAGAAAAGAGCTGGGTCGCCTACGGCCTGCCGGTGCGAAAGGGTCCCGAGACTGTCTGTTAGAGAAGAGTCATCGATCAGTCTGACCGCCCTCCTCTAGACAGCATTGAGCATAAATAATGTAGTCGGAGTGGCAGTACCCAAAACGTGTAAGCAATACTCGAGGCTAGGCCTTATCTGGGCCTTGTATAGAGTGAGAAGGTCATGCGGAGAAAAGTACTTCTTAGCCCTAAACAAATAGCCTAGTTTTTTCCCAGCAGCTGCCGCTATTGACGAGATGTGTTCGTGCCAGATCAGGTACTCAGTGGTCTAGACTCCGACCATCCGAAATGAATTGCTCTTTGGCAGAACTCGGAACTGGATGAGCGCTAGGACGCTTTTTGTTCGTCAAAGTACAGTACTGTGTTTTGGAAGAATTGAACTGTAAAAGATTGTTGCGGCCCCAAGCAGTGATAGCCTCCAGGTGTCATGTCAGAGAGGAAGTCGTCGCTAGTCTTCTTTTTTAGAGCTGAGCAGCAGAGATCGGCTAGTCACTCTGAATTCCTGCTGATGACAGCGAAGCTGTGGATTGGGTTGATCATGCAGGAAAGGAGGTCGTTGATATGTAAAAGGAACATTGTCGGAGCCAAGACCGATGCCTGGGGAACACCCGCGTTGACGTTGTGGGATGAAGAGGAGAACCCGTCAATTACCACAGATATCTTGCGGCAAGAGATAAAGTCAGCCACCCATCTGCAAAGCTTTTCTGGGGGGCCATAGGATGGAAGTTTGGTTACGAGGGCAGCGCGCCACAGCTGTTCGAACGCTTTCGTGATGTCAAGAGCAACGACATAAGCCTCACCATAAGACTGGATGACATTACTCCACAAATGCGTGTTGTAAGCTAGGAGGTTCCCTGTGGATCGATGGTGCCGGAAACCATACTGCCTGTTACTAATCAAGCTGTGACGTTCGAGGTAGTCCAGAAGCTCGCGATTTATGCACCTCTCCATCACCTTACTTATAACAGAAAGCAGAGCTAGGCCTGTAGTTGTAAGGGTCGGTCTTAGATCCTTTTTTTGGGATGGGTTGAACATGAGCAAATTTCCAGTTTTCTGGGAAGGTGCCGGATTCGTAAGATATCTGGAAGAGACGGGAAAGAACAGGAGCAAGCTCCGCTACACACCTCTTCAGTACAATGGTAGGAATCAAGTCCGGACCAGAAGCTTTGTTGATGCCGAGCGACAAGAGCACTTGTCGTACGGTCTTATGCCTGAATGCTACATCCCGTATAGAGTAGGGAACCCTTTGAATTTCGGGCACATCAGTGAAACAGTAATCTCTTCAAGGAAAGGTAGAAAAGAAGTCTCTGAGCCCCTCCCAGTCGGCATGTCGGTAATGCCAAATTTTGCTGCCTGTACGAGTTTCTGCTGCCACAGCTGGTTCTGACCGAAACCTAACCCCCACAACACCGTGGTCCGAGTTTCCCAGGGGGGACAGGATAGAAGTGCTGTAAGGGACAGGATGCATGGTCAGAAAGAGATCCAGCAGGCTACTGGCATGTGATGAGATGCAGGGGAAAAAAGTAGGGCTTGTCACCAGCTGGGTCAGCCCTTGAGTAAGAGCGAACGCTTCGACTGCACGACCTGCTGCATCGGTCTTGTTTGAGCCCAATCAGAGCTTATTATGGGCACTGAAATCATTGAGAAGAACTACCTCTGAAGCGGAGTGATTGATGTTCAGGTAGTTGATCTTGATGGCGAGGAATCAGGTATTCAAGTAGGTCATCTCAGTTATGGTCCCAGGGAGAGAGATAAAGGCTGCAAATAAAGTTGGGTGATGTTTTGGAGTTGAGGTGAAGCCACAGAATGTCCTTTCGGTCTGATTCCAAAGAAACATCTCCGGAGCAGGAAAGACTGCTGCAGACAAAAGCCACAACTCCCGCGTTCGTTCTCAGATTGGAGTGCACCTTGTAATTTGGGAAGCTAAGATGGTTAATCAGTGCAGACTCTGAGCTTTTTGTCTCCACCAAGAAAAGCATGGCGGGACGATTGGAATGCAGATAGTGATGAACAGCATCAATGTTACTGTTAATCCCGCAGATCTTCGTGAAACAAGTTTTATTTTCGATGTTGTTCCCTCAGGCCCACCATCCACCCAGACATTCTGAGAGTAGAGTGAGTTTTTCTCCGGAATTCTTAGGGCTCCAGGGATCCATCATCATTAATTTCTTTGTTTTGGAAGATAACGGGTAGTAGTAGTAGGTAGGTAGTATCCAGCATAGAAGGTAAGTATTGTGATAGATTGTTTAAATTTATACAATGTAAAGGATACATCCACATTGATTAGATGTGCCTTCATAAACAAAATGGATTTTTGTTGCTAGTTTCCATGCTTGAATGGTATCTCTGAAAGCAAATACCAAAAAGTAATATTTAAAATACTACCAACTAGCAACTTTATGAATTTTTAATTACATTTTAAGACTTTTAATCTAACATTTTTACATCTTTTTATGAGACAATTGTTCCAATAAAATGATATAACAAATTATAAAAAAGTTATCCAAATGTAATGGCAAATAAAGTACATTATGTAACATTATTATAGTAAATTATGAATACCATAAATGCCTCAAGATGATAAACTCACCTTAATGTTTGCAGTTTTGGATCTGTTTCAAATTTTTGTAAGTCTTTTTTCTGTTTTCCTAGTACTTTCTCATTATTTGCTATTTTAGATTCTAGGTCATTTTGCATTTGCTTTAGTATATTCTGTAATCAATTCACATTGCTTTAGTAATAATAATAAATCTTTATTTCAAAATAACAGTGCATGATTACTATGTATTACACACTGTTAGATGAAATATACATAACAGTGTGACTGCACTAGGTTGCCAGAGCTGTTCTTAGCTCTCATATCACAGTATCAGTATGTAATTCTGTTAGATCCAAGCAATTTGAATGGGAAAATGGGAAGAAAAAGAGGAAGAAGAGAACCTTCTAGGACAACAAGCAATTAGGCATTATTAAAATTACTTGAACAATGGTTTCAAAGATTTGATTTTTGTAAAAGTTTTGTCAAAATGCACAATTTTGGTGGTTCTAAATTTTAATTACAGTTCTAGCTACTGTCATTTGTGATTGTGTTGTGGTGGGTATCTTATCAAAACTCACAGTTTCTTTCTGCAAATCTTTCAAACCTCCCTCCTCTTTATCATCCATGCATATTGATTTCAGTGCATCAGAGAACATGGTACCATGGATATCATCTAAAAATGTTTGTAGTATTTTGAGATCCTGCTCACAATCCATCTGAAGTTCATCTTGGAATAAGTCAAATTCTTTAAAGTGTTTGATAATTTCACGCACTACTGGAACAGTATTGTCAATTACTGCTGCTGCAAAGTCATGCTGTTCACTTCCTTCCATTTTAAAGCTTTTATAATCAAACTGAAGAAAAGTTTTATTATACACTTTTTTCAAATACTGAAAAAACCGTAAACCGTTTGTTTTGACATCATAACAGCGATGTCATTGTCAAACAAACAAATGTCAAACATAGGGCGAACACATACGACGGAAATGAAGCTAATGTCAAGCACGAGCTATTTTGACGGAATGCATGGAGTGGCGGTAGGTTAAACTACAGGGGCTGGATGAAAAGTATTCCCGAAATGTATAATCCCCATATGTTTTGCGGTATGCATAACTGGCGCGTCGAGTGTAAAGTATGCGCTTGTGGTATGTACTTAAGATACTAATAAAACAATTTGAGGACACGGCTGATACAGGCGTATTGAATAGAATGTTATACTCAAACTCCTTTAATTGTTTTTAATTGTCCCTAAGAACACCTACCGATAAAAGATAGAATCCTTCCCAAAACTAAAAATTTAAATTAATTCGCAAATATGACATTATTCTTCCGAAATGTTTATAGTGAGATATAAAATATGGAAAAAGATGAACTCCAAATCATATTTTATTATAATGCAACATATCAAACAGAAATGATCAATAAACGTTATTATAGTGCTTCAAAGAACGGCAAGTATTTTTTGGTATCGGTTTGTTCCTTCTTTTGAATAATGCCAGTAGCCCAGTCTTCTTTTTATTTGTGACTCCGACCTTCTGGCTGTAAGCGTATTTTAATTTTACATCTCTATTTTTATTTCTCCTGCTCAAAGTTGTTGTTTGAAATTCTTCTTGCTGGTAGCTCGTCTTATACAATATTGTGCTTGGAGCATCTTTTGTGATCTTAAGCACTTTCATTTCGGATATTTTCATTGTATCTCCATTGGCATTTTTCTTTGGATAGCAGTTGAATTCAATATCAGATGCCAATTGCTTTAGATGTAAAATATCTTTATGGCATAATTCATCGACTTTATAAGGTTGACCTGACTTTTTGGCACTTCTTATCAGGGTAACGTACTGATCTGGAATATATATTGGTCCAGATCGCTTGGTCCTTTTTACTTGACGCTCTATAAGAGAATGGGCACTGTCTCCCTCATCCTGAGTATGGCCTGCAATGAGGTACTTGTGAGTTATGCTTTCCAACCATTCAAAATGCTGAACAGCATACATGTACGCCGCTATCATGAACCGATTTTTTTGTTGACCGCCACAGTTGTCGGAAAAAATATAATATTTCTTTTCCTCTCATTTTCTTGAATGCTCTCCAAATATCTTAAAATGCAAGTCCCTATTTCATTCACGCCTCTTTGAGCTTCTCCTTCATGCCACACATAACACTGCACATCCTTAGTTTTTATATCACATACTGTCAGATTGAGCTTTGAAACATAGTAAAATGAATTTACTTCTCCTGAAGGACAAGGTGGGACGGCCTGGAGATCATAGACGGCAACTTTATCACTGTCAGAATGTTTGTCATGTTCCTTTTCTTTCCTTGATAATTCTGTTTCAAGTCGATGTGTATCATATTCTTGTTTCAACTTGATCTTCTCGTCTTCAGAGGCATTCAGGTAACCAACACAAACTTCACACTGGTCCTTCTTCGGAACAAAGAAGGAAATATTGAAATCTTCGTTGAATATTCTGCTATACATGTTGTAATTGGCAGAAGGCTTACCTTGTTCGGAACACTCTTCTTTATAATCTCTGTGGAGCTGTGCTATAATTTTTCCACCCTCAATATATTCTCTATTAGTGTTTTTACGGCAGTAGTGGCTTTCAATTCGTGGAATTTTCATAATGTGTGCTCGGACACCATTCTTTATCTCTTCGTCTACTTTATCATGATGTCCATGCGTTCCCCGTAAATCGGAAGACAACATCTGACCACTAAAAAGATTTCGTTTTGCAATTACAGTTCTTATAGGTCTGTCGGTAATGCATAACGTGGATTTAAAAAAATCTTGCATACACGAATCTTTTTATCCTTTATTTCGAAATGGAATGCATTATTTGGACGCCTATGACTATTTTCTCTTATGTATCTATATTTAGGGTTGACTACAGACATGCTGGCTGAAATAAAAAGCAGTTGCTTTTCCAGATCACCCAACTCCCAATAGTCTTTGAATATTTGCCTACGATTCTCTTCTGTAAATTTCTCGAAGCATCTTAGGGTACATTTATTATTACATGGAGGCAATAAACTTTTGGCTGGAATAATCTTTTTTCCTTTTGATAAATAAGCCTGTCCAGTATTCCTTAACTTTTTAGCAGTATTGCTTATCCAGTTTTCCTTGTTAGATGTCCGCTTTTTGCCTTTTTTTTCTGATTTGGCACCTTCCTTTTCTTAACTCCACTGCTTTCATCATGAAGCGTTGCAGGCTCGTTTATTAATGATGACGCTAAACTTGAAGTGGTGGATGTCTCTTCACTCACATCATAATCAGGATCGGCATTGCTATCATCAGTACTGAATGGACCTGACAGTGACTGATCATCTACAACTGTACAATCTTCAGTCAATCTGGGATTACGTTGGTTGCTTGTTAAATTTATTTCGACTGGAAACTGGGTCACTGAAATGAAAAATATTATAAATATTGCAAAACTACATTATTACCTATCGTAACTTTACCTTCCGATGGCTCTAATGTAATGTTATATGGACATACTTCTGGCTGCGCCTCTATGTCCAAGGCATTCGACAAAGTTTCTGGACCATCTTCGTTATGATTCTGAATCAATTCGGAATCTTGTATATCAAAAACATCGACTTCCTCCTTCCTAACTTCCCATCCATAATCCTGTCGTTCAGTGGCATCTCTAGCTAATTTAAGGATAAGATGAGTACGGCTGTTGTCGTTGAACATCTAAAAATATAATGGAGAAATTATGAGGTCCACTATGTATAGTCGTACATTGAAGATAACAGTCCGACTGTTTTGTGCAGGCTTGCAAGTGTCACAAAGCTGAATAATAAAAAAATGAAGTGAATGACTGTAGTAATATTTTCAAGAATAGTGACATAACACAAAGGATGACATAAAAATATATCCATCCTAAATTGCGAGTCCAAGAATAACGACACTTGTCAAAACGCAAATAATATGCTGGAATAATAATACAGAAAGTAACTTACCTTTCCCATGAATAAAGACCCAAACCTAAATGTGACGCTGCAACGTGAGCACAGGTAGCATACAAAGTGACACTTTTTGTGATGTGACGATTTACCGCACGCGCGTCGATGTATTTGCTTTCACAGTAAAGGCCGAACTGAAGATGAGACGTTATTCCTGTCGCAGATATTCAAATTTGAATCTAACGAACTAGTGACACTAGCGCCATCTCTCGGATCCTATACAAGATAGCTTTATGACATTTTTTCCGATAAAAATAGACTATATTTGATATCGGTTCCACGACTTAACTAAAAAATTGGAATTTTCGAGTTGTGTCACTGTTCTATATGTTTCAAAGATTTTTTTCTGTGCAATGTTTCAAAACGTATGCGTCTTTGGTACATTAGTATGCTTCAGTTAAAATTTCATCCAAATCTGAACGGTAATTCCCAAGTTATAGACGGGTCAAAGATTAGCGGACATGAAGATCGACGAGAATGAGTAACATTGTTTTTCGTGATATACATTATATCTAATATCGTCTTATTTTCGAAATTTTTGACATGAGAAATAAAATCGGCTTGACCCAGGTTACCGTTAATATCCAAGAAAAAATACCCCTACTAAATAGAAGTAAAATTATATATACCACTTCAATATTTTCAAAGGTCTTGGAGTTTCGAGACTCTTGGATCACCCTATACCAAAAAGACGTCAAGCGAAGAATAGCATACCTATATAACGGGTACTTTTATGAAGAAAACAAATAAAAACGATTTATCGAGTTATCTTTATTATCGAAAAAATAAGTATTCTTGGCAACCAGTTATTGAAGACTATTATTTCTCTCAAGTCTCAGCTATTATCGCTGGCAATGTGGATCACTCCGGAATTTCAATTTTCGATGACGTTACGTTGTAGTAATCGAAGTGGTCATTGGAAACTGTCTGTGTGCTATAAGAACTCGTTATTTGCTGGGTAAAGTGCAAGCTCATGAACTCATAGTAGCACAGCTCGGCACGGGTATTATTTATCTTGAAAAGTGACGTTATATCGATTTTTTTGACATTATTCTGTTTTTTTTGACATTACGTAGGTTTTTCGACAAGATATTAACTTAGCACTTAGTTGTACGTATTTTCTAAACTTCATGAGGCTTGTTATTAATCTTTGGCTCTGATGTGATGTAAAATCCGCTTCAGAGATGGCACTACTGAAGGTCTAAGTTGTAAGTTGTATGTGTTGATACTGTTGATGATAATTCCATTGTGTGCTTGTCTTGTCTCAAATACACTTAATTGAGATTCAAAGCTAGAAATTAGTTGCGCAGCCACTTTTTCTTATCTATTCTTTAAATTACATATACAAATTTGCTGAATTTCGAAAATGAGAGTAATAAGAAACAACTCAGGCGCGGTGATGATTTCCCTTAATTATCCTCAGTTTTTCATAATTTATAACTTTGAACATAACCTCTCTTCAAAAAGCACAACATAAAAATAACTCGCCGGGCACAGCTAATAGATATCCTTTATTCGCAGCATATTCAGTCATGAATTTCTCACACAGTAAATATCACTGATTTTATACACGTGCAGACCAATACACATAATCATCCAGATGCGATCTTGCTGTTCAATCAACCTTCTTCTAAAAGATAAAAACTACAGACATGGACCACTCGTCCTCACAAAACACATGTAACCAATAAAGCGTGTAGTTTAGTTGAGTGATACTTCCATAGATGGACGTTCACAACGATCCTAGTGAGCAAATGTGGAATGACCGTTCGCGCCCTAAAAACTACCTGGTTTGCAAGATGATATCTTATAGGTTTTTTTTAGACGTTTTGTAGGTGGTTTATATGATACTCGTGCCGGAAACCATGTAATATGCAGGCTAGCACATTCAGCCTTGAATTTCTTTATAATGAAACTTTGCACACAAGTAGGTAGTAGACGGTACTTGATTACATTAAGAAGTGTTGTCCATAATCTTATGCTGCAAGCTTCTTTCTAAGCATCATCTTTTTTTAATCCAAAAGTATAGGTATGGCAAGATTTTTCCATCAGGCGGCACCGCTATTTCCGCTATCGCCCTGTCTTCACCAAAATTCTCCGTGAATGTCATCCAATTATTTAACTCTCATTGTTTCATAGCGATTGTCTGCTAATGTCATAAAATAATATCTTGTATTTTTCTTTGCATTTTTAAATAAGTAGTTGTTGAATCTGAAAGACATTTTAAAATGAGCGAAGGTAGCAACGAAGGTTTTATCCCGCCACCGAAGAGTCTGGATACAAAATGCATGCACCATTGTCAAGATCCCTCAACGTGGAAATCAAAATCCGTTATACCTCACATTGTACTATCTTCGGTCTTCCAAATAGAAGATGCACGAAATATGAAAGGGGTAACAAATATAATAATATATAGCAAATATAGTTTCCATAGTGAAAGTAACACCACCAACAGACGAAGCGAAAATGGTTGTGACGGCTTTGTTAGGAAAATATTTATTGGGAAAATGCGATCGTTCAGCCAACGCAAAGCGGTCCAGTGGTGCAGCGCTTTCATGTTAAAAAGCAGTAAATCCTATTTCACGAGTATCCATTACGTTTTGACGTCCACTGAAGTGAAAAGCTGATCAGCAAGTGACATCTTTGTATTAGTATATTACGTTGGTAATAATGAATCGGGTGTAAACTTGCTTGTATGCAAATGAACTTTTCTAAATAAGAGTTGTTAGCAAATACAAACTGAATCTCTGGCGTACAAAAAAATCAAAATAAAATACGGCTCTGTCTACTTGCCGTTGACGGATCAGTCAGAATTATGTGTCAATTATCGACATGGGGAATTTTGGATGGATACTCGTGAAAAGATGTTATCCGTGGAATAGCTCTGATAGTTTTCAACATTAATCAACATACTATCAAATCTGACAGCGAAGTAAAAACTGCTGTCAAAATGGCAAAGCTTTCCCATGACCTTTTACTATTCAGCATAAAAGCGCTGCCTCGCTGGACTGCTTTTCGTTGGCTGAACGTTCCCATTTACCAGTTACTCTGACAATTGATATATTCATCTACTCATTCTTAAAAAAGTCATATTATAGGTACTGTATTCAAATCCCTTCAAAACAAAAACAATGCACGACATCCAAATTCGCGCGCTCCTATTGGCCAGCGGGCCATTAATGCTTGGACAGGTAGCGACAAGCTCCATAGAAGCGGTAATCTGGATCTCAAGTGAATGAGATTTGAATAGACTACAGTAACCATTTTATTTTAATTGTTAATTCGCTATACAGATAGAATAGTCAGAAAAATTTAAGTCCATATTCGGTAAGATAAAATATGGAAAAAGTTTATGTATACATACGAGTAGATACGAAAATATTTCTCTTCCCTTATCGAATTTTAAAATTTGTGCGCCTTTGACAGTTCACCTTCATTTCTCGAAATCAGAAGCAGATATTAGATGAAACATTCACATGTACAAAGTACAAAATTACTTTCTACTTATATCAGCAACATTTATGTCTGCATATCTCTCTGTTTATGAAAGGTACTGTAATTTGGGCTTAATTAATAACAGTATCTTAAAGCCAGATTGATTGTATTATGAACAACTGCCTCTCTTGTATTTTTTCGCTCAAACGCATAGTCTTCAAAATAAAATTGTTGAAGTGTTTATATTTTAAAAAAAGCAGTAATCAAGGTGACACTATTTTCAAATATAACAAAAACTTCAAGAGACACTTTTCAAGCAGAATCAGAATCATGAGAAAACGATATTTTTGCAAAACCATACATTTTTTAATGAATCGTACTTAAGTTTAAGCACCCCCTATCACGAGCCATAAGTAACTGAGGTTTTTCACATTTTCAGATATTACCCTTAAATTTTCTTGCTAACTTTCTGTAATACCGGACCAGGTCAATGCTGTATCAGATTTTATGACTTTCGATTCATATTGCTCTATTGCTGTGCTTTAAAAAAACCATTTTTGCTACGTTTAAAAACGATTGACGGCAAAGCAAACAGAGTAAAAACGTTTGTTATTCTGATGTTTATGTAGTCTGCGAAAATCAAAGGTTCGCCAGTTTTGACTACAACTATTACTATTTGTAGTCTTGAAGAGCAATGTTTTAACTTTAATTTAGATATTTGGCGAGCTCAAAAATTATAATTTTCATCCGAGTTTATAAGATTTCAAAATAACGCACGGTAATCCATTTCAAATTAATTTTTTTGTTTTTTAAATAATTTTCTTTTACCCGGACCATTTTTTTCGGGTTTTCTGGATTATTCTGAACATAAAAGGCATTTAGTAACTTTTCTTTAAAGTTGACCATTTTCGAGTTATAAGCGATTTAGTGAGAAAATCCCTAAAAAGGGGTATATTCAGTGCTTGAAGACTCGGTTAAAAATTATAATTTTGGAGGTCGGCAAGTATCTGACTTAAAGTTTAAGCTTTGCTCTGTATGTCCCAAAGAGTATTTTGAGACTAGTTTGTTTAATGGCTGAAAAGGGCTTTTAAATGAGTATATTCAATGCTTAAAAATCTAAAATTGGCAAACTTTTGATTTTCGCAGACTGTAAAGCGTGTCGGCTATAAATGGACCCCCTCTAACATCCAGAAGAAAAAGTTGTAGATGAAAGTTATAGGGTAAAATACGAAATTTCCAATGTAATATTTTTTGTATGCCGACAATATACTCATGTGTATCGAAGCCGCCTAAGCAATCTGATATAGGACCGAAATACATTATGATTAAATGACACACAAACCTCAAGTTTCTCAAGCCCAAGACAATAAAAATAAGTTCTACAAACCATATATATTTGAAATGTACATTTATAAATAATAGCACTTTTCTAAGACGCCTGGTATACAAAATAAAATATTACAAAAACTTCATATTATATCCCATTCGTAGTCCATTTACGCCCAGACAAAACACAACATGCCCAAAAGCGAGATTGTACAGGTCCGTATTTTCCTCAATGGTCTTGAAATAATCTAACAAAATGAATGATTATTTTTATAGAAAGAAGTGCACATACTTTCTACAATTCTTTATTCGCTGGAAGTACTTGAATCATCGTCCGAAATGATAATATTAATTATTACAGGTTCAATTTGAATATCGATCATCTTGTCCAGATCCCACCTCTTTGTTTCGATTGCCTTTTGAACGCGACGGATACAATCTTTCCAATGGTTTGCCGTCACTCCATAAAACAAACTGTTCACGTCAGAAAATTCGAAATTATTTTATTTTATATTCAAAAAAACTAATAATGATAATACAAGGAGAGTATCTAACAGGTGTTGGTTCCAAATGTACATATATCTGGTAAGTTTAGGGTAGCTAAGTGTTTCAGCGTGGGCTCATAGATTCAGTCTACTTGACACCATTTTTACAAAACAAATGACGAATTGGTTAGATACACGTACCTGACGGATTCTTTAGGCCAGTCGTTAGTCCATCTAAGCAGGCTTGACTTGCTGATTTAAGTAGATACTTTAGGTTTTATATATCCTGCATTTATCCAGGTTTCATCCAAGTAATAAATCCCTTGGTCGCGGTATTTCTTCATTGATTTTAAATAATTTCTTCTCCATAAAATAATCTCTTGGCTGCCCATCAAAATACTATTTCTTTTATATACTCAAAATGAAGTTCTTTAAGTAAACTATAGAATGTGTTCCTTTGAAAGTAGATAAGTCTTCATGACTATTAACCTCCTGTAATACTTTGTCTATGGTGGGAAGTTCCTGCCTTTGAAATACTTGATGGACTTTGCGTCTGATGGCATTCCGACCAAAGTTATCACCTGTATCCAACAGCTTCATGTAATGCAGCATCTTGTTTGGTGGAGACAATTTTATGTTTTTTTTTATATTCTTTAATATTGTTGAAAATTGTCATAGGACATAGCCTCTAAGATTTCGGTCTTATAAACGTTAAGGACGATTTCTTTTGCCTGAATGTTCACATGTCCCTTGTTACGCTTTCGGGGAGGAGACATCACTGAAGAGAAAGCATGGCTGAAGGAAGCATTGGGAGAAATATTCTCAGTTTCATCTGCTGTATCCTTAGATGGCATGCTAACGTATCAGCACACGCTATGAATGCACGGAATATGAACAGCAACTGCCGGCGTCGGCGTGCCGGCGATACCCTGAGCCTGAGTTCTATCTTCTATTCTGTCGAATCCTGCACTTGTTCCGAGTTATATGGCCGAATGACCAATAGATATTGCAACGCTTAGGCGGCTGCTGCTTTGCCGCGCTACATCTTTGTTGTGCCGGGGCGTGAATGGACTACGAATAGGGTATAGATCCTATAACTTTTATGTACAACTTTTTAATTTATAGCCTAGAACCTAATATGCAATTTTTATTCCATTATTGTATATATGTATTTATTTTGTAGAAATACTTGTATGGTAGAATAGCAAACCCGTCACGTGTTATCCTTGAGCGTGTGTTTGGAGCAATAAATAAGGCAAAGTTTGGACTTGCCTTCTCATCAGGAGTAAGCGCTCTGACGTCCGTATTTGGAATTTTGAAAACTGGACAGCACATTATAGCACATGAGGAGATGTCTACCGAACACTATAAGGTATTAAGTTTTTACTGAACCTAGTGTTTTGAGAGTAACATCTGAATCTTAGTGCGTTCATGCTACGTGCTACACTTTTCCGTTTCATTGAAGTGGGCTGTCAATCAGAGATTCCGGGAAACTGTAACTCCCTGTTACTGACATAGTAGACCTATTAGTAGTGATGATTGCTAAAAAGCATGAAACAACGTTGTGTACGGTTGGTTTCGGTCACAGAGTGCGGACAAACAAACAAATCGTATTCAACCTGTGTTTACGAGGGTCATTTTTTAAGGAAGAACCGTTTTGTAATGGAGTCAGAGAAACTTTATTTAAAGATTTCTTTTTTCTAGTCACCATAAACATTTAAAGAGATGTCAAGTCATCGCACCAGCTGTTGCATCCCGTCGTTAAAGACCGCTGCCGCCTAACCGTTATACCAGTTAGTTTCTATGAACATTGCATCATTTTCCAAGCGCTTTCCACCAAGAAATTTCTCAAGTTTTGAAAAAAACATGAAAGTCTGGGCTGTATGGTGGATATTCCAGTAATTCTCAACGAAATATGTCCAGTTGCCCCTGAAAGCAGGCTCCGCCGACGGTTTTTTATAGCGCGCCTAATTCAACCAACTGTAGTGTCCTGCGTTTGGCGAACTACACGTCTGGCAAAATCACATACTACAAGACTCATTTCTCTTGTTTGCTTTCCGTTGTCTATCTCCAATAAAACAACGTTATATAGGGTTGTTATGGTCACGGAGACGAGAAGCAAACAAATCCTATTCAGCATCTGAACCTTATCCTGTGGTTTCTGGTGCTGATAAATCTCCATGGACAATGCAGAATGTAGCATAGTAGTCGAGGATTGCATAACAGTCGACAGGTGTGTTGTGACAACAGGTCTGGTGGATTTTTGCGTTCTCAAAGCCGTTTGACATGGGTGGGGGTGACGTGTGGTAAACCTTATTTCCCGAGTATCCATCAGGCTTTGACGTCTACTGAGGTGAAGAGGTTGGCTATAATGAATCGGGTATAAACCTAGGAAAAAATTGTTTGTAGGGTTTTGTTTTTTGTATGCAAATGAACTTTTCTGGGTAAAAGAGCTTTTAGCAAGTGCAAAATGATCTGTAGCGTACAATTTCAGTTATAAATAGCCTGCTTTTACTTGTAAAGTAAATGGCGTTCGCATTCCTAGTGGAATGATTGCAGCACTACTTGGGCTTTTCTAGTTCATTAAATGCGGGGAACTACTCCACATGTTTTTGTTTTTCTTCTCTAAGGGCCCTCGCGCAGACAGAAAGCATTCAAGCGTTCCGAGTTCCGCGTTCTGCGTTCCGCGTTCTGCGTTCCACGTTCTTTGTAACCAATAGATCTCTATTGAGTCGCGCAGACACAGTCAAACCGCGCTGGTCAGTGTAAACGCTCGCGTTCTTCCGATCGCAAGATGACTTCCATAGAAAAATTAATTGATTTAGTAAGGAAAAGTCGTGATTTTATATGATCTTAGTAACTCAGACTATAAAAATAGTAAAAACAAAATGCAGCATGGCTTGAAATAGCCTTGGAAATGGGAATATACTGCCAATCTTTCTTTTGTAGACATAGCCTTTGTCTTGTTGATGTCTTGTTTCTTTGTTTCCTTTTTTATATAATCATGCAATTCATTAAAACTACTTAGTGACATTCGGAAGTGAATAAAAAATCGTTCTTCATCTTCAAGCAATGCAGGAAAAAGAACACTGAGCTCCCCTTTTTCATCTCTCTAACAATTAATCGGATGCACCCAGCATCTTTTTTTCTTATCAGACTCTTCGAAGCTCCACAAAATCAATGTTTCGTCTTCTGAAAACGAACTATCGGAATACATGTTTCACCTACAAGTAATCTTCCTAAAATGGAACGAGGTGTTCGTGACTGCCTCCTGTCTGTGTTAGATCTCGTAAGAGGAATTGACCGGACGAACGCGGCTTGAACGCTGAACGCTTGTCTGTCTGCGCGAGCCCTATAGGTTTTCGTGCGACTTGGCATTTTTCACTACATTCTTCCGGTCTTTCCTATTCTTACACATACTTGGTCTTCCCTTTGGTCTTCCTCTTGTTCTATCTGTCGTTCCATTTAGTAATCTTTTTGATCAGCGCATCATTGTCTTTTCTTTCAATATGACCTTTCTTTTATTGGTCCTATAATTCTTCGGATAATTTTGCGTTCGAGCACTCGGAGTCTTTCCTGGTCTTTCATTTCATACTTGTAGTAAACAATAATTATAAGTAATATTCAAAAATATGCTCAAGAAACCAAAGAAACTCTTCATGAATGCAGACATTCATTATTTACATAGGTTTTTTTTATATAATTATTATGTACCTAGGGAGAGAATGTAACTTCTCCTCATCGAAATGCGAAAAATAATGACAGTTTCTCAGGTGAACAGTGAAGAAATTTTGTTTTAGGTATTCAATGAAGTAGCCAGTGGTTTCGGAATACAAACCACATACGTCGATTTCTCTGATACCACGAACATTACTGAAGCCATAAGGGATAACACAAAGGTAAATATACTGACACCACAGAGGCAGTGTTTCCATTTACACAAAAGTAATGGTGATACAAAGTGCTCATAGATCCAGGATCTGGAAATTCAATTTCCGGTCAGAAATGAGGATTCGAAGTTCAAAATACCGACTTTTTTTGTAGCTATAGCTTGTTATCCCGCCGAAAACTAGGTTAGTCGGTGGATATAAGACCTCAGGGTGAGGTTCTTTGTACCTTGGTTTTTGGATGCAAAGCAGTTGCGGTTTGGGCGTCAAAAACTAGGAAATGAAATTACAATGGAGCTAAGGCGACACAAACTCACAAGGCACACAGACATTTCGGCTGGTCGGAGTCCAGATCACCGAGGACCTGATCTGGCACGAACACATCTCGTCAATAGCAGCAGCTGCTGGGAAAAAACTATGCTATTTGTTTAGGGCTAAGAAGTACTTTTCTCCGCATGACCTTCTCACTCTATACAAGGCCCAGATAAGGTCTAGCCTCGAGTATTGCTCACACGTTTGGGGTGCTGCCGCCCCGACTACATTGTCCATGCTCGATGCTGTCCAGAGGAGGGCGGTCCGACTGATCGATGACTCTTCTCTAACAGACAGTCTCGGGGCCCTTTCGCACCGGCGGGCCGTCGGCGATCTAGCTCTTTTCTACCGGTACACCAACGGGCCTTGCTCCTTAGAGCTCTCTTCCATGATGCCGCCGCGCGATGTGTCTGCCAGGCAGACCCGCCTGACTTTGGCATCCCATCATCCTAACCGTGTCGAACTTCGTACATCCAGAACTGGCCGATACGACCGCTCCTTTGTCCCGAGGGTGTCGAGATTGTGGAACAATCTACAAGAGGAAGCTTTTCCCAGTTCTACTAACCTTAGGCAGTTCAAAAATCGTATTAACAAAATTTCTTTGGGATCATCATAGCAGCCGCGGTGTTCCGGCATTTAGGCTTCTGCCTGCGCGGCTGCTTCGATATAAAAAAAAATTATTGAACAAGAAAAATAAAAAAAATTAAAGAGAAGTCCTGGAGGACCGGCTAAGAAAATTATTTCGTATTACCCCCCTAGCTACATGGTTACCAATAGACTTAAACATTTCAAACTAAAAACTAAGATTAAAAAGAAAACCTTGGCTATCCCCGAACGGCAACCAAGGGCAGGAAGTCCCAGATGTTACTCTAAAACCAGAGGGTAGAACCAAAAGGTAGAACCGGAAGTTAAAACCCTCGAACAATGAGAGTTCACAAAAATGGGGAACTGCTCCTGACAGGTGTGAATCCCAATCAAATTCGCCTAGGACTATCCCTTCAGGCGGTTCCCCTCAGGTCGGCGGTTGAGTGTAGTTATCTCCACTGCCAGATCCCCAATAGGGTGAGAAAAAAGCTCCGATAAAAAAAACACCAAGAGGGGCCGATTTCTAATAAAAAACACCCCACCACCCTATAACGGGTACTTCAGTACTCTGGCGGAAGTGCGAGTTGTCAAAGTTGAGTGTTTTTTATAGGTTTTCGAATATCTCAACAATTTGAAAAACCTGTAGAATGCTATATCAAATTGATTTGATTGAAAGGGCCTATTCAAATGTGTGAATGGGTCACGACGTAGTTATGAATCACCCTGTAGAGGAAAAATATTTTCCAAGTAAGGGGAGCATACTTTTGGCTACAATTATTGTAATTCACTTTTTAGATACCATGCGTAACAAAGGAGTTATCGGCCGAGCCAACACTAAAAACCAACCATGTAAATAAAAAGTTGGAAATAGCTATACAGGTTGGACCAAAACGGTAAAGCACCTTATAGGGAGTAAAAATTCCCCCCATATGATCCGATTTATTTTAGTTTAGGAGTTGATTTTTTTTCTTTATGATTAGGTTAAACCTTGAGGCTTAACTATTGTAAGTTCAATTAAATAAAGTAATTATTGCATTATAAAATTAAGAGAAAAAACATAACACAACAAAAAAAAGTTAAAAAGTCCTACAACTTTGAACGTTTTTGTTTAATAGAAGTAAAATGATTTTCTTATTCATTGGTTGAATTAAAAATATCTTTACTTTATCAGCTGTTAAAAAAAAGATCATCCACGTAGCTGGGCCTTGTATAGAGCGAGGAGGTCATGCTGAGAAAAGTACTTGCTGGCCATAAACAAATAGCCTAGCAATTGACGAGATATGTTCATGCCAGATCAAGACTTGGGTGTTCTGGACTCCGACCAGCTGAAATGAACGGTTCTTTGGCAGAACTCCATCCATCGAAACCGGATGAGCTCTAGGACTGTGTTTTGGAAGTATTAAAGTACAAAATTGTTGCGTCCCGAGCAGTGATAACCTCCAGATCTCTCGTCAGAGAGGAAGTTGCCGCTAGTCTTCTTTTTTCCAGCTCATCGGCAGAGATCGGCTTGTCACTCTGAATTCCTGCATGCAGAGCTGTGGGTTGGGTTGATCGTACAGGAAAGGAGATCGTTGATATGTAAGAGGAACAGTGTCGGAGCCAGGACCGATCACTGGGGAACACCCGCGTTGATGTCGTGGGATGAAAGAGCCTCAATAAATTAGATGTATCCAAATCTTATTTACGCCTCGTCAAATTGAACATTTGTAGATCTCCGCTTATATTCGTTGGTCGCTGCCATGACTATGCATTTATGGGCCACCGTTGAATAGGAGTGCGTGAAATTAGACGTCGCGCGCTGATGTTTGTTTTGAGGGTCGTGAATAGGATTTGAATACATTACAGGGCAGGATGGGCTAATTTGGGGTTATTTGTATTGTTATTAATTGAAAATTAATAACAATTGGATATTACATCATGTAATACAATGCTGGCGGTATCAGTGCCAGGCCTCCAGTTGTCTACTTTTCGCTTACAGGATCATTGCGACTTCCGTTGTCTTACTATTTGCATACCTCTTCAAATATTGCCTTTTACTCTTACCTACTTTGATTATAGTCATCTGAAACTAGGGATTCGTCAAGTCAAGTTGCTCGATATTTTTATAAACTACTTGACTTGAAACTAAAAGTACTTGAAACGTTAATGGTTGCCTACTACTACAAATTTCTCGTTATACAGCTATGTTAACGGTTGGTATTTTGAAGTTCGAGCCCTCATTTTTGAACGAAGAATGGGTTTCTGGACCTAGGTCCAATGAACACTTTCCATAGCATGGTATGGACTATCGATTCGTCAGGCATTCGTCCAATTCCACCGGAAGTGCTCTCCTATTGCTTTTGTGTGGTGATACTTGTTACTGTTGTAACATACAGTACCAGTGTAACATAAAACTTAATAAAACAATATTTTTGTAGTTGTTATGGCTTGAACACCCAACGTACCCAACACTAAAAGTCTTTGACCTGTGCAACTTAGTTACATACGCCAAACAGCGTGGGCTATATGTGGGAGTTGACAATACGTACCTGACACCTTACCTACAAAGACCCTTGGAGCTACATGCGGATATTGTAATGCAGTCTTGTACTAAATACATGAATGGCCATTCTGATATGAGCCATGGGGCTCTGTGTACGAATGATAAGCAATTGCTGAAAGGGATGCAAAAAATACAAAGAAGTAAGTAGATTAACTTAAGTGATCAGGAAAACTGTTTAATCTTCAAAGTACAACCGTTGATATAGTTCGGGATCCCATGTACCACGAAACGTTCATCATATATTAGTGGAAGGCGGATCATAGAATAGTGAAATAATACAGAATAATGAATGTACAAAATAGTATATTGTGTATGTGAATTGAGTATTCATGAAAATTTTTGAACAAATGAATACACGTAGAATTTTATTCAAACTACTAGACGTACTTGTCACCTTATTCGAAAGCCCAAAGCTTTATATTTACCATGCAGATTTTCCAATCATTAATGTATGATGGTGATTTCGTGGAATATAAGATCCTAGACTATGTATTAGAGTTTTTAATTCATGGCCTCTCTACAACTTGAAAGCACCGCTCGGTTTTTGAAAAATGCATGATGTAATATATCCTAATATTAAGCAGCTGATCCCGACAATTCTATGCATTTGTAAGGTATAATAGTTACACATATGTTGAAACATTGATATTGAATACCATGTTTACCGCTCGCTATCGCCCGATAACACCAACAAATATACTTGACGGAATAGGTATGGGTACGGAACTTCGGCAACCACAGGAGTTCGGCGTATAAAAACGTTCCTATAAATATAGGTCCAAAGATGCTCCCCTACCCATACAGGGTGATGGAGTTTTATTTACGAAATTGAAAAAAATTATATCTACTGAGCGGATGAAGATACTGAGTTAAAATTTTAGACGTTCAGTTCAGCAATAAACACACAGAGTTTCCCAGCCGATAAACCAGGGGCGTAGAAACTGGGGTACATGGACCCCTAATAGGAAATATTTTCTACGCCATTGGTGTTTTCGGAAAAAGGAAGTACATTTTAACCACGTAGTTTTATCAAATGTAATATTTATTATTTTCGTGTTTAATTCTTAGCTCAATTTATTAAAAAAAAAACGTTTTCTTTGTTTTGAAGTTCTATAAACAAAAATGAATATGCCTGCAAAACCAGTGGTGTGCACAGGAAAAGTTTAATGAATGGCAAGCTGTCGTAATGAGATGCCGTAGCTTTCTTTCCATTATCAAGCTTCACAGTGTTTTCAGAACAGGGGAGGCCAAAACTTTTCATAAAGATTATTTTAGGATTATATCTCAGATATTCAAACCTACATATATCCAAAAAGAGCTATCTGATAAAAACTCATAAAGAGACAAAATTTATGGATAAATGAATCGTATTTTATAAAATGCACTTCTTTTCTACGAAAAGTCCAGTGGCTTAGAAAATATTTCCTACTAGGAGTCCAGATATCCCACTTTCTACGACCCTGGTTTAGTTGTGAATTTATTGCTTATGATGTGTTTACTGAAGGTCTGAAATCTTGACACAGTATCTTTACCAGCTCCATAGATATATACTTTTTTCTATTTCGTAAATAAAACTTCATCACCCTGTATCTTGGTAGGAAAGTATCTTTCGACTCATATTTATACGAACTGTTTTTGACTTTTTTGGATGTAGTTTCTACCCTAGAAATATTGGCACGTCTTTCTGAAACACCCTGTATACGCCGAACTCCTGTGTTGCCGAAGTTCCGTACCTGTACCTATTCTGTCAAGTACATTTGTTGGAGTTATCGGGCGATAGTGAGCGGCAAACATGTTACCAATGTTTCAACATATATATGTAACTATTATACCTAACAAATGCATAGAATTATCGGGATCAGAAGCTGCTCAAAGTTAATATTTAACGACGAGGTGGAGGGAATTCCAGAGACGACGTTAGGAATATTTGAGACAGTGATTTTGCATTTTTCTAACATAGGTATATTTCACTTACTTTAGCGTCCTAGAATAGTATCAACGGAGCAATGTGTGTAGTTGGCTGTTACTCCCCACGCCACTGCAATCTTAAAACATTTCGAAAATGAGATATTGGTCTGTCTCCGCCAATACTTGACCTCTGTGTAACTTAGAAAGTACCGCTCGGATGTTGATACAAGGGTACTAGTATACCAAAGAAAAAGACGAAATAGCTTTGTAGTTTTTAAAAATCGATCCAGTGGCAGCGGAGCTTCGGGAAAAAAATGAAAAAATCGATTTAGAGGCCCCCGCTTATTTTTGGAAATTCCTTCGAGTAGTAAAAACTTGAGGTAGGGGGAGGGGGTATAATAATAATAGAATGAAAATAGTTTTTCCACGGTCCTAGAGTGATCGAAATATTTTCGGTATCTACCTCGAGCCCAACCAAAATAAGAGATAAACCGGTCGCGAGCTAGTCGCTGCTGCTAGCGGTTTAACTCTGATTGCAGCGCTGCGTTGTTGGATGGTCCAGGTTAGACAACGTTGTCAAATGGGTGGGAACTGGTGACCAATTGTATGGGGCTATTTGACTAACTTGATTCATTTAATTCCTTTGTTATACATTCTTGTTGTTAATTCTTTCTAGGAGGGCTTAACATATGCTAAACATAATCTTTTATGAACTGATGACAGCTTGACTCCATTTTTTAGTGTATGGATTGATCCCCTCACCATTTGACTGCTATCAAGTCTTGAGAGGACTAAAAACTCTGCAATTGAGGATGGAAGAACATACCAAAAATGGTTTACTTGTAGCAAATTTCCTTCAGAGGCATCCTTCTGTCAAAAAAGTCCTACATCCAGGTGGGTTTAAAAAATGATGAATATACAGTGATTTTTTCAAGCTGCTTGGCTCGATGATTTCTTGTTTCCCATACAAAATCGATCTCTGTCATACCAACAGTTTTCAAATTCGATCAGCTACATTTATGCAGCTTGGTGCTATCTTTTGGAAAATCCCTGAATTTTTTGAAGGCGTATAATTAAAAAATTGCCGTCTTAGATTTAGTGCGTTCCTCGTAAGTACCACTTACAAAAAGAGCTTCTCTTACGCTGCTGCAAAGTTATACTCTGAAGAATTTTTAAAATAAACTGAAGTTGTGGTTACTCAGCAGTACATAATCACTCCCTGAACACTCTGCCACCCCATCTACCTTCATAGTTTTGAAATACGATATCTTTATCTAGTTTTACAATATATATATATATATATAGTAATAGATCGCTGATCACTTTATTGTTGATTTTTGAACCGTTCAAAAAGGTCAATTTCATATTAGGAAGTACGGTTGAGTTGAAAAATACCATCATAGTAACACTCCACCGATTCAATTCTCAGAATGTTAGTCACTTTTAGCGTATTGTTGTACTATGTTGTTCATATTGTGTAAAAGATTCGAATAAAGCCAAATTATTATCATTATTATTAATTGTGCAGGTAAAAATAGGTTCCTTTATTTTTCAGAATTTTCCAAAATGATTCTTTAAAAAACTAATCTGTATCGTTCATCAAAGGCTCAGGACCTATAAATGGAGCTTTCGACCCTGAAAATAAATCATATTTCAAGTTAATCCCATCTCCGAAATGTCTGCATATAAATATTTTTAAACATTTTCAAGTTTTCATCAACATTTTTCTTTTTGATTCCTTGATTGTTCTTAAAGAACCCAAAGTTCGCAGTGTTGCCATTTTTGTCCAAAATTCATACATTTTAGAATATTTAACTTTTTCTTATTCATATGCTCCCAACTCTTTCTGCTTCAAATCTATAATAAAACACACTGACACAAGACATATATAAAAATGGAAGTGTTGCTCCATTGTGCTTGCAATGAAAACAAAATTTTAAACATCAATACAGAGTTATAACAAGACTTCATCTTTTATTTTTAATGTGAGCGCAAATATAGATTTGAAGTAGGTAGTGTTGCGCCCATGCGCGCATTTAAAAATAAGTTAAATGTTCTAAATGTCTTGATACAATCGACATATTGTCAGGATCGAAAATCCCGCTTATAGACCATGATCCCTTATAAATGTTTCTTATTTTACATATATGTACATTCATGTTTTATCCTCTCATTTTGATTCTAGCTTTCAAAGATCACACCAATCATGATATATTTAAAAAACAAAGCAGTGGTCATAGTGGCATAATTTCATTTTATATCAAAGGTGGTAAAGCTGAAGCAACGCGATTCATTGAAAGTTTGAATATATTTACTGTGACAGATGTTTTTGGAGGGAACGAAAGTACTGCTCAAATACCGTAAGTTATAAAAAAATCGAGCTATCTTTCTATTAACCAATATAATATGCATAAGGTGCGAAATGTGGTACAAGCCATTGATATGGAACCTCTAGGTCTAGGGGATATGGCATAACGTCTTTAATCACGGGGTTAGGAAACGATTCTTACAATACAAATCTGTCACACCAACGTGCGTTTGTTTGGCACAAGTTTATTTGGAGCATTTATTTTTCCTACACTACTGTCATCGTTATTTGGCCTACGCTATTACCAATAAACATGGTGCCTGGTCCCTGAAGATGCGCTGAAGGCGAGTCGCTGTTGGAACGTTCGCTTACAGTAAGTACGAGTCATGCAACAATAAGCACAGTTTGCTAGTAGCACATAGCACATACCCTTAAGATAACAGAAATATTAAGTTCCGAGAAAACGTGAATAGGCCAGCCCAACCCTGCATCCTACTGTGAGTATACAAATCAGGCGTAGGTTAATTTAGTTCATTTACAAATCGGACTTAAAAAATCGAAATTGGAACACGAATAACATAGTTTTGAATTTGATGTTTAATCTGCGAGCATCTTCAAAATGCTACTGATACTTCGCGAGTGTATGGAGATTGTTATCCTGGATGTTTCCGTCTTGAGCTGCGTAGGTTTGTTTATATCGTCCAAAGGCTGTCGAGGTTGGCGTAGTAGAAAACCTAGACATCTCCAAATGTCCCAAATTTAGTATAAAGTTAACAAACCAGTGTTTTTTAATCAAACGGCGACAACTTCATATAATGCTTACATACAAAACATGTAACTGTGCGATATAGTCTGTGAAAACCAAAAGTTCTCCATTTTTTTGCCCAACAGATAAGGTTAAGAATCGCTTTAAAAGAAAGGCTTAAATTTCACTTTATATACTTGGCGACCTCAATAATTATGATTTTTAAAAGAGTTTGAATATACACCTTTCAAGACATTAAATCGCTTATAACTCGAAAATGATCAGTTCTAGACAACAATTGATGGGAACTTTTTTGCTCAGAAAGATGAAAAAATCCGGAAAAATTTTGTCCGGCAAAAAAGTTTTTAAACAAATCTGATCTGGGTTACCGGAGAGGTATATTAAATTCTCAAAAACTCGGTTAAAAATTATAGTGATGTTGATAAAAGTATCTAAATCAAAGTTAAAACCTTGCTCTATAAGACCTTGAAGAGTATCTTGAGATTAGTTTATTTTAACTGATTACAATCTTGTTTTCCAGGCCAAAACTGGCGAACTTTTGGTTTTCGTAGACTGTACTTGTAATTGCTTATCATAGGAATAGTGAGTACTTTTTCCAATTTCTTATTTACATTATCGCTGCTGTTTTACGAAATATTAGTTTCAATACACTCTGTATTTTAAAGACAAGATGCAGGACTGTTAGAGTCCTCCAAGGAGATAGCATTTATATTATAAACTGTATTGATTTGTGAGTCTATTGAGCTCAAAAAGTATATTTATAAAAAATGAAATCAGATCAGGTGGGCTTGATTAATAAAAACTGTATATTCATAAATCCTTTTTATGACCAGCTAATTACGATAGACTGTTTTAATTCATGCAATTTGATGAACATTTTATCAAAGCAACTTAAGAACGGTGTACAGTTTAAATTTTAACATCGAACAACGTATTCTGCCTTATGACAGCTAAGAACCTAATACTTTATTCCGGCATCCACAAAATTATTCGAGTTGAAATGGAATACCAAACTACCATTATTGACCGCAATGCCTTGTTGAAAAGTAGCATTTCTCTCCTTAGGTAGATAATGCTTGTGTCTATCACAGAAAAAGCTGCTGCGAGAGCTGTTTAAGCGAAAGCGGTAAATTGTGAGCGGTAGCGTTAGACTGCTTTAACTTTTGACTGTTTTGTTATATGACATCCAAACATCAAGCTCACCTGATCTGTGCTATTAAACTTTTTTTATAACAAGTTATATATTATATTCTGGATTTCAATGTGGTTCTTCAAATTCAAACAATTTTCCTACTAATACGATTGATGATAACAAGATCTTGACCTAACCTATCTGTACAACTTTCAAACTTAATAACGCAATTTCTACATGCGCCCTACTAAGCGCTATGCCAGCAAAAATCCTAAAACAATCAAGTTGGGCTGAATGTGGCGCAGCTACTTTCAAAGCAGCTGAACCACTGTCGTGTAAAATGATTTAGAAACGTCATGATCGTGAGGTAAAATCGAATATTGCACCTCAGGTTATAAAAATGCTCGTCTAATAAAGGTCCACTTCTCAAACTTGGTATGTGATATTCTATTAAGCTCTCAGCAATTAGAAATATGTTTTGAAAAGATTATAGTGTCTCATAGTGCTATAGCCAACTATATAATAATAATAATTATATTTATTCAGATCAATTATAAATTGCGAATATTGAAATGACACAAAAGGAAAATATCGTTGTGTGCGGTATGATTCTAACACATATAACACAGTAGTTACAATAAATTAATTGATAAGTACTAGAAAAAAATTATCATAGATTAGACTTTTCATAAATTACATCATGCGTATATCAGTATTCAATAGCCACTCTCATAAATATTTGTAATAATGTTATTCGCTTTTTCTTATGCAGTGTGTTTCAGAAAGACGTTTCTAGGGTAAAAAGTACATCAAAAAATAACAAAAAAAGTTCCAATAAATGTAGTTCCAAAGATGCTCCCCTACCGAGATACAGGGTAATGATCTTTTATTTACGAAATTGAAAAAATATATGTACGGAGAGAGTAATTATACCGAGTTAAGACTTTAGACGTTATGTGAGCGCATCATAAGCAGTCATTACCCAGAGTTTCCTGGCACTAAACCAGGGACGTAGACTGGGGTACTTGGACCCCCTACTAGGAAATATTTTCTATGCAACTGGCCTTTTCGGAGAAAATATGTGCATTTTCTAATATATAAATTTTATCTCGAATGTTTGACAGATCACTAGTTTTGGAGATATTTAGGTTTGAATATTTGAGGTAAAATCCTAAAGTATTCTTATGAAAAAGTCTAGCCTCCCCTATTCGGGAAACATCGTAACGCTTGATATTGGAAATACCATATAGCATGTGAAGAAAGCTATAGCACCTCATTACAACATTAATTGAATAATTTGCCTGTTTTATTCTCAATCAGTAGCATAGAAGCTTACCATTCATCAAATCATTCCTGTGCATGCCACTGGTTTTGCCAGCATATTTATTTTTGTATATAAAGGAACTTTAAGACAAAGAAAACGTTCATTTCAAAAATAAATAAATAAAGCCACCTCTGGATTCAACATAAGCCCATGCTCTACGCTACAAAGGCTCTCTGACTCTGGAAAATACCTGGCGTAGTATGAACAGTGTTGAAAGCCTTTTGTATACTTCATCCTCATACTTCGTGTCCGAGGTTGCGAACGATTTGTGAAATATTCTTTATTGAGGTCACTTAATCCAAAATGTTGAAGAATTTCGAGAAAAGGCCGATAATTTCAAAACTTAAATAAGAATTTTACTCAAATTGATTGGTTCCACAATTACTAGTTGTCATTTTAGACAAACGGAATGATCTAACATTGGTAATACCAGGAGAAGTATACCATAAGAACCAGTGGCGTGCATAGACAATGCTTGGGGAGGCTAAACCTTTTCATAAGAATAGTTTAGGATTTTACCTCAATCTTCAAAACGAGTGATCTGACAAAAATTCCGTATGAAACAAAATTTATGGAAAATTTTATAAAATGTATTTCTTTTCTCCGAAAAAATCAGTTTCGTAGAAAATAATTCCTATTAGGGTTCCAGATACCCCAGTTTCTACGTTCTGGTTCAATTTGGGCCGGGAAACTCTGTGTGAGTTTATTGTGTGTGTCACTGAACGTCTAAAATCCTAACTTAGTATCTTTACCAGCTCCATAGAATTATTTTTTTAATGCATGTTTGGACCCGTATTTATTGGAATTTTTTTTGTTATTTTTGCAGGTACTTTTTGCCTGGAAATATTAGCACGTCTTTCTGAAACACCCTGTATATGTTTGTAAGTTGTAATTTTAGTCCTAAGTATATAAATAATTTTAACATCATTTCCTTTTCTGGTGCAGCAATAATTATTTGTTTATTTTTATTTCTAATATCATATTCATAATTTTTATAAACGGCTTAATGTTTTATGGAATTATAACGTTATACAAAAAAAATTAATTCGAAAGTTTTGATTCGTTAAACACCAATTTGGAGGGATATGATAAAGGTTTATTATACATGGCTTTTATTAATAATAATAAGTTTATTCACGTAACATACAAATATAACTAAAACTAACGTAAATAAACTGAATTTACCCACAGAAGAATAAATTCTTGTGTGTGGGTATTAACTTACATTTTTACATAAATATACATATACACACGTATACACACACACACACACACACACACACACACACACACACACACACACACACACACACACACACACACACACATATACATACACCTATACATATATACATATACATATATTCATACAAATAAACATAAATAGATGCACACATACACACATATAGAGTACATGAACGTTGGAGGGTTTTTACTATTACATTAATTTTAAATTTCTTTCATGCGTATCATGTTTGCAATTTGATGTCGATTTTTTTCAATTATGAATTTTTTGGTTTCAATTTTGAATTTTGTTTTATTTGAAACATTTCTTATATAATTTGGTAATATGTTATATAATCTACTGGAAAGGTAAGTATGACATCTTTGGCCTATACTTTTTGAGGTGAAAGGTGTTCGCTTAATGTTGTTGATTTTGTTTATAGTGTGATATAAGTGATCTAACGGAATAAGGTTATTTCTATCGTGAAATTGATAATTTATAATTTTATAAAAAAATTGTTGCTTAGGGTCTAATAGCTTTGCTTCAGAATACAGCAGATTAGATGGGTATAATGTTTGTATTATTTATAAAGAATTTAGATGCTTGTTATTTTAGGATCCCCTATACCATATGAGGATATACTTAACTACAGCGCAATCTTTGAGACGCTAACTTTTTGTAGATATGCGGAGAGGAGAAACATAGATGTGACAGATTCTGATAGATGATGCTGTGGGATCTCATTTCACCTTGTTAATCGGTGGTTTTAGGAATATCTGGATTGGTTAACTCATTTTTGTGCGAGCAGTTATTGTTTTGCATACACGTGATTTTTTAGGGCAATTATGTCTCATGAAGGCCTACCGAGAGTATTGAAAGAAAAATTGAAAATCGCCGATAATTTGATAACAGTATCTGTCGGACTAGAGGAAGTCTGCGATATAATATGTGATTTGGAACAAGCACTTGATAAAATTAAGTCCAATGCAAACTGCTGAGAATTCTGAAACTCTGATCGATGTTATACGCAACAATGGTAATATCAATAAAGCACATATTATATTTTTTAAAGCTACAATAAAGATTTTACCAATTATTGCTACGTAGTCGTGCCATAAGTTCTGTCCCATGATAATCTCATGATAAAAATGAAACAAGAAAGATATATTTATATGAAAGATATTATTTATTCGACAACATTTTTAGAATTCATAATCAAACAGTTTTATTCAAAATGTCCCCCCTTGGCCTTCACACACTGCTTCAATCTCGCGGGCCACTCATCTATCACTGCACGCACAGCTTCCAAAGGAATAGCTGCCGCTGATCGGATCAAATCCGCTTTCAGGGACTCGATATTACGGTGGGCTTTGGAGCAGGCCAACTGCTCTAGCAGGTCCCACAACTTGTAGTCTAAAGGATTGAGGTCCGGACTCCCTGAGGGCCAATCTTCCGCAGCAATGAACTCTGGCACATTGCTTTCCAGCCAGCGCTGCGTACTCTTAGCCTTGTGAGCGGGGGCGGAATCCTGCTGGTAGACCCAGTGTTGGTTGGCAAACAATGTGAACTCCTTGCATACACTTTGTCATTTTGTCGGTTGAATTTTTCTTCTATGGTGAAGATTTTCTCATCCGTGAACAAAATCTTTCGGAATCCCCCAGCTGCGTACCTCTCCAAGAGCTTCTTGGATCTTGTCGCCCTAATGTGTCGCAAGGTGGCCGTAAGTCGCTGGCCCGTACGTCTCCGGTAAGCCCCTAGCCCTAGGTCTTGTTTAATGATGCGCGACATCGTCCGGACAGGAATCTTCATTTCCCTGGATAGGATCTTCTGCTTCCGGAGTGGATTCCTTTGAATCCTGGCTTTTACGGCTTTGATGGCTGCTGGAGTCCTTACTTGACGAGGTCTTCCGCTTCTTGGCCTGTCATCAACAGAGGACGTCTCATTGTACCGCTGAATGGTCCTAGACACAAATTTACGCGATATTTGAAGGCCGCGTAAGAGTTCAAAAATCTGACTAGCACTGTGATTACACTTATGTAAAGCTATCACTGCAATACGGTTCTCTGCCTTGCCCCACTCCATCGTTATGCTTCGAGAGATCAATACAAACTGAGGTATATGTAATTACCCGAAAAGCGCTTAATCAACTGACACCACAATGTAAACAATCGGACAAGTATTAACAGGTCTACACTTGTTTGAAAACGAGGGACAGAACTTATGGCATGACTACGTACTTTCTCTGTTCAGTAAAACAACTTTTAGGACAATAATGAAGAGATGGTGTGATAGCAACTTCATATTAGTTTATGAAAGAAGTTTGTAGTGATCACATTAGTTTATTACAGTTTTGGAATAAACGAGTGGACAAGATAAAATACATTTATTTGTGAAGTAGTACAATAAATTAATAAATACATATAATATAGTAAAAATTTAACGATATTTTGAATATCTCCAATAAACGTTAAGCAGTATAGATATCTATCTGATCGACAAAAACACATTTTAATACTGAGAAAACATAAAGCAACAGACAGTATATATAATCTGATAAAGAATTATTTTTATAATTTATCGATACGAGAGAATACTTGCATCTTGTTTGAAATGTATGAATGACGTCCTATATGTATAATACTTTAGCTGTGAGCTGCAAGTACACTCTTCATAAAATTCCGTTGCAAATGCAAGCATTGAATGGTGTCGTAACATAAATGTTATTCGCACAATATATTATACTGGAGACTTTGTAATCGATCATATATAATTCTAATTATCATAGTCAACAAGCACCAGTGTACTATTTAGTTACGTATTATTAGGGTGAAGTGTATTCTAACATCTATGCTTACTTATTAATCTGTAGACTTCAGCATAAATCGTGTTAAAATGGGTATTATATGATAAACATACAACACAAGTCAAAGTTAAACGTAAACAGTAGGTACTTATTGAATGGAAAGTTGTGAAGCAATAATTTTGTTCAAATATAATCCAAAACTACGTTTGTTTTTATCCTGGATAAATAAATGAATTTTCAAGTATTTCCCATAATTAATTTTGACATCTCTAGATCAAAAGGCAAAAAGCAACAACAAAGAATTTCAAGAAGTTGTGAATTTCAGCTGTATATCGGCTAATATCTACCAATCACAGTATTGAAAATACAATTTATTAGTGCTGTCTGTTCTTTTATATATTCTAGTATGGTAGTACATATGAGATTAAACATAACTAACATTATATGCTACTAAATTTCTCTCTAGTTTAAAGCAATTGCACTTACTTTCTAATTCAAAGCAGTGGAAGTAAGCAAAGCCACACCTCTCTCATAAAAGCTGTGAGCGTCTTGCCCAGAAGCAATGTTCAAATCGACAGTGTAAAGCAGCTCAGTCCTAGTAGAATTCAAGTACAGGGGCAATGACAGCTTTCCTTCCTTGTACTGGTTTTCATTGGTGCAGCGTATCCATCGCAGCAAAGTGATTGGTAGTTCAACCATTATGCTTGAAGTTAAGACTAACTGGTTGCTACGGCACTGTGCTCCTTGAAGCTTGATGCCTGTAAGAATATAGTGATGATTAATATTTCAAGAAAGGAACGGAAGAGATAAAAATATGAATATTAAAAATTTTCCTATTCTACCCCAGAATTAACTGCTTCAAAAGGGATCAACGTTCGTACGTGTTATTTTCGGCCCCCAAAGTAACTCAAATTTCATGTTGAGTGCATCTATGAAATTTTTGCACTTTTTATTTTAAAACATTCACATATCTATTTTAATACTTCATTGTTCTTTAAAAGCTGAAGCTTTCTAATATATAACTTGGTCTTTTGCAGGGTGTTACTTAATGATAGGCCCTAACTACAAGGCAGCATTGCTGAACCAAATTCAAGTTGATATAAGTATGTGCCCCTGAAAAGTCTGATTTCCAAGATACGGGATGAGATTAAAAAAAAAAAGAGTCAAAAAGGATGTTGATAATAACAGAATAACACTTCTTAGTAATGATCAAAGTTCATTTGATCCTATTTCAATGATTTTTTGGCATGTAACGAAGTTGTTTTATATTTTTTTCCTCGAAAATGGAGTAAAATACGGAAAGGTACCAGACAAAGTTGCTAATCTGAAAGAAAAAATATTTTTTTTCGTGAGTTTAGAGGTCCCAGAGACACGTTCTGTTTGAAATGCAGAGAGGAGGGTCATAAAGTTGATACATAATATGTAAACTCGAATCGTCTGGAACTTAACCAAAAATTTAAATTGAATCTTAGTATTGATCACTATGCTTTCGACAAAACTAATTTTTCAGTTATAAGGAAGAAGATTGAAACAACCAGGAACATCAACTATTCTATATACCAATCAAGAAGCGATTTAGAAGTTGCGCCAAAGAATACCATTCCACTTGACTGTGGAGGCATTAAAAAACAGAACAACAAACTAAATGTATCCCATGTTAAGCTTTGATATGTTTGCAGACACCATACTAGAACAAGATTTCCACATCATAGCGTTAACTGAGACTTGTTTTTTTTCAGGCTTCCCCTCTGATTTAATTTCTCTGCCCAACTAACAGCTTATCAGAAACGATATAGGGATATAATAACATCAACCTAACCGATGAGCAAACAGTTTTTGCAAATGATGACTCTATCCAACATGAACCAAGTAATTAATGAACCAACAAGAATAACAGCAAATACAGCAACAGTCATTGCTATCATTTTCACAACGAATACATTCACTGTATGCAAGTGTGGAACTCTAGACATGCCCGAAGTCACTGATCACTTATTGTGCTTCTGTAAGTTGGAAATTGGAACTCCAGAATACATACCTGCAATACTTTACTGCAGAGATTTCTCGCATTTTGATCACGTTTTGTTTACAAATGATGTTGCTTCTATTTAATGGAGTTACACAGATGGTTTGCAAATCTTGATGACAAAGTTCAAAGTTATCCACATTACCGAAACTATGATTATGCTCTACAATATTCATGCCCCATTGAAAAAATACTTCACTTAGGAACCAGAGACCGTATGTGACACATACGATCAGGTGTATAATAAATTTGAAGTGAAAACCATACAAGCTCAGAAGAACCAGAAGTGAAGAACATCCTGCATATTATAGTATAATTATAATAATAAATTATTTAGGAATAGCTTTGAAGAATGAAAAAACAGCTTACAAAAAATTATTATATATAATAATAATAATAATGTTTATTTCCAACAGGCAGATACACCCAATTACAGCAAATATCAATGAATATCACTTAAGCACAGTAAACAGATACACAGATAAGAATAATAGTATATAAGTAAATAATCAACAATAATATCCTACCATAGAAGTTCTTCAAGGTAAAGTTCAATGACGTGAGATTTAGTGTCATTAAATATGTCGCAGTTACTGATACTACTGAATATTGTAGACATCCTATGAACGAGATCCTTGGACAAGACATTGGTGTGGCATAAATCACAGTAAAATGTAGCACAATATTGGTTACCTAAGCGAGGAAAATTAAAACATATCTTACTTAAAATATATGGACAATAAATCTTATTGTGGAGTAAACTGAAAAAAAAAGTTTTGAACAAAACATTATGACCAAAGCCTCTTTGTGGATAGAAACCATTGCATTTAAAAAAAATATACTTTACTGCTACTCGTTGAATGGATTCCAATCTGCTAATAGAGTTTTGATAAATAGGTGCCCAGATAAGTGATGCATACTTAAGCTTGTTGCTGACATATGTTAGATCTAGAAGGTTGAGTGTTTCAACATTCGAGAAACCTGACCAGCTTCTAACAAAGTACCCTAGCATTCGGGAAGCATACGATGTAATGCTATTTTTGTGATCATTAAAAGTGAACTTGACATCAAATGTATTACCTAGATCTTTATAACTCCTATGTTACTCCTTTCTAACTTTACCTGATTAATACTGTAGTCATCATAAAGGATAACATTTTTTTCTATAATATGTTACTATAGATTTTGATACAAATTAGTGTGAGGAGGATTTTGGAACACCATGAATTGATAACTTCCAAATTATTTTGAAGAACATGACAGTCTTCGGAAGTTACGATATTATTAAATAAGTATTATAATAATCCTAAACAGATGTGGAACAATTTCTCAATGTGGAATATACACACAAAATCCAGCAAATTAATTATGAATTATTTCTTGGCACATTTTCAGGGCGAAACAATTCTATAGTATGCAAATGTTCTTTTCGTCTTATTACATCCGACCAAATTGAACAAAAATTGAAAGAAGTGAAGTCAAACGCTGAGGGTGTTGATGGTATCAACTATGTTGAGAAACGTCATGGAAAAAGGTAGTCATAGCGCCTCTTGCAAAAGTTAATAATGCCATAAGAGCTTTACCTTCAATGTCCAAACAGTTAGAGAAAATTGCAGATAGTGAACTTCGAGAGTATCTAGAACTCAACAAAGTGATGCCTGACACCCAGCCTGGGCTTAGGAAATTACATAATACATCTACAGCGCTTATTAAAAGTTCCGGTCATATAGTGGAATTTATAGATGATGGCATGATAACAATACTAGTCATGTTGGACTTCAGCAAGGGATTTGACATGGCGAACAACATGGTTTTGTGTGAAAAAATGCTTCATCATGTTTTGAAATTGCGTGATAAAGTTGGTTCCAGACTAGCGATTCTGAAGTATAAAGAAATAATAAATACGAACATAATTTTAAGAAATATCAACATTGGATTTATTTAAGAAACAATAAATTTGGGAATAGTACTAGATAAGAATTTAAGTTTTGAAATTCATATTATAAATAAGCTTAGAGTATGTTATTATAAAAAAAATCGCTATGGAGATATAAGAATATATTAAGTGATATCAAACTGAAACAATTGTAGTTGTGTATTATCGTTCTCTAACCGAGGAAATGAAACAAAAAATTCAAGTTTTACAAAACCATTGTATGAGATTTTCTTTAAATAAGATAAACAGACGCGAACACATTACTCGGTACTGTGTAAGGGAAAATGTTCTAAAGTTCAAGCAACTCTAGTTGCTTCTCTATGCTGCTCTACTATTTAAGGTTTTAAACTCCGAAATATCTTATTGGCGCGTTAGATAAAAGATCTTCACTCAAACAACTATTCCTCCGTAATGAATATTGTTATATTATACCAGCTTACACTACCTTAAAATGTAAAAAAATGTTTCTATTATACAAAGGATATTATAGAAGTTTTGCAATATGACTGAACAAACGGACGCAGGAGGCTGCATGTTACTGCATGTTGAGACATGTCCATGAGTGCATAGTTGCCGCCAGCAGCACGTTTGTTGATTTATTTGTTCATTCGTATTGACAGTGTAAACTGCGGACTATGGCATCGTTGTCACGTAATGAGATAAGGGCAGTTTGTTCTCTATGGGTACCGCATAGTCTGACGGAAGAGCAGAAGACTCGTCGTACGAATTGGTGCCGAAAGATGCTGGAAATGTTTGATAAGAGGTATGTGAACAACATCGTGACAGGTCACGAAACTTGGCTCTTTCATTGCGATGTGCCGAACAAGGCTCGAATAACGTTTGGGTCTTTGATGATGAGGACATACCCGTAGCTGTCAGAAAATCCCGACCTGTTAAGAAAAAAATTACAGCAGTATTTGTGAAACCGAGCGGGATTATGTAGCCTGTCGTTTTGGACACAGAGAAGACAGTGACAGCTAAGTGGTGCACGAAACAGTGCCTGACTAAAGTCATGTAGTCTTTGAAAAACCTGCGGCCAAAGTCAAGAACGGACACTTGGTACCTCCACCATGACAACGCTCCAGCTCACCGCGCCAAAGCCTGCACCGAGTATTTGACCACTATTGGACTGAAACTTATTGAGCACCCTCCTTACAGTCCAGATCTTACTCCCTGCGACTTTGCACTGTTTCCGCATGTGAAAATGAAGCTAAAAGGAAAACGGTTTTCTAGCAATGAGGACCTTCTGAGCGCTTGGGACAACGAGTGTGCTGCACTCCCGGGTGAAACTTGGCAGAGCTGGTCTAAGGACTGGTTTTGGCGGATGAAGAAGTGTATTGAATGTAGTGGAAATTACTTTGAACGAAGGCAATAAATAAAGCTGTATTGCAAAACTTTTGAAGTATCCTCTTTAGTCTAAATGAATTCCCAAAATTTTCTGAACTAGCGTCCATTCACAGCTTGAAAAGATAATTCAAAAGTATGCTAGTACAGTTACAATTTTCTGAATCTGCAAGTGTTCTTATATGTGATGTATATGATATGCCCTACCAAGTAAAGTATTGCACTTAATGAATCATTTTATTTACATTAGCTACACAGGCGGAGGTGAAAAATGCCTATGTCAATCCCCAGCTTTTTGGAGTATTATTGTTTTTACTCTATTATTTGCTCGATTATATTATGTATTAATACTCCAATAAACATTATTATTGTATTCCAGCTGACACTTCATTTGTTTTTTCTTTCTTTACACATTCCTACATACTGTGTTACTATAATAGTCTGAACAGTCCTGCAACATGCTGAGATTGCGCGAAGCCATTATTGCAATTTTAATATGGCACCGCGCAAAACCAGCAAAGCATAGGATCGCCTAGGGTAGTTATTCCAATTCCCAATATCAGAATGTTACTGGACTATTCACTACTATTGTAATAACACACTGTACATGAAAGCCTAAATGAAAAAAAAACAATCGAAGTGTCACTTAGGAGACAGATAAACAAAATATATTATCAAAAGTGTCAATTTTACTTGAAAAAGGACATCATTGGGACCCACACGTCATACAATAAAGAGGAATTTTAAATACATTCTTAGTCATTTTTAAAAAGTGCGCTAATTTTTTATTCTTTAATATTAAGGACTATTTTTTTTCTCGTATAGTTTGCTTACAGTCTTGAGGATACAAATGACAGTTTATGTTTGCTGTGGTACTACAGACTAGTATTAAAATACCTTCATATTATTTTATGACCAAAAATTAGACGACAAAAGTATGGAAACTTTTTTTTATTACAAAATTAAATACAATAACTCTACAAAAAATACTGTGTAGCTAATATTTAGTAGCGTAGCCTTTAGCATTCAACACTGCCTGACATCTGCTGCTCATAGAAGGCACCATTTTTTACAGACGTCTGTTGGGATATTTTGCCAAATATTTTATACATAATCAAATAAATCGTTCCTATTTTTTTCTTGTCTGTTGTCTTTCAACGTGCTCCCAGAGATGTACTATAGGGTTTGGGTCCGGGGATTGTACACGCCATGTAAAAACATTAACATTTTTTAGTCTTAACCAGTCCTTTACGCATGTTGAGGTATGCTTGGGGTCATTATCTTGCTGGAATGTCCATCGTAAAGGCATTTCTTCTTCAGAGGAAGGCATGATGTGTTCACTAAGAATATCTTTGTAAAGTTTCTGATCCATTTTCTCAACAAATTTAACAATTGGACCCGGTCCAGAACTATAAAAACAGCCCCAAACCATGATGTTACCTCCACCGTGCTTAACTGTTGGCAACTAATACTTTTTGTCGAATCTTTTTCGTATTGGACGTCACACATATCCAAACAAATCAAATTTGCTTTTATCGCTCCATAAAACTGTATTCCATTATTGTTCTGTCCAAGTTAGATGAGTTTTAGCAAATTCAAGCCGAGCAATACGATTTTTTTTCTAAATGGGAGGCTTTTGCACTAGACGCCTACCAAAAAGCCCAAAATCCACCAAGCGTCTCTGCACTGTTCTGACAGAAAGATTCTCGGCACCCTCTTCTACGATTCTTTTGATAGTCTGTGTGGCTGGCACTCGAGGATCTTCATGGGACAAACGTTTATTCTAGCGATCCAAAACAATCGGTTTTTTTCGATCTTCCGCACCTGAGCCGCGTCAACATTTCTGCCACCACTTCTTAATAATTCAATTATTACGTTGCCTTTCAAATCTTTTGAAAAACCTTTTACTTTTGCCATTCTCACTGATGTTAGTATTTGCCGCACGCAATATCAGAGTATCGCAGAATGAAAAAATACGGCAAAACTAAAATGTTTCCATACTTTTGTCGTTACAAACTCTGTGGAATTTTAAAATAACGCGTGTTTTTATTTCCAGAGAATTTGAATATTGATAAGATAAACCTTACATTAGTACGGGAATCAAAGGTTGACTTTAATATTTGTTCCTTCACAATTTTAATTTAGGTATATGAAATAGTTCATAATAATGTTAATATTTGTTTCCAAACTTTTGTCCGCTACTCTATGTGAAATGATTCGGCCAAAAAAACATGGGGATTGAATTTCAAACTAATAATTCTCTTTTGATTTGACAATTGTTGACAGCGAAATATTTGCACCATTACCAGGCATCAGTTGCTTCCACAAGACACATATTTCACCAAAAAGACCACGCCTATATTTCACTATCAGGCCGACGTTGTTTCCCCTTTTGGCTACTAAGTATGCGGCGATCGATTTAGCTTCCCCCACTATTTACTTCGCTCCTGGCAAATGTTATTGAAAAATATATTCAAAGGTGTTGCGAATTTTTGAGCTTTTGATACATATGTTCTGAACTATTCAAATGCAAAAAATTAATAGATGCGATCAACTTAAGATTTGAGTTATATTCAGGGCCGAAAGAAAGGGAAATTGAACGTATTACTAGAAAAAACATCACATATTGTAAAATCCCCATAAACAGTAAACGATTATAGAGCTGCCAAAACGTTAACCTTTCATAAGATTCTATTTCGACTTACCAGTCACTGCGAAGCAATCTGATGGTATAGCAGAAATGTCTGTTGAATCACTAATGGAGACATCTAGATGCAACTCTTCTAAAGGCCAGCTATTTGCCTGTGCAACGCATTGCCTGGTTGCAGTGATATAAGCTTCAGGATTTAGGAGGCCACCAAGCCAAACAGGGAACGACTGAAGTTCCTTGGCACCAGATGAAGATACCAGCTGAGACAACTAAATGAGGGAGGAAAAAATAAAACGAATCAGCATCGAAAATTGGCACTATGTATAGTGGAATCATTTATTCAATTGTATCAGTGGAGGTAGTTTTGAAGGTATTAGTGACATATGTAACAAACCTTTTGAAGTTGTTTAACCCGTTGACTGAAATCTGTAATCCATTGGATCACGGTACATCCTTTCGGTATGGTATATCGATGCCAATTTACTGGTATGATGCCTCTTACTAATTCGCCTAGCATGGTTCTGTGGTAGTTGGTCTGCTTTTTCTCGCCCTGCAAAAAAATTCTATATGAGAGACATTATTTAGAGATGCCCGCCCTTTATTTGACCAACAGATCAAAATGTCACTTGAAGAGAAAACATCTGTTTTTGAGGAGTCAGCCGAATACTAGCAAAGCATTTCTTTTAAATAAAAGCACTTTACCTGGCATATGAGCAGAACATCATTCAAATCATGCAGAACATCGTTCAACAGTTTTGCAGCAGAATTCACCTCTCTCTCGAAATACCTATACAGCGGATCTTTAATATTTTCCACAGTGCGTTTCAACGTCGGTAAATTGGTTGGCAACAAATTAACCCAGGCTTGAGCACTGTTGTGCAAAGTTTTCATCCATGATGGTCTACCATCTACTTGTCCTATATCAGTTGGCGAAGTGTCGTCCGTGGAATATGCCAACTCATCATCGTCTTCAAGCTAAAAATGAAAATAAGAAGTCCATTTCACATTCACCAATTTCTTTCATATATTCGAAATTAGGATTTGAAGTGTAAAAAAGTATATGAATCCCACTGTGTCCACAAGCTCATAATCTGATGATTCTTAATAATACATGTGATCATTTTTTATAGAATACCCACCTGTTGCATCTTAAGTAATTTACCGACTAAGTCTGTTCCTCTGGTAGTCAGCAACACCTTTTCAGCATTATTTGGAAGACCTAGCCAAGCTGGAGTCTGTCTATCTGCCAAACTTTCGATCCATTTAAGGAAATGATCTCTTCTTGTGCCATCAGGCATTGTGATATGCCTGAAAAAAAAGGACAGTGTTTAAAGTCCTCAGTATGTACTCCTCACAGTGGCAATCAACAATAGACATGAATTATTTAAAAACAAAGGCAAGATTTACCTATTTCCTCCCGGTCCATTGTCGATATTTGCCACCAAAGCAAAGTCACCTTCAAAGCTCTTAGGTGTAAACAGTTTTTTCAAGAAGGAATGTAGAAGTCTTTGGTCGAAATCATTATCTATTTTGCCACCATAGATTGATTGAGATAGCAGAGTGACCAAAGCATCCCAAGGAACTTTCTCGGGAGGCAAATTCGTACGACCCTGTATGCAACACAAAATTAAATGTAATAAAAATCCTGTTTTCTTAAAACTAGGTTGAGATTCATCCAAAACAGACTTAAATTTTAGTAGAAAGAACCCTTCATCTTCAGATTTATTTACTTCCAAACTGCATTCAACTGAATATTTGCAACACTCATCAAACCGATAATAGCTAGCTTCTCGTGTAAGATGCATAGCAAAGCACATATCGCACTAACACAAGAAAAATGGTTTGGTGTGTAATAAAACAGTGCAGTGTTTTGCGGTTGCTATGCTAAAGGCTCCAGAATTAAATACTCCAAATATTACATTTCATACAGATTATCCCAGAAGTCAACGTCAAGCCGTAAACGGGGGATAGGATAAGTCATAATGGTTATCAGAAATATGTATAAATGCTTTTTAAATTATAGGCTTCAAAAAGAAATCGCTAAAATCTTTTACTTCCCATTCCTACAAATTTCAATTTTTTCTTAGACGGAATGACGGACGGTGTCATTCTACGTAGTGACAACAAAACATATAGTAACGCCACTTTGGTTAATTCATGATTGTGTTGCGCCGCCATGTCTGTGTACACCGTACAGGAATACGCCAACATCCACCTCATTTATGACGAATGTAGATGCAATGCTAGTGCTGCAGCTCGGCTTTATCGTGAGAGGTACCCAAATGCTGTCGTCATCCCGAACACCGAGTTTTTGTGAATGTGCACCGTTTATTAGCAGAGGGACGATTCCCAAATCAAGAACATGGTGAAGGAAGAATTTCCTTTCCTCACGAGGACGTCGTATTACAAGCAGTCGAAGAACACCCGAGTACTTCAGTACGTCAAATAGAAGCAAGCACGGCAGGGGTATTACGTAACTCAAAAAATGGCATTGACGGTTTTTTTGACGTTATGTACTTTTTTCATGAAATTATGTAGGTTTTCCCACGTCAACTAGGAACTAGTAGTCGTTCACTTCATGCTCACTTGTAGCAGGCGCGGAATCAACTATTTACACATGACCAGCTATCTAGTCAGTAAGTTGTCATTTTATCGGTTTTTCGATATTATACAAGTGCTCTAAAGTACAGCTGACCAAATCTTGCGAAAGAAGAAGCTCCACCCGTACCACGTACAATAATCAATGTTACAGTACCGGGAAGATCCGCGACTGATGAGACCACATTTAAAAAAAATCTACACAACTTACACGAGTGGTATGTAGAAAATCCAGATTTGAGAGACAAGATAAATCACAGTAGGCGTCAGCGGTGGCCGCAGTGGTAGACTTTTCGGTCTCCTAATCAGTCGCCATTCGCTGCGCGGGTTCGAATCCCGCCCCAAGAGAAATTTTTCTCTTGGCTATGGATGTTGGTGATTGTCCTAAGGTGGTAGACGGTCTCTTAATGTCGAACGTGGACGTACTACCCGGCAGATTTCGTAGGCGGAGCCATAATGTGTGCATGTTGCATGCACACCTGTTCCCTCGCCAGAGTCCGTCTGGCGTCCCTCCTTTCCTCTGTTTCTCCCTATAGCACCATGGGTGTTTAGGCCTTAGGCCTTCGTGGTAGTGGAAGTATAAAAAAACAGTATCGTTTTAAAGTGAACAATGTGGACCGGGATTCTAAAAGAAGAATCATTGTACCCTTTGAGCTGCCAGACTTCTTGAGTGGCGAATTTTATTTAGACTTTTTACAAAATCAGTTACCAAATTTACTGAAAGATGTGCCACTAAGCATTTACAGAGACATGTGGTGCCAGCAAGACGTCTGCCCGGCGCACTATGTCCGATCAGTCAGAGAATATCTTGATGCGGAATACCCAATCGAAAATTTAGCTGAGCTACTGGACAGAATAACGGAAGTAGATGAATTTGTTAATAACCGAAGAATCGCCCTACTGATAACCCGATCATTGTTAAGAAGATGTCAAGATTGCATTGCAGCTGCAGGGAAGCAGTTTGAACATTTATTAAGAATTTAATAAATACATTTGTGACTTAAAAGAGCGTTACTATCTGTCTTGCTGTCACTATGTAGAATGTTACTGTCCGTCACACGAAGAAAAAATTGAAATTTCTAGTAATGGGAACTAAAACATCGTCACAGGGTATAGATTGTTCGGATTATTTAAAGCCTATAATTTGAAAAGTACACGACTTAGATTTTTTATAGTCTTTTGATAACTATTATGTCCCCCATTTCCGATTTGACGTCGACTTCTGGGACACCCTGTATAACAGAGGTGAAAATAATAAGAGCAAAAATATTATTAGAGCTTGAAATGATAAGCTTACCATTGCTGTAGTATCTATCCATGTATCTAAAGTATCACATGCAACTCTCAGATCTGATTCGCTAAACTCATAGTGTTTAGCCCATCCTAGTGGACAATATCTCAATCTTTCTTGTACAATGGCATGGAACCATGCTAAAAGGAAGTATAGACGAGCCCTTTCATTTGGAGGTCTCATCATTCTACTTGCTGGTACCTGAAGAAATAGTAGCTAGTTATAAATAATGCAAATAATTTTCGATTATAATTCTTAGAGCAATTTGAGCTCGCCATATACACTAAGGCTACCTTCCGGAAACCTTAGAGTATTCAACTGGCTAAAACTCAGTTAAGATTTGTTATATCGTAATATTATTGGAATACTATAAAAAAATCATGTATCATTGCTTTTACTCACTGTGCTAAATGTTCTCAGCAGATTAGCCCTGATGCCTGGTGGGGGTTCAAATACAAATATTCTTCCTGCTCTCAATAAATTGACAGGAAGTTTCGGGTTTATCTCCATCGTAAGGAACAGTCTAAAGTTGGAGTGAGGTTGTAGAGAATGTAGTTTCTTTTCGAGTTGAACCAGCCACTGAGGAGCCAAATGCACGTTCTTCAACATCACCCATCTGCAAGAACATAATTAAATCACTAATGCATTAACTATGCATAACGTATCTGTTCCATATTATTTTATCTAACTCGGCATTTTATAACTTTAATATTGCACCAAATTAGCACCGGCATGTTGAGAAAGAAAGTTCTATGAACACGTTTATCCCAATAAACCAAATAATCACACACACATAAACTGTTGCAGTGTGACGTGAACCAATGTCTGTTAGATCTTCCCACGTACCTGCCCGTCTTGCAGGCCATATTGATAGCCCTATCCGCCTGATTGAACCCTTCTGCAGACCCTATTGCAATGCTGGATATCTGCTTGTTCAATTCTGCTGCTAGATCATCAACTCTTCCACTGGCATCGAATCCAGGTACGGAACACAGCAGAGCAGGAGTATTAGCCGCAATTTCTTTTTCGATGCACTGTGCCAAGTCCAGTTCCTTTTCGGCTTGGTACATGAAATCTGGCCCCAGAACTGCTGCTACAAAAAGTTGGGCTGCGGCAATCACTCTGTCTGGTCGGAATGCTTGGATTGCCAGCAAACGGTACATAGCAGTGCCTGGAAGACAGAAAAACGGTGTCAAGTAGGCTGACTTAGTACTTACCCATTTTCCAGTGGTACGAAATTCTAAGAGAAAGGGATAATCATGCGTAGCTTTGAAGGGTACAATTGTAGGGGGTTTATTCTGATAGGAACACTGGTTTAGAAGATCCGTCCAGTCACAGCTACCTTGAACTAACATGCCTCGAAGATCGAAACTTGGAGTCATTGCAGGTACTCCAATCCGTACGACCCTTAACCGAACCACCTATAATCCTTATTACTTTTTTTAGTTGCAGTTTACTTTTCAAGCGACATATGGTGTTTGTGGTGCTCTGCATCCGTGATTTTCCAAAAAATAACAAGTTTGGGAAGTGATGTGTTGAACAACAAACCTACACACTGCTCAAGAATTATGCCACATCAACACTTTTCGAGAATCAGCCATCTTTCCGATCCGAACCTTCAAAAAATTGTATATCACGACTAATATGGTCCTGAACTGGGGTGGTAGAGGAAACGCTAATGAAGCAAGTTCAACAAAAACCAATAGTTACTCGTATTTTTTGAGTTACATTGGAGTCAATACCGAACAAACAACATTCTTCTATGCATTACGCAGGTGCAGGTGCAGAAAAATTGTTGACCTCTAAATTTTGACTACGTGCGAAAGTGATCATGAAGTTGAAAATGACGCAAAACCAAACTTCCGTATTCCTGAAAACCATATGCCTCATTCAAAAAATCGAGGATGATCTGAAATTCTCCATTTTTCGCTCAAAACTCCACCGCCGCTAGACTGATTTGCGAAACCCACAAAGCTTTTCGTCCATGGCATGGGAGTAACGTGTAAAAATTTCATCAAAACCCAAGAAGTACTTTCCGCGTTATAGATGAGCCAATGATTAACGTATCCACGACAGATAGACAGATGAAAATGAGTGACAAGGTCCCTTGTGATGTATATGATTTGCAATATCCAAAAATATGTATAATGGATTTGTAAATTTTCGTAATAAAAATACGCTAATTGGCGTTGGAAGTAAAAAGTTAATATCAGACAAATTACATCTGACTACATGTCAAAAAATATAATTTTTTTGTGTAAGTTGACCATTGTGCTCACCAATTGGACTGAGAGCCTTTTCTTCACTCCACAACTGAGGTACAGCCTGTTCAGGGGCACTCTGCTGTAACCAGGCACTAAACTCAGGCATTTCAGCTACTTTCTCTGGAAGTTTCCTAAATGCTGGTAATCGAGCAGCAAGCCTTGCCATTGCTTCCTTTTGTTCGTTATTCAAACCATCCGCACCGATACGATCTAGAAAATGAAGACAATTTTATAAGGATTTTTTGAAGAAAAATCACATGAGAAAATAATTTCGGATAGCATATATTAATGTAAAGTTGTTGAACGCTAATATTCTTCATGAGAGTTGTAAAGTATCATGGTGTGTTTATAAATTCGCTTGATTTAACCTAACCTTATTTGTTGTCATGTCATAATGTGACAACAAATACCAGCTGACTAACTTGTGTCACTAAAATTACCACATATGACAGATCTGTCAAGGTTAGTTGTGTAGAACAAGAGCTATTTTATTTATTGCCAACAGTACAGTCTTTAATACAAAGACATCAAAACGTACGGTAAAAATACACTGCCATGCGAAGTGTGAATATCCTTAGGTTAAGTTACATTGAATGACTTTATGAACCTGAAAGTTAAAGCTAACTCACTAGATGCAGCGTTATTTCCACCAAAAACTCCTTCTTTTCCTCGCAAGAAGAAATTAAATTCTTGATCCAAATTCGGCTCCGAAGATACTCCTTTCAGATAAATTCGGCATAACAAGATAGCGAAAGTCAGTCTGTCATTGTGCAGCATTCCTCTAGCCACGCGCTCGTATGTAACGGAGAACAGGTCGGATGTTATGACGTTTAATCTGGAAATTCATGTTATCAAAAATGTATACGGGTTACATCGAAACACTATGTGAAATAGGGTTTGATGACCAAGCTTTTACATTCCTCACTATAAAAATTCAGAGGCTGGATAGCAACTTAACAACATTTTAGAATACAGATGAGGGGCGTAGCTACCGCCGTATTTATGATGCGGGCTACCAGCTACGAAAAAAAATGCGTAACGTATTTTTAGGCCGTACGCTCACTTAAAATTCTAAACCTTAGATTGTACGGCTAGAAGATAGTAGGTAGCTTGCATCCTATTTTTAACCCTCCTGATTACACATGCAACAGCTGAAAGAAGCATTTCGAAAATGAAGGTAATTAAAATATTTTAGGACATTTTAGCAACCTTGACTATCAAGCAGGTACTGCCCTCACAGGCTGAAAATATGGAGACACTAAAATCGTCCTACGCAATGGATGATTTTGTAAAAAAAATCGGAAAAAATTAGTGGCAAGTAGATTACTCGGCACGTCCCAAGCGTTCACCTATAGACATAGAATAGACTCTCAGTTTTCCACGAGCCTTTTGCTAAAGAAACAAAATATTTGAGCTCCATAATGTTTTTGAGTATGAAATAACCTGAAGCAATCAGAAACAATGGAAGCAAATTTTTTAATTTTCAAAAAATTGTAATCTCTCCACAAAAATGTGTGTGATCAACCTTAAAAATGGTCATAAAGTTGTAAAGCATACAAAAACAATTTTTGGGATGATCTGAAAGCTATTTTTACTTTTACTCATAAAAATTTTAAAAATTAAGTAGTATTAGTCATAGTGAACCCCACATGGATTTAGTGTGCTAGACACCACAAAACCACTTATCTGATTTTCTAAAATTTTCGCCGTCCTAACCCTGGAAAATGCTGCTACCGCTCGCTCTTCAAAAAAGTTTTGATGTTTGGTACAGTTTTACAGAAAGTTATCTCTTGCCTATGATCCACCCTTTTGACTGAAGAAACTACCTGCAGGCGCCAATACGTAACAATTCATATTATTGAATGCATGTATGCTTCTTTTATAAAAATCTATAGGTACTTCAAATTTTACCATCCATTTCCATATGAGGCCCTGAGGAGCAAGCTACGCCACTAGAGCATATATCGTTAATTCAATTCACTCGACTTTATTGTAACAAATACACAGAGTACAGATACAAAAGCCGAAGTCTGGCCAATTGCCATTCATACTATCTTATTCACCTTGCTTGGTAGTCTGATACTCCTTCCAGTTTTGGATTGTTGTGTAGAACGCTGTTAAACATATCCAAAAACATTTTCAGTGAATACTGATACAAGAAATGGATTTGGTTTAAGCTATCCATGGTGAAATATGTGTTACTGCAAGCCTGAGATAGTGGTAGGTACTGTTGGGACACAGTTTCAATCTCTGAAATAACCTACAAGCAAAAAAAAATAAAACGTAGAAATAAGAGCTACATTTTTAAAATATATAAGAATATACAAAAATATTAAACTTATGTAAGCTGATATGATCCAACAAGTAGGCGCAAAACTAGTTGTCAAATTATATACCTTATCAGTCTCTTCAACCTTTTGACCAATTTCAGCAGCTTCGCGTTTCAGAGTTTCCAGAGTTGTTATTACACTATCGTCGTCCAGAATTTTACCTTAAATGAAAATGATAAAAATAATGTGTGATTCGTGAGTTGAAATTTCAAGAAATATTCAATCACCACGAGAAAGTGACAGTGATCATGCCTTTCATGATAACAAAGCATTTACCTTTAGCATCATTCAATGCTTGCAAAAGCGACTTTTCTAGCTGCCTCAATCTCAAGTGGAACTCTCCTTGCAACTTCAATAGATCTGATCTCTTCGCATCAATATCAGGTCTTTCGGCCTTCAAGACTTGATTCAAGCATTGACTTTGCAGAGAGCTCCTAGTTACCGTGAAGTTGACAAAGGTGACTCTGGAGCAAATGTCGGGAGGGAATTCCACGGTGGGGTCTCTTGTGGACAAAAATATGACGAATGATGGGGACAAGTCGATGTCCTGGTCTCCCAAAGTGATCAATACTCTTCCACCAGTCCTTCTTAGTTCCCTGTAATATTAAATATTTGCTGATAAAGTAATAATCAGTGTGCAACTTAGCGTACTAATTAAAAAGAAAACGACAAGGTTCTTATTATAATTCAATTTTGAATGATTTCCTTTAGACTGTACACAATCATTATGTCAAAAAAATTGTATTAACCTGTATGGTTTTATTATCATTTTTTACTTACCTATTAAGTACGGGATTCAGGATTGCATCATAATTTTCAACGTCTTGTACCAGTAAAGGATTTCCAAACCTAAGAGCCGATTCCAGATTTTTCCTAAATGAGTCATCTAAGAATGATGTTTTGGTGATTTTTTTATCTTTGAATTCATTCATAATGAATTCTGTAGCCTGACCAGAAGGATCAATAATCAAGGGGTATCTGAAATAAGATTTTGCAAATAAATGATACTCAGATCCTATAAAAAACTTGTTACTTCACAAAATAAAACGTAATTGAACTTATGTTTACCTGTTAAATCTCTTCAACATGATAGCATTCTCGGTACAAAGTTCATCGGAAGGAAGAGCATTCGCTTGCCATCTCAATCTTTCATCAGGGTTTGACAGGTACTCAGTTCTAGCAATGTCCGCACGGTACTGAATAGCAGCCTGTGTGAGGTGTTGGCACCATGTGGTGAAGAGATTTTGCCGATAATGCTGATCGAAATAGCCACCATAAGCTATGAATGCTGCTGACAGTAGTACGTCTCCAATGATGGTTGACATCTAGAACGGTAAATGTCAGTTATGGGTTGCTCGACAACTATCTGAATCTCAATGCAATAATGCATGCTTACTAAATATAGGAATGCAACTATATTTTAACTACACTATAACTTTACTTTTCACAGACCTGTGATCTAAATGTCTCGCTGGTAGCCTCCCACCTCTCTCTTTCAATAACCAAACTCTTTAGTAAAGCAATAGATCTATCCACTTTAGCTTGTACATTTTCCAAGTCTGTTTTAATAGCTTGAGCTTGGGCAATCAGCTGTGCATATTCCTCCTTGTAACTTGCTATGCTTTGTTCTAATTGACTGATAAGATTCTTGACTTCCTCGCCGCGTTTTTTGTTGGTTTCCGCTTGTTTTTCGAGAGAATTCAGTTCTTCTCTCAATGGCTCAACCTAAAAAGTTGAATGATTAACATTCACATGACAATACAATGAATAGTATAATATATTTTGTGTTCATAATTACCATAACAGTCTATAGCTACAATATACTTACTTTCTTCAGCATATCAGCATACTGAATCTGAGCCATAGCCCATTTGACAAGAGGGCCACATGCATTACTTGCATGATTAACTTTTTCAAAGTTATAGTCTGGGTTAGAGAGGTACTTACTCTTCATCTTTTCTCTCACATCATCACTGCAAAAGGAATAAAAGCGTCCTTATTGATCTTACTAGAATTATAATATAAGTCACAATGGAATTATTACGTGAATTATATTTTCGACGCCGTTTACTTTCTCACATACGTAAGCAATAGTTTCCTACCTGATGTCTTCTGTATTGAAGTTATTAACAACAGTATTGATGAAGTTGTCTCGCATAATCACAGCTCTGATAGACTTCCAATCACTAGCGTTTTCACCAAGAAGTAGGCAAATCGACTCTAAGGCCAATTTTACAATAGCTGGTGGATTCGCCATAGTCCTAATTTCCACTAACTGCTGTTTCTTGATCGATTTTACAGCTATAATATAAATCCAATTGTTAGTTCATGTCATTTAAAGAATATTTTAGTCTCAAGGTATCCAACAATCGATCAATAATGTAGAATATACAATATAAAAAAGGTCGAGGTGGTATTACTTTGAAAGACTCTTTTGGTAGCTTTTGACATTTACTAAATAATAGAGTTTTTTAACTGGCATACACTGGCGCATTTCATCACTCAAGCACTTAAGTGACTGCTTCCACCGCAAATATCGGTGTAAGGAAGGAAACTAGTGCAGCATACTGATTACTTGTCAATTCTTTCAAAACTTATTTAAATAATGAACCTGATCTGTTCATTATATGTTTTTGCTTCCACCGCCCTTTTCAGTCCACTAATTTCAATAATGACGCATGACGTAGAAATTGGAAATAGCTGAAACTTGGAACCTTTTTGATTGTGTTCAGGTAGACGAAGAAATCGACAATCTCCACCAACCAATGGTTTGCTAAGTTGATCAACATCATCATCCTGCACGATGGAAGATGGCGGAAACCCCCTACGTTACCGGCCCATAAATTGTCCACGTTCCACGCAAAGCACAGATAGATCGTCGTCGTAATACTAAAACGGTAGTCTCATCTAGCAGCCGGATTACCAAGTATTCACCCAGCAGACCAACAGTTGCTTTCTATGCATATACAGGGTGACCCCCATTTGTGACTCTCCTGGTATATTTTTGGAAAATATAGGGTGATCCAAGAATAAGATATTGCTTACACTTTAGATTTTTAAATGGAAACACTCTTTTTTTTAATTTTTAGATTTTCCATTAAGTTTTTAGTAACTTTTGTATAATGAAGTTTATACCTATCTTCAATCGTTGTGAAGCTATTTGAGTTTATAATACAATTCGACTAACTTAACGTAATACTGATAATAATGGAATGCACGGCAAAAAATAATTATGGATATCAGCAAAAATATTTAGCATCAGTCAGTGTTATCGTATGTCATAGAAATACTTTGTCTTTCATTTTAAATTGTTTAAGTTACATACCTAGTTGAGATAAATATTGAACAATAACTTATTCAATTCAAGAAAGTTATGCGTTACATCCAGACAAAAATATCAAAGATAAGTATGTGGCTAAGTTAATAAGAAAATTTGATGAAACTGGATGTGTGCTCAATATTCGCCGTAATCGCCATCGAGAAAACCGACCAGTTAGAAATGAAGCCGCAGAAATAGCAGTTTTGGAACACGTAGCACTTGACAACACCCAAAGCACTCGTGGACTTGCTATTTCTTCAGGATTTACACGCTCAACAATACAAAGAATTTTAAAAGATAATACATTTCACCCGTACAAGATAAAACTTGTACATGAGCTTAATGAATACGATTTTGATAGGAGGTTGGAGTTTTGCGAATTAATGTCTCAACGTTTAATCAACAATGCAATTCTGTTATTTATTTGTTTCTCGGATGAGTGTACTTTCTATTTACATGGTGCTGTAAATAGACATAATTGTCGATATTGGAGTGACTCAAATCCATATTTGTTTCGAGAGGTACACTCTCAATATCCTGAAAGAATGTGTTGGCCGGCATTTTCGGAAATCATATTGCAGGTCCTTTCTTTATTCCTGGAAACTTGACGAACGAGACGTACTTGGACATGTTAGAAAATACAATAGAGCCACGAATCACCAAAATAATAGAAAATGTCGTTAATTATAATGATGGTGCACCGCCGCACTATGTGACTCCAGTACGATAGTTTTTGAACATCCATTTCCCGAATCAGTGGTTCGGCAGACGAGGCCCCATCGAGTGGCCCCCGAGATCTCCGGACCGAAGTCTTTCGGATTACTTTCTATGGGGGCATTTGAGAAGTAAAGTTTTTAGTACGAAGCCAAATTCCATTCAAGATCTTCGTGAGCGGATAACGGATGAATGTGCACAAATAACTCAAGAAATGTTTGAAAATTTGAGGAATAGATTCGAACAAAATCTTTACCATTGCATGGAGGTAAATGGACACCACTTTCAGCACTTATTACCACATTGACCTACATCTTTATAGCAAATTAATGTTTACTTATTGATTATTATTTTTACGATATAATCCCTTATTATCACAACTTCTAGAATTTTATTATACACTCAAATATATTCACAATGATTGAAGATAGGTATAAACTTTATTATACAAAAGTTACTAAAAACTTCATAGAAAATCTAAAAATAAAAAATGGGGTTTTCCTTTTAAAAATCTAAAGTGGATTGGATCACCCTGTATTGTTCGGCTATACATGAAAAGACGTCTCCCTAGAAGTCAAAATTGACGAGTTTGAAAGTTTTTTGGGGAATAGATTCGAACAAAATCTTTACCATTGCATGGAGGTAAATGGACACCACTTTCAGCACTTATTACCACATTGACCTACATCTTTATAGCAAATTAATGTTTACTTATTGATTATTATTTTTACGATATAATCCCTTATTATCACAACTTCTAGAATTTTATTATACACTCAAATATATTCACAATGATTGAAGATAGGTATAAACTTTGTTATACAAAAGTTACTAAAAACTTCATAGAAAATCTAAAAATAAAAAAATGGGGTTTTCCTTTTAAAAATCTAAAGTGGATTGGATCACCCTGTATTGTTCGGCTATACATGAAAAGACGTCTCCCTAGAAGTCAAAATTGACGAGTTTGAAAGTTTTTTCCAAAATTTACCAGGATAGTAACAAATGGGGGTGCAACCTTTTCGTTGGGCCACCCTGTTTGCATGAATATACACGATTGGAATGGACATGTTTGCTTTTCGTCTCTGTAACCACGATCAACCGCAGACAGCGATGTTTCGTGCTCATTAGCTAAACATCTGTACACGACCCGTCTATCAAGAAAACGTTGAAGAAAACAATTCCACGGAAAGTGATAGAACCGGCCACTTTCTGTTAGTTATTCTACCCATTTATTTTCAGGAATTGATATCCAGTTTTTGAAACCAGGACATTAGGCGTTAGGAATATTAATTTTTAGTAAAATAAGACTATACAAGGCGTTCTAAACATTGTAACTCTCCTTTTTAGGAATAACTTCACTTAAAATGACAAAGCTAACGTGCGGTGACGAGCACCAAAAAAGTAAAACAAATTTTTGAAGTAGGTAATCATCCCCCATTTGATACGAAATTTCAAGTACCGTTCTGTCTACAAATTTCTGCGACGTTTGTGAAATTCGTACGAAATAAACAAACAAACATACGCTGAGTTGAATGGAAAACGATCTGAATACACTTGTAAAGCCTCAACAGCATCTTGAAAACACTCAACACCAATTAATACTACATCAAAAAATTCGTTATTGCAACAGAAGTGTACAATTTTCATTTTTTCAACTCCGATATGTTGAACAAACATAAAGTGCGTCAAATACTGACAAGCATCATATTCTCACCCGATGATCGGCTGGAGCTGTACAGCAGGCCAAGACTGGCTCAAGCAGTTTTTTTACCTTATATCTCAGTTATCTTTGATCTTATTTTTACAAGAACCATACATCGCTAAGTAAGATCCCGACTTTGAGAACACCATAAATATGTAATATTTCGAAAATTGGATTTACCGTTTTGTGCTTCAATAACCGCAGGTTCAACCTGCTCCAAGTCTGCCATAACTTCAGACCGTTTTTGTTCAATATGAACAGTTTGTTCAGCCAACTGTTGCTGGATCTCTTGACTTTGAACCTTCTTTTTCTCTGCTTCCTGTTGATCTTTCACCATCTGTTTGAGTTTTGCATTAGCCGCTTCATTCTTAGCTTGTAATTCTTGAGATTTGACTGCCAAGCTCTTTTGCATCTCTTCAACCTGGAATATTATTTATATTTAAAAATACAAATAATACGTCGTGATTCAAAGTACAACGCCAATATTTGGAAAGCAAAGTAGATCCAAAAATAAAAACTGCCCCTAATAAAACAGGTCCTAAAATGTCTCATTACCAAGATACAAGGTGTTGAAATTTCTATGATGAGACTGAATAAGGACAAAACATGAACTTTCTTCAAAATTTCGCTATGACACTTACTCTTCGAATATAACGCATAGAATCTTCAATGTCAAACTTCAATTAAAACCTTTTTTTTTAAATATTCAAAACAATTTTTCAAAAATGGAGTGCTCTCACAAACGTTTCTCAGAGGGAAGTGGTTTCAAGTTTTGTTCATCAAAGAATGTAAAAGACATTTTAAAGAAGTTAGTTGCGCAGAAAATATTTTTGTGTCGTTCTATAAGCGCCATATTTCAGTTTCTACATTATTGGTGTAGTTTCAACCATGAACACTTCTTTATATATTGGTTATGCTGCTAGTACTCCCCCTACAAAATTTCAAGTAGATACCTCTATCCAGTCGGGAGGTTCTCGATTTTAAAATTAAAAATCATCATCCTGTATCTCATTTAATACATATATGTATATGAATATTTTGTGTTATTTTTGGACTAATATACTGCCACTGCCACATACTTACAGCTTTAGCAAATTATTACGAAACGGTTCTTTTAATCACACGAGAGAAAAACTGGCAAAGTGACCAGAGCAAGACAAAACGCCATTAGTTTAAAAGACACAATTCGTTAACCTTTGCATACAAGATCTTTTCTTTGCTGAAAAACTGTCAATATGAATCAGACATATCTACCTGTTCCACAGTTTCGGCGATTTTGCTTAAACCAACGTTAAGATGCAGCTGTTGTTCCTCCAAATCAGATCGTTTTTCATTGTACAACTTGACAAAATGATGGATGAAGTCCAAGTAATGCCTAGGAGTGATAGCCATAGTTCTACCACCTAAAATAATAACGCACGTGTAAGAAAAATCGAAATTTACTGAACTATAAAGTTTACCTCTCTTAGCCAATCTGCCATTAGCCTTGTGCAAAGTTTGGTGGACATAAACACAAGAGTTTATAACAGCTTCCCTGTGATTTGGCGTTGGTGGTATTAAAGTACACGCAGCTGGGAAGAAGTCTGGACATTTCCAGTTTGGTTTTTCGAGATCCAGACGATTGGTAAACTCTTTTCCAACCTATAAGAGTGAACATAAGATCACTAGTCCAAAGTCCATAAAATTTTATGAAACTGACATTTACGATCATATATAACTTTGAAACTTTCTTAGCATTACTATAATATTACTGTAGCTAAAAGGTCATAGTTTAAAAATAAAAATACATCTGAGGTACCATGCATTGAGCTTTGATTAAAAGTATTGTCAGGCAGGTCACAGTGATTAATCGGGTATCAGTTTACATTGTTATTCAAGTGTACACTGACAGAGTTTTCGATATAAAACACTTACTTGGAACAATGCACCATCCGACCAATCTCCAAACCAGTTCAGCACACACCTATTGAACAGTGCCGGTGAAGTTGCAGCTCTATCTTTCAAACCATCTGTTGACGGATTCATTGTAAATACAACATGAAGATTCCTCATAACTTGTTGAGTGAACCACTTGTAAAGTTCATCGTTTGAATCCAGCATCAATCCCTCACGTTGGGCACCTTCCTTACATTGTGTCATCAATGTTGTGTACTCATCTCCTTCGAAAAGACCAGGCACCTCACCATTAGCTAACAGAGTATTCATCCTGCAATAAAGTTGTTTTATAATTTTTTGGAATGAGAGACTACAATAGATATTAGTTTATCGGATTATATACCACCCGTAAGAGAGCCTGAAAAAATATGTAAGAAACGACAAAAGGAAAACTCTTCATCAATGAGACTCGAGCTCATGACCTCTTGTCATAATGTAAGCAAAAAAGGTGTTCGCGAAGGTTGATGATTTTTTCTTTTTGTCATTAACTTCCAGATAACTATTGAATTTTCAATTATATGGCTTATTTAAATAAAGCAATGTATTAAATATCTGTCACCTTTCCAAAAAGCTAGAATCCAGCATATTCGACTCGTCCAAAATGAAGCAAATTTTCTCATCTTTACATCCGCTTCTCCTCAATACCTGTCTTAGGTCTTCATCGAAATCTTCAGCAGTGTATTTATTATGAACTTTAATCTGGAAAATTGAGAGTCCATTCATCCATGCAACAAATCTAGAAAGCGTCGTTTTTCCAGCTCCTGAAACACCGATCAGGAGCAAGTGGCCTTGGGGTTGTCTGAAGATTCTATCAATACGGAGCACATGATCGAGGACTTCGTCAAATAGGACTAGTGGAACGTCCAGCTCCTCTTCATAGAACACCTTCAATCTGAAGAAATATCGTAATGGTTAATCTACCCTCGTGTCTAATGACATCAAGTTACTCATATAAAGAACAAGATGGGAGGTTATACCGTGGTTGATGAGATATCAATTAATGAAGCATTCTTAGAAGGTAACTATTAACATATTCTCCAAGATGTCTAAGCCTCTACTGTATTTAGGCCTTCACATACCTTTAAATAAAATTGTTTATTTTTAAATATGACATCGAGATTCACCCTTAAACCTTCTTTGTAATGTTTTTTAAACATTTGTATTATCAGAATTTCTCAGCAACAAACAAGGAAATGCCACAACCTGTGGCAACAGTCCAAGAGGTGCCAACACTGGCGCGTAAAGTCGGTGGTCGACATATATCTATCGTGTTCCGTAGTTGAATATCAATATTTTTGGGTGGATTTTAAGAACATAACTTCATATGAACGTATTTCCTAAACGTCTCAACTTTGGAGATACAGGGTAGTAAAGTTTTCAAAAATTAATTATTATTAATATTTGTAATACCACTTTAGATAGTTTAACGAAATTTGGCATGTATGTATCCAAAAGCATTACTAATGTAACATATTTTTTAAATTTCCACCAATGGCGTACGAACGGAACTTGAAAAGGGTCTGTGCACTACTTCGACACAAACTACACGCGCTTGCTTTTGTCTCTACAAAATCAAATGCGCGATTTAAGCATAAGCATGTGCTGCAATTTATACAGATCCGTACAGATCTAATGCAAAGTACGATATCTGATTGGCCGGCCGGTATTCGGTCCTCGGCGGTATTGGCATATTGGTCTTGTCTCGTGGACGTGGCTTAAAATTTGAATGCGAAAAATGTTTTATTTAGGTATTTTGGGTCTTACGTTGAGTGACTAGTGACTCACTGACTGACTGTGGCTGTGTAGAAGGGTAATGCAAGACAATTTATGTGGTTTACAGACTCATCAGCGTGAAACGATTCTGGAAATACACATTTGAAGAAAAAATTGAGCTGAAGGTGTCAGGTCGACCGCTGCGGACATAGTAATAGAAACACAGGGCGTTAGTCGGGGCAAGGGTTATACGCGGCATTTCAGCAGGGATATTTACACCAGAAATGACTGGATTTGTGGGTGCAACAGGAACAATGCCCTTTTCTGCTTTCCTTGCATACTTTTCGGCGGTGACAAAGCTTGGACGGAGGTAGGTGTTACAGATTTAGTGCACCTGAGTAAAAAAAATTAAAAAGCATGAAAACTCTAAAACACATCTTCATAATTCGAAGGAATTGGCTTTATTGGAGACTGTTAACATCAGATCTCAGTTAGATTCAGCATATTGGGGAAATATACAACAGCATAATGATACCGTCACAAAAAACAGGTACGTTCTATCAAAAATAATCGATTGTATAAAATTTTGCTGAGTATTTGAATTGGCGCTACGGGGCCACGACGAAACCGAGAGCTCCCAAAACCCGGGAATATTTCGGGGACTGATTAATTTTTCTGCTGAGCTTGATACAACCTTGAGCGAACATATAAAAGATGCTTCAATATTTAAAGGAACTTCGAAAGAAATACAAAACTACTACTACTGGATTGTATTCTTGAAGTTTGTCATGAAGAAATGATAAAACAGATTAACAGAGCCTCGTATTTGGCGATAATAGCAGATGAAACAACGGACATTTCGGGGAAAACCCAACTGGTAACAATTTTCAGATACGTATTTAACGGCGAACCAGTAGAACGTTTTTGGAATTATATGAATCCCGAAAAATGTGACGCTGATACTCTCACAAGACATATTTTGAGCGTCGTAGATCCATTAATAGGAAATTTCACTAACAAACTGATTTCACAAAGCTATGATGGAGCCGCGCTAATGAGCGGACATAATGCTGGAGTACAGGCAAAAATTAAACAAAGATATCCATTTGCTCACTATATGCATTGCTATGCGCATCAGTTAAACCTGATTATGTCCCAAGCTGCTTCCGCAAATGCTCAAGGTCGGGTGTTCTTTGGGGATTTGAAAGATATTCCGGGATTTTTTAATAATTCTCCTCAACGGGTAGAGGTACTGAACAGAATTGTGGGGAAAAAATTCCCCAAGGAGCAACAACTCGTTGGAATTTTAATATTCGAACAATAAATGTAGTGTTTGAGAACAGAGAATCACTCATTCAATGCATGGAAGAAATAGAAGAAAATTTCGCTGATGAAACCGTTTGCAATGCAGCTTGCGGTATTCGCCGTATGTTAAACGATTCTGTTTTCATGTTTTGGTTGACATTTTTTCATCATGTCATGCCTCACTTCGACATCTTGTTCAACCAGTTGCAGAAGAGAAAAACCGCACCAGCGCAAGTTAAAACGGCTATCGATAATTTTGAAAAATGTATTGTCGATGTGAGAAATAAAATTGATGACATAATAAATGAAGCCAAAAGTATTTCCACTGAACCCCAAGGCAACAAAAGGAGACGACGTAATAATAGCAGTCACGATCACCGAGTTGCCGCATTAGAAGTATGCGACAATATAGTGAATTCTGCAAATGACAGATTTCAATTCTAAGATCATTTGGTAGCCGCATCCCTTTTTTCCGAACACTTTGGAGAGTACTGTGGTAAGTTTCCTGATGGCAAGTTGGAAACTACCTGCTTGGCTTATCCCGAATTAGAAAAAAGTCATTTAAAGACAGAGTTGTCTGTTATTTATGCACGGAATGATTGCCGAGATTTCCGTGGAACTCTGTCTCTTTTCAAATTTTTTATATAAAATAGTTTGGAGGAAACATTAAAAGAAACAAAAAAGCTATTAGAAATTATTGTTACAACTCCTATGTCAACATCAGAGGCTGAGCGAAATTTCTCAACATTGAAAAGAATCAAGACCTTTCTTCGAAATACTATGACCCAGGATCGCCTTACAGCGTTGTCCATGCTGTCCATTGAAAAGGAATTTATTTCGACCAAGGAAAATTTCAACGGGAAGGTGATCGACAAATTTGCTGCCAAGAAGGAGCGCAGGATCGAACTGACATATAAAAAATAGGTAAGTTCGGATTTGCAGAGCACCTGTTTTATTTTGCCGCGAGCCGCCACTGCAGTGGCGTATCACCATGTCGAACAAAATAGGCAGGTGAAATTTCGTACATTGGTTAACATTGAAAAAAATGTACATTAAAAAGTTCCTCTTGATGTGTGGTAAGCCAAATTTACTTAAAATATCTAAAGCGGTATATTTCACACATTAATAACAAATGATGATTTTTGAAAGCTTTACCATCCTATATCTCAAAAATTACGACGTTTAAAACGTACCTTCATAAGCAATTTTCCTGTTAAAATAGAAATTTGGAAACACCCTGTTTAGTTGTCGTTGGCGGTGCCACAGTAGATATACCCATTTTTGCGCAGGCACGACTGGGTTTGTTCTGGTTGAATATGTTAATAAATGATATCTCAACAAATTAAAACTGATTCGATAATGAATTACCTGGCTTTAACATATTCCCTCAACTGCTCTCTCTCCACAGGCATATAATCCTTTGACAACCAATTACTGTACAAAATAGGTCTCTCCAATGCCTTTTCACAGTTAGCGGATGGAAAATGTTTCAAAGCAACTGCATCTATGTTTTCATTGGTCCATCGGCGTTCCGAATCTTCTACAAGACGATCCTGGAAAAGCCTGAGAGCTTCATGAGCCCACAAGCGTACCAGACCTTCCACAGATAAGGTATCAAGAGGTCTAGAAAAATGAAAATGTTCGCATTGAAGAATTATGCAGAATAATGAAGCCAGATTTAAGAAAAATTAAGCATGAAAATATAATTTATCAATAAATTCTCTGCTAACAAAATATATTGCTGAACCATTCAAATATTGTTGGACTTACCTTATTGCTTCACAAATACCTCTGACCCATCGAGTCATTTCTCTAGGTGAGTATACATAGTGCGGTTGCATATCTTGAGTGAATCTATCTTGAGAGGCTAAGTAGAATTCTACCATAGCATTTGTAAGTGGTTCAGCATACCCCTGAAAAATATTAAGTAGATGAAAATAAATATAATTTTTTCCTACATATGATAAAAATATAATAACATATAGTGTCATACCTTTAGACCAGGAGTAAGCCTCAACATTGCTCTGGTGAATGTACCATAGATTTGTTTCAGAGATGTTTCTCCTGGGTAATCAACATATATAACAGGGACATGTCGGAGGAATCTAAAAATAAGAAATGTTACAGGTGATAAGATTTTTTATCTTTTTTATTTGTTCTACGGACCTGTGAGATAAAGGTTTTCGTCCAGGATCTGTAGGTGGATTACAAGCTCCCACAAACTGTATTCTTTCAAGAGAGACCCAGGTCTGATCCGAGGCTCTATAGAATCCCTTCTGTTCCACAATCTGTCTCAAGAACATGATCACTCTTTGAGTACCTGGAAAAGAAAAGAAAAATATTATTAGTGGCCATAAAATACACACTGAAATAAAGATTGCTGCGTATCAGTAGGGCGAAATATAAATATAAAAAGAAAATACGTATGTCATTTTTAACGATAATTTTAAATAGCATATTTACCATAGGTGTCCATATCTGGTAAGTTTATCTCATCACAGAACAGGACAAGCCATTTGCCAAGTTGGATAGGAGCTAGAATAACTCCGTTTGGCGTCTTTCTGTATTCACAGTAATGGTCGAAAGTTTTAAGTAGAAGTTCCGGAGTCGTAGCCGACGAAAAGTTGAGACCTACCACTTCCATATCTGGTAGAGCGCGCAATGCGGAGAACAGCGTCATAGTTTTACCAGAGCCTGGAGGACCGCATAAAACTGAAAATAAAATAGTATGTATTAGTATCTCTGATTCATTAGAGGTATAGTGGAATGTAATTTGTGAAAAAAATATTCGAAAAGTAAATGAAATTGTAGGGATTCCATACTCGTCTTTGATAAAAAAGTGATGAAATAGACTTACCTAGAGGTTTGTGCTCAGCTAGCCAAGTGTACAACAAAGACTCGTGCCTAACTGTATCCAGAGTAGGCACAACAATATCGGGAGAAGCAACTTTGTGAGTTTCCACTTCAATCTGAGGCACTTTGTTAGACCATGGAGACCATTCACCTTCCAAAGTCACTTCATAATCAATAATGGGCATATTGTTGTCAGGTGGAAGTGGAATTGTAGTGATCGATCTAAAAAGAAGTCAATGGTCATACACTCGATTACAAATACACCTTCTTCTAGGAGTGTTTCATTTAAAGAATCACTGTAAATACCTAATAAAATCTCCCAGTTCTGATCTAACTTTCAGCTTGGCATCACCAGCAAAACTCCATAAGATGCCATATACCAGACATTTTGGAATGTATTTTTCAAGGGCATCACTTGACAATGGAAAATCGGGATGAGTGTGATTGTAATGTAGAATATTCCTAAAATGACATTCAAATTACATTTTTGCCGATGTTCGGAACTTCTCATAACATTTAAGTTACCTTACAGCCTGATTCAACATTGAAAATAGTGAACTGAGAGCTCTCATTCTTGTGAAATCCATTATATGCTCTTGTTCCATTGCATATTCTAAACAACGAACCACCAATCCGTCTGGTGTAAGATATGGTTGTAAGAGGTTTGCAACGTCAATTTGGACCTAAAAACATTTACTAGTGCCATAATCGTTTTTGAAAAAGCCTACTTGACGTACTCTATAAAACCATCATTTATTACTATATGAGCCCCTTCCCACTTCAGTTGGCCCACTTCAAGATTTGTACCAAAATATGCCTTTATAAACTAAACATGACGAAACTATTTACTTCTAAAACAATTTATTTTCTCAAAAACATTTTAGATACACTCTAGTCGTAAAAAATACATATTTGAAACCACTAAGGCCCGAATCGTCAGTCGACCCTACAATTGTAGGGCGCGTTTATGGCCTCCTTGATTGTCATACTCCTTTCTCTCCTTCAAAAATTTCTAAAATTGCCAAATATTTGTTTGTATCCACATTTCCATCAACAAAATGAAGTTTTCCTACTCCATTTGATGACATACTGCCCCAGACCATAATGGATGCTGGAAATTTCACTTTTCTCTTCAGACAGTCAACATGGAACGCTTCATTTTTTTTGCGAATAACTCTACTGCGACTGTCACCAACACAAACTTCGAATCGGGCCTCATCACTCCATTGTATTGCACACCATTGTTGAGGTGTCCATTGTCTATGTTCTTTATTAGCCCATCTAAGCCGATTTTTCTTTTGCAGTGGAGTTAATAGTGGCTTTTCTTTGGCCTATGAACAAGTTGTGCCAATTTAGGGTTTTTACTTCACTTTTTTTATAAGGAAACTTACCTTGCAAGTGCTAAATCTGTTTGTGGGCCCCTCTATGAGTTGTGGACCTCGAAATTCTCCTTCCAACAGCGTCAATTCACAGAGCACTTAATTGTAAATAATTGGCACGCCTGTTTTTCACGATTATTCTTCTTAATGCTCTTCGGTCGGCATTTGTGATATTACTTTTTTTCAAATATCGTGGCTTAATATTAACTGAACCAGTTACGTTATATCTTCTAACAATATTTCTCACACTGTACCGCGATAAGTCTAACAAAGTTGCAATTTCTGAGTTTGATTTCCCAGAATTAAAAAATTTAATTATCAGTAACCGAATTTTCTCACTAATAACCTTTCCTCTACCCATTTTGAAAACCTTAACTACCCATAACTATTTTAAACGTATTGTGACAGGTGTGATTAGTAAAAACAATTATCATGGCTTTTATTTTTCACAGCCACCTATGCGTTATAGACTTATTTTGCATTGAAACGAAAATAGGTTGATATGCTGTAATTGCAACATGTGTTATTTTTATGCTGCAAATTTGATTAGGGAGTGATAAAGTTGGTGTTTTCTACTATATATTATCAAAATATTCATTGTTAATTTTTTAAACCCTTAACACCCTGCTACATTTTTATTATTTGTGTTTGATAAGAAAAAAACTAAGATTTCAATAGTTGGGCCAACTGAAGTGGGAAGAGGATCGTAATTGTCAATGTGCAATCCAAACTTAATAATAACGTCGTTACCTGCAATGTAGGGGACAAGATGTCATCCTTGCTCTCTGCCAATTTGTTGAAACTATCTTCTTCTCCTTCCTCTAAAGGTATATTCCTCAATCGCAAAAGGTAGTGCTCGAAAATCATTTCCGTGGATAGGACATCATCAGAAAACCAAACCATACCACATCTAGATAAAAAAATATATAAACAAGTATTCTTTTAATAACCAATACTCAGAGCATGATAAAACAGCGGATACCCAGATTTTACGACAGCTTTGATGAGTTTTACAATAGCACATAGTTTTATTTACGACATAGCTTCTTTCTCCACGTCCGTATTTTCTGAAAAATACTGTACCTTGAAACAGTCGCCAAAGTTGCATACTTCAAATCTTGAACCTCAAACATAACTCTGACGTTTGGAGGTAGTGAAAGACGCTCTCCATTAGGAAGGGTTAAGAGTTTGTTGTCATCCAAGACGGAGTTCAAGTTTTCAACCCATTCAGGATCTACATCGCCGTCAAAAATAATCCACTGACGTTTGTTGATTTCACCTCGGACGTTATCGATAATTTTCCTGAAAACGAGTATAATGTTAGATTACATTTCATTCAATCATCCACGAATTATTAGATATATAAATTGTACCAAATAGACTTATTAATATTACCTCAGTATGTGGGTGAAAAGGCCGTCAGTCCATTCTCTAGTATTCGGATCTAGTACACCATATAAGGCTTCTTTGCTAATAGCTTTGGGGTCAATAACATGTGCAACTCCTTCTAAGCCTTCATAGCGCTCTAGAGCTTTGAGTAGCACTCTCCATGCTGTGCTTTTACCTGAACCACTTGGTCCAACCATCATCAAACCGTGATTCAAGTTGGAAATTTGGTACAATTGCAGCACCTGCATTTAAAACCATCAAGTGATTAAGCTATTCTTTAATAAAGTACTACGTTTATTATCCGACAGTAAATGGAGTAATAATTAATAGTATGTCTAGCTCTTGGAGAGTCCCTCACTTCCGATGAGAGAGTATGATTTCTACATTAACAAATAATATAATTACCTTTTCTACCCAAGTATCCCTCTGTGTAGCATGAAATGCAAGTTCAAATTTAAAACAATTATTATTTATATATGAGTTCACGAAGATAAACTAACATTTATATTGGGTATTTTGAAAGTTGTGACTTTTCAGGAATAACTACTCTCGAAATTACAAAGCCAATGAGCAGTGAAATAGCAATGAAAAAGTGAAAAAAAAGTAAGTACTTCATCAATTATTTGTTGGGAACGCCAAGTCCATGATGTTCATAAACACAGTTCAAACTTGTTGCCATTCCATTCCAAAAACCACTGCTCGACGTTTTTTAACTTTTGGGATAGCCTGAGCCTTCTACTGTGTCCATGTCGACATTCCCGCAAACATTTCCTAGCACTTTGTACGAGGTAAACCAACGTACGTGAAGCTGGATGGAAGATGACATGAATAAACTTCCATCGACAAATGAACGGAAACTTTACTTATTTTTTAAAGAACTGTATAACATGTAAAGTCCCAACTTCAAGAACACCCTATTCTTGGAAGAGCTAATAGTAAAAAATGTAATAATTTTGATTGTTCGTTTTTTTAATATTTGATGAAAAAACTGACTCAGCTGTGACAAAAGTGTTTGAATCAATAATATGAACTGGATAAGGAAATCGTTACCTTTTCCATCCAGGCTGCACCTTGTTCATCACCTTCACCACATACAAGATACTCCTCTGCACAAACTTTCCTTATTTCGTCTTTCAAACCTAAAAAATATTTGCAAAGTATTATAGAATCAAGTAACACGTTATTTTAGTCTGCAACAACTCAATAAAAATGATAAGTTTAGATGCGAGAATCGTATAACGAACCTTTCATTTCTGCTCTAGTATATTGCACATTCGGGAATACGTCATTTAGAAGGCTGAACAATAAAGGTATATCTTCGGCAACAAGTTTCGGCACCATGGTTTCACAAACCGACTGAATCAAAATCTCTTGTTCTGGAAGATTCTCTGCGATACTTGCTTCGTCGATATTGGAGTCACCTCTTTGTTTTTTGTTCTCCTTTATTCTTTGAATTCTGTCTCGTTTCACGTTACCAGCGGAAATGAGTACTGACTTCAAGGCTCTAAGTCCGAAATCGTAGTGCGACTGGTTCGAAAGTTGTTCATCACATAATCTAAAAAGACAAACTCAACGTAGTCTTCTAAAAATTTGATGATTATACAACTCCATCAAACATGAACCGCATGGTAAATGTTTTTGTGATTCTGACTCACCTGAAAAATGGAACAATTTTTGATGCTAGCTTCTCAGCCTGTCTGAAACCTTGCGAGAACAACATAACTTCAGCAATAAGCTGTCTGTCAGGTGTCGTCATAGCCAATGATCTGAAGAGTTTCTTGAGATTGTCGGGTAGGTTAGATCTACCGGCATATCCAGGATTCATGGTGATGAAAATAGCCATGTCCGATGAGACTCTGACTTGCTTTCCAACAAGTTCAACGCTTATACCTACAAAATAAGTATGCTGTTAATGCACCTATAAAATATCAGTTGAATTTTGAGGCTGGTAAGTTACCTCTCTGGTAATTGCAGTCAAATATACGAGTGTTATTTTAGTCATTCCAAACTTTTGTCACCAAAGACGTGGTTCCGTCAAGAGAGAAATGAACGACAATCACTCCGTAAGGATTGTTGTGGAGATGGGACTAGGTTTATAGAATTTTCGCCGATGCTTTCATATCAAATACAGATACTCGTATATCAGTTATTTTCCATGCACGATCAGAGTATTTTGCCTCAGTAATCTTGGGTGAACATGGTCGTAACGTGTCTATATAGACCTTATTCAAATATCTTTTACGCTGCTCAGAAAAGATGGCTGCTCCATCCCCAAATTCTGTACTTACTATTAATCATTAAGCTGGGCTCGCAACAGTGAGACAATGAGAACAACCCTGTTTGTTTTAATGTAAACGGGGTTTGAATCGGTTTAGTAGCTAGTTCCTCAGAGGCCCCAAATAGACATTTGTAGGAGAGGGGCGGCGATACAAGTTCACCGGCGGCCACTTTAGGTCTATTTAACATCACTACCAAGTAAAAAGAAGGTAGTAAACAAGGACCAATCGACCAAGGCGGTACCACCCACTAGGTTTTTCCAGGGTGTCTTAAGAATGTCCGGATGTTTCCACAACCAAGCTACGCAGTCGGTTATCTTCCCTTTCCCTTCAAATACAGAAATTAATGAAGAAAGATCCCTCGAGTACTAAGAATTCCGGACGTACTCACTCGATTCTCGGAATGTCCGAGTGGAGGGTGGACTCGAGGGAACAACATCGATGATAAAATCTGCTTCATGAACATCTGCGGGATTAACAGGAATATTGATGCTATTCACCACTGCCTGCAGTATAATCGTATGATCACCCTGCTTCAGAGGTAGTTCTCCAGCTCGAAATAAAAATTAGGCACAGGGTAATGTCGCAGCGTAATGGTAGCCGGTCTTCCTGGACGCTGGCCAAGCAGACTGGAAGGAGCTTCTCATAGAGTAGCCTTCCACCACTTACGTGTCAGGATGGAACGATTGTAACCGACTCAAAGGGTAAGGCGGAAGTGCTTGCCAAGATCTTTGATACCAACTCTACTATGTACGTGCCCCCAACGCCGAGTGCCGTCGATTAAGGGGGTTCTCTACACTTTGCGGGAAGTAACATTCAGACATAAGACCGTAAGACGGGTGCTCTTGTCGCGCGACATCAACAAAGCTTCTGGTCCGGACTTGATTCCTGCCGTTGTATTGAAGAGACGTGCAGAGGAGATGCTCCAGTTCTTTCGCGTCTCTTTCAGACATCTTACGACTCCGGTACTTTCCCAGAAAACTGAGAAAAAAAGACCCTTACAACTATAGGCCTATAGCTATACTTTCTGTTATAAGTAAGGTGATGGAGAGGTCCATAGATCGGGATGTTTCTGGAGTACCTAGAATGTCACCGCCTGATTAGCGACATGCAGTAAGGTTTCCAACGCCAGCAATCCACAGGGGACCTAGTTCACGTCACGTAACTGTGGAATAAATTCATCCAGTCTTATGATGAGGCTCATGTCGTTGCTCTTGATATCACGGAGGTGTTCGATCAGCTGTGGTATGCTTCCCTCTTATGCAAACTTCCATCCTATGGCCTTCCCGGGAAGCTTTCTAGATGGTTGGCTGGCTTCCTCTATGGCCGTGAGATATCCGTCGTAATTGACGAGTGCTCCTCTTCATTCCACAAAATCAACGCGTGTGTATCCTAGGGACCGATCTTGGCTCCAACATTGTTCCACTTACATATCAACTACCTTCTGTCCTGTTCGGTCCAGCCAATCTACACCTCTACAAGCAGGAATTCAGAGTGGCAAGCCGATCTCTGTCGGTGAGCGACTTCCTCGCTGACGAGAGACCTGGGGACGCAACAATCTGGTACAGTTTAATGCTTCCAAAACACAATACTGTACCTTGACGATCAAGAAGCGTCCTAGCGCCCTAACACAGAGCAATGTATTTCAGGTTGGAGTCCATATCACCAAGGACTATTTGTTTAAGGCTAATAAGTAATTTTCTCCACATGTACAAGGTCCAGATAAGATCTAGTCTTGGGTACACACGCTGAAGCCCTGGCTGCATTATCCATGCTTGATGCTGCTCAGAGGAGGGCGGTCCGACTGATCGATGGCTCTTCTATCAGTCCAGGGTCCCTTTCGCACCAACGGGCCGTCGGCGCTCTAGCTCTCTTCTACCGCCACGCCAACGGGATTTTCTCCTCAGAGCTCTCCTCCATGATGCTGCGGCGCGATGTGCCTGCCAGACAGACCCGCCTGAGCTCAACCTCCCTGTCGAACTTCGTATATCCAGAACTGAAAATCGCTTAAATGGCAGCGGTGTTATGGGTAAAAATTAAAATAACTTACCGATCGTCCCACAGTGTTTTTGTACGCTTTAAAACTTTCTAACATTTTTAAGGGCAATCAAACATCTTTGTGTAGGGGTTTCAATTTTGTAAAATTTAGTCAATCTTGTCACTATTTTTAACGATTTTTTTTAATAAACCATACATAGTGTATGACGATTTTAGTGTTTACAGTCTCTGAAGATAGTACTACACTTGGTAGAGAAATATGTGTCATAGAAGTCCGAATATAGTTTTATTTTGCATTCACTCTTGCTACAGTAGACATAATTATGATTGAATGCCAGGAAATAACGCTCATATATGGGCTGCAATTGACAGAAATCTTATTGAAATTAGGTTAACCAATTCGAGTTCGCTAATTAGTGGTTACTCATTTTACTACGTACTTCCACTTGCTGGCTCTGAATCTCCACCGCCATCAGCAGATTCTCTTTGACTTTTTAGAGCTTCTTGTATTGTTTGGATCTGTTGAGATACTGCAGACAACATTCGCTCCTCCAACCTGTTGAATTCATCAAAACATCCCCATGCTCCAACTTGACACAACCCGACAAATATACGACCCATTGCCTAATGAAGGTTTGAGTTAGTGGCTTCAAAAAATAAATTACTGGAAGATAAGGGAACTTACTTGGAAGTCAAATGTCTCATCACAGTTGAAAACAAGGACAAAGCGACCTAGTTGGTTACCAAGTGCCTTAACCGATTCAGTCTTACCAGTACCAGCAGGGCCTACGAATAAAAAATCATGGTAATTAAAAGTTATCAGGGATCTTAAATATAAAATTGTTAAATCGACAAACTGCGATAATATTATGTTTCTATGTCTAAAGGAATGTAATTACCAAATGGGGATCCTCCCAGTTTGGCTTCCAATGCTTGTGTCATGGTCAAATAGCACCTATCAGTGAGAGGAGTTTGAACAAGCCTGTCTTGTACACCGAGATATTCAAAGCCATAGTAAAATCGAGCATTTGCCATGTGAATAGTTAGCTGTTTCAGCACCTGAAAATAGATCACGTTCTCAGAGTATCCCTTAAATAACATTTGCGAGGAAGATGGATTTCAGGTATTGAAGCTCCTACCTCCGTCTGTCTTGGATCAAAGTAAAATCTCATTTGGCACAACCACTCAAAGGCTTTGTTGCTGGAAACTCCACTTTGTATCAACTTTCTTGTAACTGTTCTTTTGTGAACAAACTCGTTAATGAGATGTTCCAGCTTCTTCCTTCTCAACTGAGGTTGCTCTTGTAACACAGAATCTGCTAGAACATTAAGAGTGTTCTCCACTTGCTGCAAGACCTAAAACAAAATAATCATCAATGACAATTTGCCATTGCTAGTAGAGGTAACTCAGAATCTCGTGAGCTGTGACCTTGAATGCGCAGAATGCAGAAACAATACGCTGGAAACGCTACTAGATTAGTTATTATATATAGGTTTTTCTATCTATTCTGCTCTTGGACGTCGAACGGGTAACATCAGCATAACATAGGCGTTCTGATATTTTTTCCAAGGGTATTATTTTTAATTATCTTAAAAACTACAACACAGTTTTTTTTCAAGAGTACAGTAGATCTGGCAGGCAAAATGTAAGTTACTATAAATTAGCAGATGAAACATTGCATTGAAAATTATTTTTCAAAAATAGGGAACGAAATAACAAGAAAGTTGTTCAAAGCCAAGGACGACAAATTATATTCAATGTGTTTGAATATATGAAGCAAGAAAAGGAAACAGGAGAATTAACCATACCTCTTAGCCGTTTATTTGAGAGAGTAGCTGAAGCTACAGGTGTATAGGATATTAGATGAAAATTGCATCACTACGGATTTAAAGGATCTGCATTTAAAATTCAACAAAACTACTTATGTGTTTGGTTCTTATTTTTATATTTAAAATAAAAAAATCATATTTTGCCACAACAATTAGAACACTATGTAGAATTGAATAATCATTACCACAATTATTACACAAAAGGAAATATGGATTTTCATTTACAAAACTGCATCAGTAATATTAGGAAAACAATATTTCAAAAAGGATTACTTGAATTTGATAAATTGAATAAAGATACAAAGTCTACTTGTAATTTAAAGATGTTTAAAGGAAAATTAAAGGAATATTTCATGGACAGTGAAAATTCTTGAGAGTTGCAAATTTTGTTTTTTCCAAATATCTGTATGTTATGTAATGTTTAGTTTTTTAAAAGAATATAATTGTAGCAATCATGCTAAATAAATCTTAGACAAAGAAACAAACATGTTCTGCGCTTGCCTCCCTACCATCCAGAACTAAGCCCTATAGAGAAAATCGGCGGCATTGTCAAAAATGAGGTTGCTGCCTGTAATATCACATTTAAAATGGACGATGTCTCTACATTTGCGAAATAAGCATTAGACCGGGTCACTTCAGAAACATGGAGAAACGTTTGCGACCATGTATCATGAGTTTAGCAAGAATACCTAAATCGGGAATATATAATGGATAACGTCAAGGATTTTATTCTAAGAATAGGCCATGACAGCGATGAATCTGACCTATAGCTGTCATCAGATAGTAGCAGTGAAGATGACGACGATTTAGGGTGCCAACCACTTAGCAGTGGGACTTCTGTCTCAGTCTAATTAAAACGAATGTATCTTATTTTGTTTATTACGTACAAATATATTTTAGTTTTCGAACAAATTGTGTATTAGCCAGCTTTCGTCAGTAATTTGTCATAATAATTAATGCACTTTGTCAACTTTTTTAAGATGTCAAAAAAAAAACTGAAAAGAAATCCTTACATTTCATGTAACCACAGAGCAGTTATTCTTGTTTTTTAACTCTCTTTTCTAGATGATATTTATTACAATGCTTACAGAATTAGAAAAGTTCCGTAATTATTAAATTACACACAAACATGGTATATGTTAGGATGCACGCGTTTAACGCTGTACGATTAAAAATAAACCCTATAACTACGCCACTGTACAGACATACACCTTGTAGGCTCGCAGCTGGTGCTCCAAAATGTTTTTAGGATTGCATCTAAACGAAAGAGATAGGGGAATATCCCTATATATCTATATATCCCTACTCTGTGTCCACCCTCTTGCGCATAGCGCGGCTCACGAAAAAGCGTACAAGCTCTACACACATGGAATATCGAAGCTTCGCGCGACATTTAGCGATCAATGCAATATCATACTGCTGAACTGTTATGTACTTTCGATGAGAAATCTTCATACTGGAGGCAGACTACTACCTCGAAACAGGTTATATTTGCATCAGACTACTTGTTTACACATAGATACTTACCTTTTCTAATGGCCCCTTCTGAGATTCTCCATTCATTTTTACCAAAGCCGCTTCTACGTCTTCTGACCAAAAGATCTGAGCTGCCAAAACAACGATTTGAGCTTGATATTTATCAACCCATTCCATGTATAATTTAGGATCGATTCCATCCTTGAATTGTTTTATATCCTGAACAGCTTGAGTTAAGTTGCTCGCCAAAGTAACTCTCATTTCTTTCTCTACCAATGTTAGCCACTCGTTGATTTTGGGATGTTCAACTGTCGAAACAGGATTTAAAAATACAACTTCTTCGCCTTCGCGAGAAGCTATTCCGGTAATAATAGTGTTATCCTCGTTGAGTAAAATCGAGGCTACACCAGCAAACATTTTCTTGAAGTGTTTTTGAAGACGGGCCACATTTTTGCTATTACCTGCAGAATAAAAAGACATAATTTAATTTGTGATCTGATAATGATATAGGCTGTCAATGCTGTGAGAGTAGCATATTAGTAAAAATAACTACCAATAATTTCAAGCAGATCTTCATCACCAACAAAGTAGAACCTCGGGAAGCTTGTCCTCTCTCTTTCCAGATATTCTCCAAGCGCCTTTTGGATCTTTCCCAACAGGTCAGCCAGTCTTTCTAAAGCTCTTTGTACTCCAGGTATATTCAAAACGTCCATTACCATTGGACTCTTGCTCACTTTTTTCATCAGACCCAGAAATTCGGAGCTTATGCTCTGGAATCTGTAACAATAAACATTACAACTCTGTACTCAAATGCAAAAAATAAAATATGTCTCAATTTAATGACTAATTATTTTATTTTCATAGTGTAGCTTTATCAGTTATTAAATTTTAAACAAATAAAAATTCAAGAGCTGCTATACCTAGAAGTCTCTACCGGTAATAGTGTCTTTATATCAGCACTACCAGAGAAAATGCCCTCTAAATATACCCAACGTCTCTGCACATCAATCCAAACATCAAACAGAGCATTAATCCTGTTTAATTTCTCCTCCCAAGTCAGCGCTTCTTCTTCAAAGACTTTGTAATAAGGAGACAGTTTCATAGCAGCCACTGAATTTATATGCTCTTTGACTTTGTTGAACAGGTCATCCCATCCTCTGATCAATTTACATTTATTCTGGTAGTTTATCAAATCAAGTTCGTAGGTATGCCAAGATTCTCTGACTTGTTTTAAAAATTCTTCCAGAGCCATTTCTCCTTGGGCAATAAGGATGATGTCTTTGACTATTGATTCGTTTTTCTGCAGGTTGACATCCCATACTTGACCTAAAGAAAAGAATATATTATTTTATATTATACTTAAAATTCCATCATATTCAAAAAGTCTGGAGCTTTCTTTTCTATATTTTTTGAATTCAATAGACTAGATGACATGGAAACCTTACCTAAAGTCAAATCAGATAACACCCAGTTAACCCTTAGTTGCTTCATAAGTTGTTTCCAATGCCGTTCTTTCAAAGCATCAGATTTCAGTTCCACAATCAACATGTTGACCTTAGTGTAAGTCTGAAGAGTTTTCTTCACATATTCATAGCTAGCATATTGCCTCAATCTAGCTGGCAACTCCTTCAACTGAGCTGACATAGCATCTAACTGTTGGCGTAGTTTTCTCGGTTGGACAGACAACCATGGTTTTTCCCGGATTTCGTCGATTTGTTGCCAGACACGGGACAGTTCCGACCACACTCCTCTCAAATCTTGAAGTTCTTCATATACGACCTGTATAGACAACAAACGTTAAAGGCAATCTGTATAATCCAGGTATTCCATACAATTCCTAGGCAATGTATAGAATACCTAAAACATTCAGGTAATGTTTGAAATATTATGAATACTATTTTCCATTACATACTTTGCTTTGGTAATGTATACAATTCCCAGACATTATATAGAGTACCTCGAGGTTCGCCGGCAATATGTAAAATATGTAGATTTGGATCTATATTTGTCAACTTCATGTAAGTTCTTACCTACCTATAAATTGATAGACAAACAATACAACTAGTGTTTGCTCACTATCAACTTTATTAACATTAAAAATTAATGTATTGAAATAATCTTTATAAAAAGTATTGATCTTCAGGTACACAAGGGACTACAACAGTCACTACAGGAAATAAAAATAAAATTAACATGAAACTTAAAACTATTTTGGCTTAAGTAACATAACCTAATTTGCTTATAATCAAGTAAAAAATATTGCAAACCTAGGAAACAAAATATATGTGTAAAAAAGAAGTATGTCTATCGAGAACTAAAAGAAATACCTATTTATTCTTACAGGAGGAACTATTTTGACATTTTGAATAACATGGTACTTTTCAGACATATGTATACACTTTTTAGTGTGGTATTTTTTTGCAAGTACAGTTGACATATCCCTGAACTGTTTTCCTCAGATTGCATTTTCACAACTGTACGAAGTGTCGTTTCTTGACTATGAATATCTTTTTTTTTAATTCTTGATGACAAATGGTAAACTGCTGTATTGAATATAATGCCTTTACAAAACCTTGCTCGGTTCCAAGTTGATAATACTCAATGCCACAGGAGGGAACTTTTCGCACATGAAGGGCAAATACGTTTAGTGCCATACCCTTCTGTCATATGTTTTTCTATTCTCGTCCTTACACACATTTTCAGCTACACATGTAGTATTGTATGCCTAGGCAAAGTACTATCTCATACAATACCTGAACCTTTAAGGTGTTCTATACATTGTCTGGAATTGTATAGAATGCCGGATTATACAGATCGCCGATAACATATCCAAAATAAGAAGGTACATTATAAATAGAAATAGACAGGGTCTATAAATTTCGCGCATTTCTTCTTTAAGTATCGCAACAACACCCTGATTTAGGGCCCCCACATAGTTTCATCCCTTAGAAATGTTGACTTACCTGCATTCTGTCCTCGTTAGTGCTAACACCACCAGGATCTTGCAACTCCAAAGCTTCCTTGGCCTTTGCAACATTATCTCGTTCTTCTTTCAACCTTGCAAACTTACTTTCGAACAACTGTAGCTGAGATAGAGCATCATCAGGTCGGAGGTGACCTTCAACTGGTTTGCTTCTTTCCCAATCTATTGAGCACGAAAATAAAGTCCTTTCATCCCAAGTTCTAACACAATATTCAGAGATTTGTAAGTATGTAATATGCAGGAATGTAAAAAGAATAAAAATCTGTCGAAAACGACTTACCTGTAAGGAAATCGTGAGTTCTGGATTCAACGGCTTTATCTTCAGAAACAATTTTTTGCTGAAGACTGGCAACTTGGGACTGGATACTAGAATCTTTTCTCTTTATTATTTCATTAAAGGCGCCCCATTCCCCTTCAAGGTTTTCGACGTGAAGCCAATTGGTGGGAAACTGGAATCTCTGTCTTTCTAAAATTCTCTGACCTAAAAAATATTATAAGTCAAGTATCTCCTACAATAATCGACATTTTATGATTTTACTTACCTTCTTTATAAATGTCGACCTGCTTTTCCCAAGCCTTCATATTTCTCTTCAACTGTTGCACATAAGTTATAAAGCTAACTGCATCTGAAGTACTAGCTGCTTCAATGCTCTGGAGTTCCAAATCTGATCTAGATTTTGAAACATTCGCATGGAAACCAGTCATTTCATTGCTCAGTAAGGTACCAAACTTGCTAAGTGTATCCTTATGCCAAGAGTCATACTTCAGGGACACTTTGCTTTGGACCTTAGCGAAGTCTATGACTATCGGTCCAAATTCCCGACGAGTATCAGAAGTGTCGAAGGTTGCTCGAGTTTTCCTAAAAGTTAAGGGATAAGTTATATGATTTTCTTAATTGAGTAATAATTGCAACAATAATTATGAGGGATTATTAAAAACCTCACAATGCTCAAAAGCAATTTGTTCTTTTTACTTACTTGATATCGTTTAAGCACTCCATCCATTTGCTGATGTCATCCCCGAGTTTACCATAAAGATTTTCAGCTTGCAAGTCCCAAAGGGCTTGGTATGTTAACCATTCATTGACATAGTTTTGAACCTGAAATCAAATATATCAATAGTTTGTAATTAAATAAAAAGAAATGGTTTAACAAGGCACCTAACAAGATACTTCTAGGAACTTTCCAGCCTCCTATGTCATATTACACTGTCCAAGTTTATATGTAAAATATTTATTACCTCTGCAGTTTTCGATGAAATAGCGCCGTATGCATTGATTAAAGGTGCAGAACCGCCTGGTAACTTTGTCAAAATATTTCTATATGTTTCAGTAACAGGTTTGTCAACCCCTACTTGGTATCTACTACTTTGTAGTCTCTGTTGTGAAGTAACTATGGCTTGCCAGGCAAATAGCTGTTGCATAATCTGGAATCTGTATAAAAACAGTAAAGCACCAAAATTGCAGGAGTGTTTAAGTAAACAGATCGTAATATTCTATAAATCTAAAAGCAAGTTCTACAGGAACTCTTATGGAGTTTTTACATTGGAAAGGCTGATTATAGCACATTTTACTATCTAGCAGCAGTACAGTATATCAGTGCAATTCGCTAATCTCTAACAACTACTGTCCTGCCGTTTACCAAAGTTTTGTAGCTAAATAGTTAAAAGATTACATAAAATGTCTTACCTTGCTTCTTCAATGCTAGGGTACAAATACATAGTTTGATTCGTGATCCTGACTTCATGTATTACAGTTTGAATATGAGGTTCACCTCCCAATCGGTGAGTGGGTTTATCAGGGGCATCTGTGTCCATAGAATGGTCTACTTCCTTTTTGGTACCATTGAGAGCGTCAGTCCATGCTTCTACGCCCGCTTGAAGCCGTCTTGCTAAATTCTTTTCAACCTGGAAATATACATTTTTTGTTGAAATGCAGTAAACATTGGCACATTGAAAAAACTGTTACATTCTTAGAAAAAATACAATGGTCATGGAAGTGTTTACCTCTTCATCTAGCCTGGAGACCCAGATGTGTAGATTAGAGTACTGTTTCAAGGAAAGATCGTCTACAGCATGCTGTATTTTAGACAAAATATCAGCAAAGGTATTTGCAGAGTAAGGACATGTTTCCAGACTTTTAACATCAACTTCAAGTTGTTCACCAACAATAACCTGCAAAAAAATATGTAATATCAACAAATAGAAACCTATTTGTTCAAAACTAACTTTACAGAGTTATTACACAATTGACAAAACATTCAAATTATACCAATTCTTACCAACTCTTCGACTCTTTCTTGGAAACTGACAACCGTATCGGACAGCCTCTGGACATAAGGATCAAGTTTGTAGCTCTCCCAAACCAGTTGTATCCCTTCTGCTATCAACTGTTGAACTTCCTTCCTCATTCCAGCTACTAGAGGGATAATTGAAGCCTTATCCTCAATCTTAAACAAGTAATTGGTGGTTAAAAGTGCAAATTGTAACTGATTCTCATTTTTAGTACCTTCAAAAATAAAGTGTAATACAAACTATAAGGCTAGGGAAACAGCCGTAAGAGATAACCAAAACAATAAGAAAACATTAAAGCTCAAAAAATATGTAGATACATAGGGTCAAATAAAATGGTATAAAACACGTTGAATGTACATCTGGATTTATAGAAGCGACACGTAGCTAGATAGCCGAGAGGGTAATATGGGTATGTCGCTTGACAACCATGCACAGCGATGCATTATCTATATATGAACAGCCATGCTGTAACAAAAAAATATGGAGACATTTTTATTTTGCAGAAAAGGGTAGGTTCCTGAGAAAGCATTTGGAATTTACGAACAAGTTAGTAATATACTGACAGTATCCAGTCTCTTCTTCAAATAATTCTAATACAGATGTATTCTTTTTCTAGATACATACATTGACTTGCAGAATTTTTTTTATACCGAAGCAGCCGCGCATCCAGAACCTAAATGCTGGGGACACCGCGGCTGCTATGATGATCCCAAAGGAATTTTTTTAATGTGATTTTTAAAATGTCTAAGGTTAGTAGAACTGGGAAAAGCTTCCTCTGGTAGATTATTCCACAATCTCGTCACCCTCTGAACAAAGGAGCGGTCGTATCGGCAAGTTCTTGATGTACGAAGTTCGACACGGTTAGGATGGGAGGTCAAAGTCAGGCGGGTCCGTCTGGCAGGCACATCGCCCGGCATCATGGAAGAGAGCTCTGAGGAGTAAAGCTCGTTGGTGTAGCGGTAGAAAATAGCTAGATCGCCGATGGCCCGCCGGTGCGAAAGGGTCCCGAGACTGTCTGTTAGAGAAGAGTCATCGATCAGTCGGACCGCCCTACTCTGGACAACATCGAGGATAAATAATGTACTCGGGGAGGCCTTATATAGAGTGAGAAGGTCATGCGGTGAAAAGTACTTCTTAGCCCTGAACAAATAGCTTAGCTTTTTCCCAGCCGTTATTGACGAGATGTGTTCGTGCCAGATCACGTCCTCGGTGATCTGAACTCCAAACAGTCGAAATAAATGGCTCTTTGGCAGAAATCGGCCATCCATCGAAACCGGATGGCTAGGACGCTTTTTGTTCGTCAAAGTACAGTACTATGTTTTGGAAGCATTAAACTGTACAAGATTGTTGCGTCCCCAAGAAGTGATAACCTCCAGATCTCTCGTCAGAGAAAAAGTCGTCGCTAGTCTTCTTTTTTCCAGCTCAGCGGCAGAGTTCGGCTTGTCACTCTGAATTCCTGCATATAGAGTGCTGTCATCAGCAGAGCTGTGGGTTGGGTTGATTGTGCAGGAAATGAGGTGGTTGATATGTAAGAGGAACAGTGTAAGGGGAACACCAGTGTTGACGTTGTGGGATGAAGAGGAGAACCCGTCAGTTACGACGGATATCTTGCGGCCAGAGATAAAGTCAGCTACCCATCTGCAAAGCTTTTCTGGGAGGCCATAGGATGGAAGTTTGCTTAAGAGGGCAGCGTGCCCCAGCTGATCGAACGCTTTCGTGATGTCAAGAGCAACGATATGAGCCTCACCTTAGGACTGAATGAATTTACTCCACAACTGCGTGACGTAAGCTAGGAGATCCCCTGTGGATCGCTGGTGCCGGAAACCATACTGCTTATCGCTACTCAAGCTGTGACGTTCGAGGTAGTCCAGAAGCTCGCGATTTATGCACCTCTCCATCACCTTACTTATAACAGAAAGCAGAGCTATAATAGCCATGTAGTTGTAAGGGTCGATCTTACATCCTTTTTTGCGATGGGTTGGACATGAGTAAATTTCCAGTTTTCTGGGAAGGTGCCGGATTCATAAGATATCTGGAAGAGACGCGAAAGAACTGGAGCAAGCTCCGCTGCACACCTCTTCAGTACAATGGCAGGAATCAAGTCCGGACCAGAAGCTTTGTTGATGTCGAGAAAGTGTCAGAGAATTCACCGATAATCTAATCAAACCTCATTTGCTCCACGTCAAAACAAACATGAGCACTCGGTCGCTGGATCTTTTCGCTTGTCGCTGCCTGCATAGGCATTTATGGCTCGCTGCCCAATAGGGGCGCGCAAATTTGAGGAAAATGAAACTGGAATACACATAAGTTCGATTTTAATATCTATAACTTCAAGTATCTGTATCTCAGGAAGCTACCCATACTAATTTTAAACGCAAATCATTTAGGGAAGAGGGAAATATATAACAGCAGACGTCAGCTCCTCTATGTATCTACCTTCACTCCACCAGTATGAGTAGTCCTGTTTGTCAGCTGTAAAATGATAGACAAATTACGCTAAATACCGATTGTTGAATTAGTTTTTCTACAAATATTGATCAACGATCGACAACTATAAAATATTTCGTTATTAAATACACAGTAATAATATTTCAATATCAATAATTACTTTGAATGGTGTAGCATACCTTTTCTAGTGTCATCTCATATGTTCTCACACTTTCAATTAGGGATATAGCAAATGGATATAGCTGATTAGCTTGATGGGCTTTATTAACAATAGCCAATGGCACTCTAAATCCTAGACATTTCAAGTTTCTGACCTCTTTAGCCAAAGTAATGATTTCTGGAAGAAAGTTGACCTAAAAAACAAGTTATCAGTTAGGTGGGGGTATTTTATGTGCGAGGACTGTAGTGAAATACATTTCCTTAAAATAACTTGTACTCTACCTTCAATTTTAGAACATTGCCTCTTCCACTTCGAGATCTCACAGCTTCTATAGTGAGGATTCTCCCGGAAACACCAAGGTTTCTCTGTTGAACATTCCTCGCCCAATCGTCAAAAATTTCTTGGGTATTCAACTTGAGACGGAAACTGTCCCCATCAGCTTTTAGTTTTTGTCCTTCAATATGATTCTCCCAGCCTTTACCTAAATTAAAACAACGAAAAACAGAAATCAATAATTAGAAAGAGAAAACCACTGTAACAAAATATATAACGAAAAATGTTTGGCCTTCATATGTCGGTATAAATATTATTCTTGCGACAATTCTTTTATTTTTACTAACCTAAGACGTCTTCAACTCTCCTCAAGTACGTAGTCAACTGTCGGTCAATTTGCTTAGCCCAAATTATAGACCCGGCTACTGGGGGCAAATCTCTCAATTTGCTGATTTTTGCACTATTGCTCTGTGGATATTGAACCTAATAACAAATAAAAATGAATATTTTTTTCTCAATTCCTTGTAATGAAACAATGGCAAATATCAAATACTACCTTGAATTTTTCATGCAAAGCTTCAATATCGTCTTTGACCCGTTGTATTAAATGAGTCTGATATTCTCTAATAGCTCCTCTTATATGTGGTCTCACAAAGAGAGCGTTAAAACGCGAGAATATTCTAAACATCTCATTAGCATTTTTTGCTGTTCCTAGTTGATCTCTGAGATGAGCTGTAATTCTAGCTTCCACTCTGTCTATACGTTCCTCATAACGTTTAGTGGCAGCGTCCCAAGCATCTTGCCCTGCAAAAAAAGTGGCGTCAAGTAGGACGACACTACACTTTCCGCGCAACGCGATCATCAGTTCATAAAGGTTCTTGTTCGGCATAAGTTAGAAATGAAAATGTATAACAGAAAAATTAAACGGATTAAGTCAGTCAAACAGTGAATAGACATGTTTCCCTGCCTCACTGCTTGACGCACCCACTCGTCAGACTAGACGGTGACGACATAATACTCATCGATGAGACTGGCACCAATAAACTCAGAGTGCAGAAACGCGTGTCCAAGATATTTCTATATCATTCTAAGTTTTAAGGGTAAATATACGGAGAAATATATTTCTAATGTTTGCCTAGAGTTACAGGTGTTTAAGCATATAAACATACTAACATCAAAAAATGAGATATCCACTCCCCCATCCTCTACAAACCCAAACCTCAATTTTTAACCCCTACAAAATTTATTCTGAAAATGATCAGAAGTCTCTGATTTTCTAACTACAAAGCTTTTCCGTCCTTGCCACAGTAGTAACCTTGTTTGAACATTTCATTCACATCCCGGATTATAGACGGGCCAAGGATTAGCGACAGACAGACAGACTAACGGAAATGAGTGACATAATTATTCATGATGTGGAATTTGATATAACAACATTTATAGAACAATGCCTCAGTTTCAAAATTGTTCGCGATTTTAATACTTCCTCGCCAGTGGCGTGGTGCCAAGCAGGTTGACTCTGCTCCGCCCCCTCGACATTGTAGTCGGTTCATAAAATATTATATCCCTTACATCTGATATATGTATAACATAATCGCAACCTCGCCAGCGGCAGCGGCCAGTCCATGTCAGGTTGAGAAGGAATATAAAATCTAACCAAGTTGAAACAGTAAAAATTAATTTCATGTGAAATCACACTTTTTCGTTAATTTTTAGCAAATAAATCTAATAATATCGATGTAAAGCAAGGATTTGGTCCGAGGCCATATAAAGAAGTTTGGTTTGTACTCGTCATTACGTCCTCTCACCTTCTTTGGAGATATCCAGGCAGTCAACTTCCTTAACATTCTCATATGCCAAATTAACTTCCTCAATAGCATTAGCATCGGCCGCATCAAGTGAAAAGTTCGGCTTAGGAGCTTCAATGCTTTCAATGCCACTTTCCAAAGATTGAACAGCTGTTTCTCTAATAGATGGCCTGAAAAAATTTATTTATAATGTGTGATGTGATTTGGTAAGTTATTTGTTCCCAATATTGCAATACCTTAACACTCGCACTATAACATTCCTCAGCTGCTCATGTTGTCTTCTGAATTTTCTCATCTGATCCATACGATTTTGTAGTTTCTTATGTTGAGGAGATATTCTCCAGACCATCTTAATGTGCTCGTCTCGTTTTTTCTTCATTATATCTCTGAAAAGTCAAAATGAAACATGTAAAATTAGAAGGTTTTGAAATAACCAGGTTTCTTCATATCTTATTATAACCACTCAAGGCATAGGAGTTGTTACAAGATGGTTCAACAAAAAATACCTGAGCAGTGCCTGCAATTTCTCATACTCATCCTCCCAAACAGAGAAAATCTCGAAGCACTGAATCATAACTTTTTCAAATTCTTCAAAACCAATGTGCATAAGCCGTCTCGTACCCAATACCTTCAGAAGTTGAGCTCCTAAATCTCTTGAAATTGCTTCAACAAGTCTCAGACATCTCTGAAAGAAAATCAAATGATTTATTTTAGATCCTTAATAAACCGATCTAATGTACGAATACAAAATTACATTTTTTGATTATACCTGTATGGGATATTTTGTAGACCTAACTTTCCTCAAATGTGCAAAAATCAACTGAACCGCTGCCCTTATTCTTTCAAGTTCTGTTGCAGAAAGTAAATCATTGATAGGAAAATCCTTCATCAGTGGGTTATAATCATTCACTGTTGCTATTGCTTGTTTCAATCCAGTGTCAGTATCAAAAGATACTGTGGCATGAAAACGTTTACCATGCTTTAGAATATCAAGGGTCAATGCAACCTCCAGGCTTTCCCTTTTTTCTTGAATTCTGTAAAGAGCCCGCTCTAAATTCAACCAAAAGCTGATTTCTTGGAGGGCAGTTCCTGAGGAAGGATCCCTATCCAGTTTCGTGACCTAAAAAGAATCATTGGCATTATATATGTTTCAAATGAATTTCTACAGAAGGTAGATTAGTTGTAAAATAATTTGCATTTTCAAAAATTGGCCTCAAATAGGTTGATTGTATACTTTCCGCGCAACACAGTCAGTTCATAAAAGATTATGCTCAGCAAGTTAGACACTCTTAGATCTAGAAATTCTCTTATGCCCTACCGACGGTACCAACCATCTGGCAACGTGCTATCATAATTGCGATGCCTAAACCTCTCTACACATCAGCCAGTTTCCGATAAATTTATCTCTTCTTTTTATTGTGTTCGTCGAGGGTATTGAAGTATGTCTAGCAGGAGTGCATAGTATCTGGGTTGGAGGCATATAATCATATTATAACAAAAAGAGATACACTCTTTCCTATCACCTACCACCGATTTTTTATTCCCTCACAAAATGTTTTTTTTAAGAAAGAGCAAGAGATGCTAAAACGCCAAAAAACTAGATTCGAGCAATTTCTATTTCTTGTTTTTTGCCCGTATAGGTCCGTCGCCACTAGACAATTTTTTGAAACCAAGTTTTTTTATACAGAGAAGTAACATTGTGTCGAAATGTCGTCAAAAGCCGCGCTGGACAGATAGAATAACAAAGACAAACGGAAATGAGTGACCTGGTTTTCGTAATTCAGTCTGCCAGTTTTGACCTACCAACCAAGGTTAAAAATTGCCTCAAAATAAACTAATCTTAAAATAATTCTCGTGGTCTTGTCAAGTTAAATACTTGGCTACCTCAAAAATTATAATTTTTATCAGAGTTTTTAAGCATTGAATATACCAATTTTCAGGTTTTTTTTTTCAGGCATTAAATAGCTTATGATCTGAAAACGGTCCGAGCCTGTAAAAAATATCCGTTGCGAAAAAATAGATTTGAGGAATTTGTTTGAAAAAATATTAAACAAATTTGACCCAAATTTTCGAACAGTTACCTCTTGATTCATGTTAAGGGGCATTTAACAAATGTGATTTTGGGAAAAAATCTAGTTAGAAAACTTGATTGCCTTTTAACCCTTTCGCAACAGAGGATCTTGTTACGAAATCTGTCTGTCCTTAAACGCCCTACACACACATCGATTTTTCGTACTGCATGCAGTACAACATTAGTCCAAACTGCTGCAGTAACTATAAATCGTGACGTGCATAGGCAAATTGGATGCTTCGCAGTACGCAGTATTTGAATCGTTCGCAGTATAGAGCTCCCCTAAAATATGGTATCAACGGTTGTGTTTGAACTAAGGTTGGAACGCAAGCTGAGACGTGTGTAGGGTCGCGAATACCGCAGTTACGATTTTTATTTAAGCCAGCAAGGAGATATTCAGTAATGGACAGAATTATATAGACAAATTAATATTGTGCTGTATTTCTTTTTTAACTTGTTTTATTAATACACCAACCTGTATACACAATTCGTTATAGCGTAGTACTCACTTGTACATAAATAAATTCATTAGACTCTCTTCAATAAAAAATTAATTGAAAAAAACTGGAACTATGAAGGACAAAAATATATAGACAAGGCAAAACAATTATAGAAAAAAGAAGCAAAGTTCATTGAATTATAGAAAACCAACCATGTTTGTGTTAATATTTTGTAGCACAACCATTATTATGAATCACCGCCTGGTATCGTCTCGGCATAGATTGTAGAAGTTTCTTGATATAAGATTCATCAATCTGTCTCCACTTTTGCTCTAAAGCGGCAAAAAGTTCTTCCTTGTTTGAATAATTTTTATCTCGTACTTGCTTATCTAAGTATTCCCATAGAATTTCAATGGAGTTTATATCGGGAGACTGTGAAGGTCATTTGAGAACTGGTATTTTTGCATCCAGAAAGAGTTTCTTTGCGAGATTTGAAGTGTGCTTCGAGTCATTATCTTGCTGGAAGATTGATCTTAAGGGCATGTTGTCTTCCATATATGGTAACATAGCATGCTTTAGTACACACATCTGTGTATACAAACTTATCCATAATGCCATCTATTCTATGTAAAGGTCCCATCCCAAACCCCGAAAAGCACCCCCAAACCATAACAGACCCGCCTCCATGTTTGAAAGTGGGCAAAGTATACTTGGGGTTCAATATTTGTCTACTAGGACGTCTAACGTAATGAACACAATCTGATCCAAACATATTGAACTTGGATTCGTCACTGAAACATACCCTCTTCCAGTCACATATGCTCCAATCAAGATGCAACCGTCCAAATTGTAATCGGTCCTTACGGTTTTTCCTCGAGATTAACAGCTTCTTACTCGGACGACGTGCAAATAACTTCAAATCATTTACTCTCCTACTTATAGTTTTCGTAGAAACACTGACAATTCCTTTTGTCTCGATTTCGGCTTTTATTTGTCTTGGGGTTTTAAACGGATCTTTGGACGAAATTACTTTTATTAATCTAACTGATCTAGCATTTAGTTTTCTAGGCCGACCACTCCTCTTAGAGGCTTCAAAGATACATTTTTGTTTACTTCTTTGTATTTTTTATTATATTCTTTAGTGAAATAGCGATAATTGAAAAACCTTTTAATTTCTAAAGACATTTTCATACAAAAATGTAAGTAACAAAATCTAAAATATAAATGCAAATGAATGTTTACACTTTTAGCACAGTGTAAAACTTCATCACCGGGTTGCACATTTTGCCGATGGTAAGGATGTAAAACTTTTCGATATAAATTCTCCACGCAAGACTTTGGGAACGTGGTAACTGTGCTGCAATCCGCCTAGTTCTTGTACTAGGATCATCCAACGCCAAATGAATCACTTCCACTTCTTAAACAGTATGCGGGACACCACGCGGCCTCTAACTCCGGGAAGTTTGGCAATTCCATATTGCTGAAGTCTTAGAAATGAACGCGTAAAAACCTTTGAGGTAGGTTGGCGTCTGTTAGGAAATCTACGTTGATACTCCCGAGAAGCCGCTAAAGCATTTCCATTACAGAACCCGTACACAAAAATAATATCGGCGTACACATCATTGCTAAATTGAATTTTAAAACACTCAAAACTGGAAAAAAGAAACTTTTGACTTGACTTTTACAAATAAAAAAAAATGGTGGTAGTAACGATAACAACCATATAGAACATGACTTTGACAATCAATCTCCCAGGAAACGTCAAGTTGGTATCAAGGCCTCCTGTTTTATTTTGAAACTAATTGTATCTCGGCTCTTCATGAATGATCTAATTTGTTTTATTTTTATTTGGAGAAATAATGCCATTTATCCCCTGTATCCCCGCCACTGGTGCACGTTAATTATAAGTCAGGACTTTTGAATGTGGACAATACTTAGGTAAATCCACACAAATTTTAGTTCATTCCAGGTGACGGTTAGGAAGATATCAAAAAAGATTTTTTTATTTTTAAACCTCAACACCCTGTATCCTTTTTATGAAGCCCTCGAGAAAAAAAATGTTACATAGAAGACCCCCCTTAAAATGCGGTCCTGTGTATGGTGTTTCATTTTTGGTCACGACTTGTGAATCACCCTGGATTAGTTTGTTCAACAATCGTTTTGATCGGATATTTTCCCATTCCTCGGCGTCGCCAACGAAATCGCCCTTAGAATTGCTATTCTGTAATATTTATAACAACTCTTGATCTGCATCTCACTATGATACATTTCGAAGATAAATATAACGTAAAATAACTAAAGTATCAGTACTCGTTCGAAGAATAATGGTTAAATAAACGTGCTGCCACCTGTCTTGACGGTGCCACCTTTGCGACAATTATCAGCATGCCTGTTCCCACACCACCGGAAATTTTCGCTTGTATGCATAGTATTTGGTACAAACAAATACCGACATATGCTGATCAACACGTTTCCCAGAGTTAACCGGGGCCTCTGTCGCTGCGTAAATGTATGTTTGCCGTATACCAGACACTACTTTTTTTTCGAATATAACCGACGCGAAAAGGGTTAACTAGCTGGTCGGAAACCAGGATCAAAATTGTTTATACAATTTTATGCAAATATTACATGGATCATTCTGAACAGAAAATGTCCCTGGTAAATGTTCTCTAAACTTTACCGTTTTCGAGTTATTAGCGGTTTAAGTTGTGGAAAATAATAAAAATGGGTATTTTTAATGCTTAAAAACTAGTTCATAAATTATAATTTTTGAGGTTGTCAAGTATTTAAATTTAAGTTAAAGCCTTTACATACAAGAACTAAAGTTAATTTTATTTTGATTGAATTTTTAACCTTGTTTGGTAGAGCAAAATTGACGAACTTTTGATAATCCCAACCTGTACATCTCATGTAACATACAAAAAACAATACTTATCCCCTTCTCGAAACTTTTGGCGATTACAATACTTCGTCGCCATTTGACATGTGAAATAAAATTGTTACCTTCTGAATTTCTTTAATCCATCTATTAACACCATGTTGGAGTTGATTTAAAAAATTCGAGTCCTCCACTTTGTCAGCAAAGTCGGAAACTTTTGGCTTTCTTCCTTCATCAGCACATTGCTTGATCAAGTTAGCAACATAAGGATGGATTTGAAGAGTTATCTCAGGAATGTCTATATTTTGTTGGAGGTGCATCAAACCCATTTCAAGTTCTGCAATTGTCTTTTCAACTGCTGGCGCCATCTTATCACCATCCCTGCAATCATCAAGTTAATTTGAAATCTCTAGATCTATTTCTAAATGTTTTCTGAATCCTTTACTTGAACAAACCAGTAATATAGCTTTCATTCGTCCGACCACAAGTGGGTGTTTTGTGCTTTTTGGCAACTCATCGGCATGGACTAAGCTTGATCTCAGTTAGGACAACCAACCAAAGCTGAGCAACTCTACTCTATGCAGCATAAAAGATCTTTAGAAATAAGATAGCTTCTGTGCCAACTAGTACCAGAGTCAGCCACTGCGAGAGTGAAACAGAGCAGGCCGCGTCTATTGTACTGTCGGAATCGGCGGCAACTAGCAGCCACAGTGTCAAATGCGAACTGGGATACAGTTCTAACAGACAAGTTTCTGTTTTCACCCTCGCAATGGTCGATTTGGTAATAGATGGCACTTTGTGCTGTCTTATTTAATATACTTGAGTTCATGCCACATATTAAACATCGATGAAGAAAATATACTAAACATTTACAAAAATATGGATATAAAAGCAACAGACTAAAAAGTATACCTGTCTGCACGTCCCGATTCTTTGACATAAGATTTGAAAAAAGGTGCAACTGTTCTACTGATGTAGTCATGTAAAGTCTCATATGGACTGCCCTCACTCAAGTTTATCAGTCTCACTTGTGACTTTATAGATTTATCAGCTTCTACTACATGTCCTCTTTTGATGCAGACTAAACTTGACATTCTAGGGCTTGAATAGTGAACCTCATTGCTGACATAATATGTGATAGGCTCTTTTTCTTCTTCACCTTCGGGTGGTTGATCAGTGTCATCATCTAAAATAAATGAAAAATAAGTCAATAAGGATATACTGGGAAACGAAAATTTGTCTGACGGTTTGAGTTCAATGTGTACAAGAGAGAAGCGTGAGAAGTGTGTATCAACACATGTTAGAAAGAGATAGAAGCCGGCTGAAGAACGAAGGTCATCACCATATTGTCTAGCTACGGTGACGCAGAAGATCGTGCAATCTGACGTGTTGCCGCTATGTTACACCAGAAAATGTATGTACAGGCTTCTACATTACCTTTCAAATGAGGTATAAACATCACAAATCGATGAAGAATTGGCAAAAATATGAATATTATAGGAGGAAGGAAAAAGCAATAAAAATACTACACTTATAAAATCATACCTTAATACAGGATAATGTGTTTGAAACTACATTTTTTTATTTTTATAATACATTTTCAATATGGCGCCTTCTATTTCTAATGCACACACGTGCTCTTCTTATGACAGCTGATTTTACTACCGCCGAATTCATAAGAGAGGCTTGAATTTCTTGTGCTGCATGTATTATCCTATTTCTGAGGTCTTCTATTGTGGGTACAGGATTTTGATCAGAGTATACTAAAGTTTTCATGCGACCCCACACAAAAAAGTCCATAGGTGTGAGATCGGGACTGCATGCTGGCCATGGGATTGGTCCGCCTCTACCGATCCATCGATTCGGAAACTGCTCATTTAACCAATTTCTAACACTTAGTCTGAAATGTGCAGGGCACTTGTCATGCTGAAAAATCATTCTGTGTCTTGTGTCTAGCAGCACGTCTTCAAGTAATTCAAATAGAACATTTCTTAAGAAATTTTCGTAGGCTTCTCCACTTAAGTTGTCGGGTAGGAAATGTGGTCCTACCAAACAGTTAGAGCCACAGCGCGAGTAGAGAGAGAGTAGGGTCTCTTTGGAAAATATTTAATATTTCTTCTTCTTCTTCCACATCATGTCGAGATCTACCTGCATCACCTGAAATAAAATGAAAAAACAAATAACAACAGTTTTTTGGAAGAAATTGTTACCTAATAAACATAGCGGTAAGACTATGAGCTTGAGTTGGCAAAATATTATTTAGAAAAAACTATACACAACGTGTGTATGTTTCCATCTTCAGAGCCGTGTAGATGCTCGTGTTAAAATTAAATGAATAAACTCTTAATTAAGAAGTTCAATCAACTGTATCAAAACAATTATGTTGCAGTATCATCAGTTCAGCCCACATACCTCCAAGGCTCTGCATAGGCTTTACTGAATGACTGATTATGATAAGTTAATAAGTATCAATGTTGCAAACTTACCTGGACATCTTACAACGGTACCGCGCTCTCGAACCCGACGGAACGTTTGCCTAAATACGCGGGCGTCAGGTAGGCGACGATTAGGAAACATTTCCCCATACTCACGACGAGTTTCTTCAGCATTGCCTCTGGCATCTTCATAGTAGAAAAGGATATCGGCATATTTTTCGAAACTGAACGGCCGCCTCCTTTGTTCATCAGCCATTGTTCATCAACGAACAATCAAGTCACACAGTAGCCAAGTCGTAAGGAATCACAGAAAACAGGGTACAGTCTAGGTCGTCAGGAAAACACATCCGAACGCAACAAATCGCAAGAGCAGATTGAAGCGAGGGTGGGAGGGGGGTGACTAGTCTTACTTATCACACTATTCCGGTGGCAAAGTCCGATGTTCGCGGCTCTACCTGTTTCTTCCACTCATATCTTTGTTATTTCTAAACCGATTTGTGACTTTGATACCTCATTTGAAAGGTAATGAAACGTAGATATTTTAAAATTATTTTGCACGAAAAATTTGTAGGTGATTGTTTCTAGTAAATTGAGTTTTTGAGATGAACGAAGATTTTTTTAACAAAAATTGAACTATTTTAACTATTTTGAAGCTTACTGCATGTCAATAATGTACATTTAAGTATCAATTTTCATATTTTAGAATATTATTATTGTAAAACAAAAAAAAATCAAATGAAACACCCAATTTTCAAGTTTTATGACTTGGTTAACGTATAAAGGACGTTAATTTTATGAGATCTTAAAAATTAGTATAATTCGAAAACGGCTAATTTTCGGACAGGGATGTCTTTTAAGTTTTGCATATGGAAATAAAACAACGCGGTAGATAGTTTTAAGATCGGGACTATATGGAGGATACTGCCTTGTATTTTGGGCTGTGTGCGAGCTTGCATTGTCTTGGTGGAGGATGATTTTTCTTTCGGGGTTGATTTTTCGAAGCTTGGTGATGACTTTTGGCAAACAAATGGTGGTATACCAATCCGCAGTAACAGTTCTTTGCTCATTAAGAGGAATTGTTGCAATATGACCCGCTTTTGACAAAAATGTCGCGACCATATTTTTCGAAACACTTCGAGAACGGATGACTTTTCTTCACCTTGGAACACCCAAACAGCCGACTGTCGTTTATTTTCTGGTTCATAACAGTAAATCCACGATTCATCACCACTAACAATGTGTACAGCATTTTTTTGAGTTTCCGGAATTGTAACGCTCAAGCGTTTTTGACACCAATTAACCCTGGCTGCTTTCTTCTCTTCAGTCAACAGGTGGGGTATCCAACGAGAAACTAATTTTCTTACTCCTATTTGTTCATCTAAATTTTTTTGAATTGAGGTCTTTGAGATCTTCAAGGACGCCTCAATCTCGCGATATGTCACATGTCTATCGTCAATGATGAGTTTGCGCACAGCATCGACGTTTTCCTGGGTGACTGCCGTTTTTGGTGCACCCACACTGGGAGCGTCGCTAAGGCTCACCCGTCCACATTTGAATTCTCCATACCACCGGAAAATTGTCGACTGATGTGGCGCTTCGTTGCCGAAAACAGACAGTAACTCAGCAAGGCATTCTTGTTGCGATAATTGTCTCTGAAAGTTGTAATAAATTATGCCGCGAAAATGTTCTCGGTTGAGTTCCATTTTTCTGATGACTTGGTGACACTTAAAAATTCACTGTAGTGAGAACACTGCACATATTGTTGTGAAACTTTGAATTTAAGTTTACTAAAGAGTGAGGTTAAGATTCAGTACTGACGTTCGATCCGCGCGGCCTACTATGTTTCTATATGCAAAACTTAAAAGACATACCTCGTAGTTCCTATAGTAAAATCGACTCAGATTGGCTTGTACTATCTCCCCCCACCGGCTCCGCATCTATTTTCCCTGTATAGCTTGAAATTTCCAACAATTCAAAAAGAAAACATAGCTTCACAATAGAAGAACGCTGACGCTGATATGGAACAGGAATCTAGAAATACCCCAGCCTTTCTGAAGGAGAGAAAATAATGTGAAAATCAAGGTCATAAAAGCGTCCTAGAATTGTAGGAACGACTGATGATACGGCCCTAATGAAAGGGACAATAGATACAAAAAATGAATGTTACAGAATCTTGTCATGAACATTAAGGGGCAAATTCAGCACGCAGTAAGATGAAAAAGTCCATATAAATGTCATTTCTCAAATCCATATTAATTGTTTTTGAAAAGTGTCCCTTGGGGTTTCTCATGACGGTCATTGATAAAACTGACAGCTCGATAACTATTTTTAATAATGATAAACAGATATAGAGATTTGCAGGTACAAACACCACTAATGTACGCACTTTGGAAAACAGTTCGTTCATGTTAATATGAGCTTTGATAATGCAATGAATCAGCCAATATGTTTGCCCATATGACCATACAGGCTGACCAATATAAATTACAAAGTCAAACATGTTTGATATCATTAAACTGAAGACAAAAGTGCTTCTTGCGTATTTAATAAAACGGAAATTATTGAACATTTTCAGTGCTCAGCTTTACCTGGACCGTTCACCGGATTGTATTTTGGTATACGTCAACGATCTTTGCAGTTCATTATCATGCAACAAGCTTAGGTTTGCTGTTGACCTGAGGATTTACACATCTGTTTCTAGCTGACAAGATTGTGAAAACCTCCAACAACAAATATTTTTCTAGAAATATGGTGTACCAATACTTTTTTGTATTTTACCATCTCTAAATGGCGTATTTTAACCTTCACCCGGATCAAATTTTTAACTTACCCATGCAAAATAAATGTCTATGTTGGAAAGGTGTAAAACTTTCAAATATTTGGAGTATTTCGATTGTCAGCTTAGTGTTAAATACATCACATCAGTGAAGTTAAGGGTCAGTCTCAGATCCCTTTTTTGGGATGGAGTGGACACGAGCAAATTTACAGTTTTCTGTGAAACGAGACGCGGCAGAGCCGGAGCAAGCACCGCTGCACATCTCTTCAATACAATGGCAGGAATCAAGTCCAAACCAGAAGCTCGAGCAACAGCATCCGTCTTACGGCCTTATGCCTGAATGTTACTTCCCGCAAACTGTAGGGAACCCTTTGAATCGTCGGCACTCGGGAGTTGGGAGTGGGTGAGCAGCAAAGATCTTGGCAAGCACTTCCGCATTAGCCTTTGAGTCGGTTACACTCGTTCCATCCTGGCAAGTATGTGGTGGAAGAGGAAGGCTACTCTGTGAGAAGTTCTTTTCAATCTACTTGGTCAGCGTCCAGAAAGACGCTATGTCGAATTTTTATATCGTGCTGGTCTTTGACAATGCGAACTGCTTCGTTATATTTGTGTCTGGACTCGTCGTCGGCTTGTCCGTCTCTGACAGTGGTGGTGTGTTAGAAGGTTCTGTGTATGTACCTTGATCTTCTGCAGACGAGAAGTGTTGCACAATTTGTTGAACCAGCCGTTGGACCCGGATTTAGGCACTTTCAGTGTACGAGGCATGCATTTCTTCATCCCAACGTGGATAATTTCAGTTATTGATGAACAGACAGCCGACGCCGAGGAAAGGTGGAAAAAAGTCCCACTCGGTGTGTCCTTAACGACAAATTTTACGGTCTGGCAGAGTTTCTGTTGCCACAGCCGGTTCTGACCAAAACCTCACCTGCACAACACTGTAGTCTGAGTTACCCAGCGTCAGTGAAACAGACATCTCTCCAAGGAAAGCTAGAGAAGAAGTCTCTGAGCCCCTCCCAGTCGGCATGTCCGTAATGCCAAGTTTTGCGGCCTGTGCGAGTTTCTGCTGCCGCAGCGGCTTCTGACCGAAACCTAACCTCCACAAGACTGTGATCTGAGTTACCCAGAGGGGACAGGACAGCACTGCTGAAAGGGACAGGTTGCGTGCTCAGAAAGAGATACAGCACACTACTGGCGTGTGACGAAACGCTGGAGAAAAAGTAAGGCTCACCTCCAGCTAGGTCAGTCCTTGGGTAATAGCGAACGCTTCAACTGTAGGACCTGTTGCAACGCTCTTCTTTGAGCCCAACCAGAGCTCCTTATGGGCATTTAAATCACCTCAGAGAACTACCTGTGAAGCAGGGTGATTGATGTTCAGGAAGTTTATCTTGACAGCTAGGTATTCAAGTAGGTCATCCCAGTTATGGTCCGAGGGAGAGCGATGAAGGAAGCAAATAAATTTCTGGGATGTTTTGGTGTTGAGGCGAACCCACAGAATGTCCTTCCGGTCTGATTCCAAAGAAACGTGTCTGAAGCAGGAAATACTGCTGGGGAAAAAAGCCACAACTCCCCTGTTTTTTCTCAGATTGGAGTCTACCTCGTAATTTGGAAAGCTAAGATGGTTAATCGGTGCAGAACCTTGTCCTTGAAGCAAATGCTTCAACAGCACAACCTGCTGCAGCAGACTTGTTTGAGCCCAGCCAGAGCCCCTTCCCACTTCAGTTGGCCCACTTCAAGATTTGTACCAAAATATGCCTTTATAAACTGAACATGACGAAACTATTTACTTCTAAAACAATTTATTCTCTCAAAAACATTTTAGATACACTCTAGTTGTAACAAATGCGCGAAGTTAACAAAGCAACAATTGAAAGATTACCATTGGGTAACATCACTTTTATTTTTTATTATGGCTGAAATTCTTTGGGGCATAGTGTTAACCAAGTTTTGGCAAAAATTTGGCGTAAAACCATCCCATATTTCTTGAAGCTTTTGTCTCAGGTCGGTGATTGTACGAGCAGGATGTTGTCGTAGAACCTTTTTCATCTCGTGCCACGAAGTTTCAATAGGTGACAGATCTGGACTGCTAGAAACCCATTTCAAAAGTGGTACATTATTTTCTTCCATCCATTTTATAGCCTTTTTTGAGGTATGGCACGCTGCACCATCTTGCTGAAACATAAAATCTTGGCCGGATGTAAAACATTCTTCCATCACTGGTAAAAGTGATTCTTCTAAAATTGCCAAATATTTGTTTGTATCCACATTTCCATCAATAAAATGAAGTTTTCCTACTACTTTTGATGACATACTGATCCAGACCATAATGGATGCTGGAAATTTCACTTTTCTCTTCAGACAGTCAACATGGAATGCTTATTTTTTTTGCGAATAGCTCGACTGCGACCAACACAAACTTCGAATCGGGCCTCATCACTCCATTGTATTGCACACCATTGTTGAGGTGTCCATTGTCTATGTTCTTTAGCCCAACTAAGCCGATTTTTCTTTTGCAGTGGAGTTAATAGTGGCTTTTCTTTGGCCTATAAACAAGTTGTGCAACTTTAGGGTTTTTACTTCACTTTTTTTATAAGAAAACTTACCTTGCAAGTGCTAAATCCCAGTTTGTGGGCCTCACTATGAGTTGTGGACCTCGAAATTCTCCTTCCAACAGTGTCACTCCACAGAGCACTTAATTGTGAATAATTGGCACGCCGGTTTTTCACGATTATTCTTCTTAATGCTCTTCGGTCGACATTTGTGATATTACTTTTTTTCACATATTGTGGCTTAATATTAACTGACCCGGTTACGTTATATCTTCTAACAATATTTCTCACACTGTACCGCGATAAGTCTAACAAAGTTGCAATTTCTGAGTTTGATTTCCCAGAATTAAAAAATTTAATTATCAGTAACCGAATTTTTTCACTAATAACCTTTCCTCTACCCATTTTGAAAACCTTAACTACCCAAAACTATTTTAAACGTATTCTGACAGCTGTGATTAATAAAAACAATTGTCATGGCTTTTATTTTTCACAGCCACCTATGCATTATAGACTTATTTTGCATTGAAATGAAAATTGGTTGATATGCTGTAATTGCAACATGTGTTATTTTTATGCTGCAAATTTGATTAGGGAGTGATAAAGTTGGTGTTTTCTACTATATACATATTATCAAAATATTCATTTTTATTATTATATTAAAAACTAAGATTTCAAGTTGGGCCAACTGAAGTGGGAAGGGGCTCGTATAGGTTGGTCTCTAAATTGCATGTAGCAAGCACAGCTTCTACATAGTTTTAATACACAGTATTGCTGACCAAGCACACCTGCATTTATATAAGCAGTTTTGCATGATTTGCTGATTCTGTCCTGACAATATTATATAACGTCCTATATAATAGCAATTGAAAAAATTTCTAAAAATATTCTGTCATACCTTTAGAGCAGTTCCTCTGTATATACAAAGTAGACACCTGAGGATCTGAGATGAATTTCTTAATGCATTCTTGGTTGTTTTTATCATCCAAGGCTGCAACCAAGCTAGCAGGCTCAGATTGTGTGTCATCTTCTGGTAGAAGGATTGTAGCTGCTTTCAATATGAAGTTAGTAAAGTCTGTGAAGTTTACAACTGCTACATTTTGTGCAGCTTCGGAAGTTGCATCTGTTGACTCTAGTGAGTCACCCATGATGAGATCTTACTGTAAAGAATGAAGGTAGTTAGGTGTAGTATAGTGAAAATTGACATATTATTTGATATTGTGGATACTTAATTAGCAAAATATGTCTCAAGCTAGAAACACTTATTTGGTTAAATCAAGTGACTGTCAAATACAGCTGCCAAAACATAATAATGATATAATTTCAGCTAGCTACAATACTCAGCTGATGTGGTCCACTGAGACTGACTGTTCAGTACAGTCAGAGACTCATTATTGGGAAGAACACCTTAAATCATAATGAGGTCAAAATGTTTCTCCAGTACTGTCCAACTTTCATGACTAGGCAAATATGCGTGTTTTATATTTGCCATATTGCCACTGCAAAATATCAAAAGACTAATTGGACCCCTATAGTATCTAATTAGACCTCTAAAGATCTAATAGACTATCTAATTTTTAATGAAGCCAAATCCTTGTTTTATAAGAATTAATATTTTTATGTGGTTTATGAAAACATATGGAAGTGGTCATACTTTTCAGCAAACAAAAACTAACCTCACTCATTGTTAGGGTTGATATTTGAAGCCAAAATGGATTAAATATATGAGAGTGTGACTCAACAAAGAACTTGTAATGTCTGAGCATATAAAACACACCACTAATAAGGTAAACAAAGAAATTGCGTCTGTGATTCGGCTAATGCTAACTGAGGCAGACCCCAATAATGATAGGCATATGATCTTGTCTTGGGTGACAATCTCTATTATGGAGTCTCTATGGTAAGGCTTTGCAGCAAAAAAATGTAGGGAGCTAATGTTCAGAAAGATAATACTGTGTGTGATCTGCTCTTATATAATGCTATCCGCAGATGCATTGCTCATGTTGTCCTGCCAATTGATCTGCCTACTGAGGAAAGATGTGCACTGTATAAGAAGGGCACTGGGGCCAAAGATAGTGAAAGAGAGGCGCTATTTGTCAGATGAAAAAAGAGATGCTTTGCAGCTGCATAATCATGGTGCACAGACTAGAAGACTGACTCCAGATATTAGGACCTGGATTCACAAGAGATTGGTTGTTTAGACAGCTACCTAAAGAAGACATTACTCCTACTCATCTACTCGAGTCTAGTAAATAAGGGCAAATGGGTTGACATTCAACCAATGGTGAGGTGAATGATGCTGAACAAAGCACAGTACTATAATAAAAACAGGCTAAGGAACCAGTAATCATTTCAGTTTCTACTTGCTGGCTTGTACATATACATACGTATGAAAGTATATGTATGACAATGAGAATAAACTGAATAATAATACCTTTAGTATAAATATTAAACACAAGCTACTGCAAGCATTATCATGAGATGTGCAGTGAAAGAATGAGGGCATTTAGCAAGTATGCTGCATCTCACATTGTCAGGTGAAAAAGCTAACATTTCAGTGCTGTCAAGCTTTTTTTGCCTGAGGGTGGCTATAAAAGATTTCTACTGTCAAAAAAAAATTTATTCAACTAATAGTTACATATGCAATTACCAAATAATAATTATGGAACCAATTATTATTCTGCTGATCACTTATATTTTTGTAATGAGGGTAACAATTATGGATTATTTTACCAATCTTATGAGCACTGAACTTGGTTTTAGAAGCATATTAAATGTTTTATTCTTAGCTCTTCGAAGAATCTTTTGTATAACTACTGCTGAGCTCCTTGGAAGAACAACTGAAGGTTACATTTTTCCTCAGAGATTTATAGGGCCACCATCATAAGTAAAATTACTTAACATGTTAAATGCCATGGCGGTCCCATGGGACCGCTTGATAACAGGCTGCTTTGTATTTAATTTCCTACTAAATCTACACAACAACTTTGACTAAAACAAACAAAAATACAATGAAAATGCATACTTATATATATATATATATATATATATATATATATATATAAGTTATGATATAGGAATACAAAATATAAGATAATTTTATATATTTATGACTTGTTCTGAAATAGTCAAGGCAAAAGTAGGGATTTCCTTCACAACTGTCACAAGTAGTAACTTTTGGAATTTTATTTTTTGGTATTTCACCCCTTATTTTTCATTCTACCATCCTTTACAATACCATCAGACTTCATGTGATTTTCCTTCCTTTTTTCAGTACATGTTGTTCCTAACTTGTGTCAGGTTTTGAGGTACACAGTAGATTAGACACATTATTTGTTGGAAACATAACTTTGGGCTTTGGCCTGATGGACATTTTTCTAACATTTTGCTTGGTGTTTAACATGTTAATACTTATGATGATATGTAATCGACTGACAAGGTTTAGCAAATGTGTAGGTTTCATAAGGAAGAAGAGAGATACTCCCAGTATGTGTTACTGTTTTTTTAATGCCCATAGCAAACAAGTTTTGACCACAATCAGTGTACTTCATCTAGATGGATAAACCTTTAAAGGGCACATAAAGGCACTATAGTTCCATTATGCATGTAGGCATTTTTTTATTCTTTAATGGTTTCGATAACCATTCCACAACAAATGTTAGTAATACTTTTTAATGATGTTTCAACCACCATGGCAGCCTTTTTCAAGAATCATCATTAAAAAGGCTTACAAGCATATGTTGTTTAATTTAGTGGCCAAACAATGGAGTCTTATCAACATAAATGCCACAAGATAAGTTTAAAATGATACATTAATTTCACAAGTCTTGTAAGGCTTCCTAGATAACTTGCTTATGGGAATAACTAGGTCTAGCTATACCAGTAGGATTGTTCATATTATAGTACTTAGTTATAGAATGAGAATATCACATACATTATTTATTTATGACAAATATCAAAGATCTTTTGTATTCCAAGCAAAACTACAAGTTCTTTTAATGCAAAAAAAAACTGGTTATCAGCTAAGTAGTTTGAAGAAAGGTAAAACACAAAACATATAGATCTTGTTGTACTTCTTTGCAGTTTTTATGTTGATTCCTCCAACTCTTCTGTATGGTTTACGATAGGGATGCCTTTTCAATTGAGATAAACGCGCTGATAATAGTAAGATTCAGGAACTACAGAGGTTGTATTGATTTAACTCAGATGTATTGAACTATTCATATTTACATATAAATCAATTTATTTATGCAGTTGCAGTTATAAGTGACTCACCTCGTCTTCCACAAAAGTTGTACTCTTGCAGAAGAAAAAATGTAATGATAAACTGCAATTATAGAAGAAACTTAAACTACATCTACAAATCTCGCAAAACGTTTATCTCTCCAGCTATTTTTTTTTTGCCACAAGCCACAAGCAAAAACCGAACGCGATTTTTTATTTTCCGATTTGGCATAGAACTCAAGTTTTTAGACACGTTTCGACGTTTCAGATCCCAAGTTGTCATTGTTTGACAGGATGTTTCATAAAACGTAAAAATTGTTGATGGAGATGGGACGGATCCATGATGAATATTCGATAAAAATCTGTCAGCGTCAGCTGCAAACTGTCAACGTTGACTGATTTTACTTCACTCCTCGCTCGAATGGTCACTGTCACTAACTGAGAAACTGACACTGACTGACTTGGGAGTATTTCCATCTTGCAGCCTCTTCTATTGGGTTTTTGTTAAATAGTGTGATTTTTTTAACATACGTGTCGCTGCTATTATCAGAGGATCTATTTTTTGAGTCCACTGCTTTCAGTGTGAAAACTAACTTGTGGTCAGTGTTGAAAATATCTTGAAAAGTGCACAGTCCATCAATTTACTGAACATGGTAAGAGAATAAGCTGTTAGCTATATTTGCGCTAATTAATGTTTTTTCTAGTCGATTCAAGAAAAACTAACAGCTCTTATGGCTAGGCCTGGTCAGGACCCTGTAGGAAAAGATGATGTTGCCTGGTGGTTGAAATTTGGTGGAAGAGCACTAGGGACTGTTGGAGGATTTGGTTTGTAGATTTCAATTCAAATTGCCAGACTCAAGAGTCTCATATGTCGATTTAGATGACAGTGTCCTGTTAGGAGACCTACTATGGCCCTTATGGCCTTCCTTTTGAGTCCCAAGTAGGTCCTCTGTAGAAACAGACCTTCAGTCTTTGATGAACTCATGCCTGCCTTTGCCCACATTAGCTGTTCCACCATTCTGGGGACTTTTTCTTGGTCCAATTTTGGATGAACTGTTTGGTGTGTGTTCTTCACTCTATAGGCTCTGGGCTTATGAGGTGATTCTCTGCACCAGGTTGGGCTAGATCATCCACCTTTTCATTTCCTTTGTGCACTGCATGTCCTGATACCCAGGGCAATGTTACCTTGTTTCGGTTTCCCAGCCCTTTGAGAGTGTTCACGTAATCCCATAGTAGTTTAGAAGATATTTATGGCCTCCTGGCTGTCCGAGCAGATGGTGATCAACAAATTTCCAGTCTCATTGCTTATTAGCTCTTTTGCATAGACTTGTATGGCCATGACTGCAGCCTGAAATATTGTTGCAATACTGCCTAGACTTATAGAGATCTCAGTTTTTGGCCTTGCACCATAAATCCCAGCTCCAGCTCCGTCTTTAGTTTTTGAGCAGTTTGTGCCAGTAGCTTTTTGCAAGTATATGAGGGCCCTTCTTCCACGCCTTCCATTCTGGTACTATCGTTTGTTAGCTTTTATCGAAAGTGTACACTAGAACAGTTATGTCTGTGGGCATTACCAATATAGGATATGCCTTCAACTCCACATGAAGTTTTTGATGGTTTTTCCATGCTGCTGGTGGTAGGTGGTAGGTCAAGAAGGACCTTCAATACTGAAAACTGTAGTGGGAGTGGTATGAATGGCCCCTGTGGCACTCAAGCATGCTAGCCTCTGTACGCCACTTAATAGCCTCACCGCTGATGACTGTGTAGTCTTTGTCCGCCATGTCACTGATCCATAGGTTATCATGGGTCTCACCACCCTCATGTATAACCACATGATCATTTTTGAGTTTAACCCCCAATTTCTCCCGCACATCTGCCTACACCTTCTTAGGGCTATTGTAGCTTTCTGTGCTGTTCTGTTGACATAAGAGTCCCATGTTATTCTTTGTCAAAAGTGACTCTAAGATATTTTGCCACACTAGCATAAGCGATCGCTACACTATGCAGGGTTAGTGGCGTGAGGCATTCTAGATCGCGCCTTCGTGTAAAACTGGCGACTGTTGTCTTGTGCGGATTTAAAGCTAGACTTTCCATCCTGCACCACCTGTCGACAGTAATAATGGCCCTTTGGAAGCATTTGGAAATTGTCCTTGTCGGTCTTCGCAGTACATTCTTGAAGAAGTGTATCTACCAGGACTGCCCCTAGCAGGGATCCTCCCTGAGGACATCCCAGCACCACCTTAGCTTCAATGGTGGTATCCCCTGTTACTGATGTTATAGTCCTATTTTTCAGGTTAGCCTCTATCCATTGGCATAGCGTGGCTGGAACCCCTTCTATATCTAGACAGGTTGCTACTGCTATCTCTGTTATCTATTGCCTTAGCAGCCTGCATAAATAATCCAGAGCCAAATCATTTGATTTCCCTGGTTGATATGCATATTGATGGCTACTGAGTGGGTCCACATCCACTGCTTCGTCCCTTACGTACTTATCCACCACCAATCTCTCCAACATTTTGAGCAGAAATGATGTCATGCTTATATGATTTGGCCGTTAAGTTGGATACCCCGCACACATAATAATATGTCAAATCACTTATAGTGATTAGAAAATCTAGTCATAATAGTATGTATGATAACATATTTTTCTTTTTGCCATGGCTTATTCTTCATGTAAATTAATGAATGATGACCTAGATTGTTATTAGAGAATGGTAATACTTTAATTAATGGCCAATATCTTAAATAATTACCAACATTTTGTATAAATTGGCAGAATCTAATTGATTTTATTATATAGTGATGATTATAAAAAAAATGGTGTTCCAGTCACCTTCCTGACATAAAATAGATCACATACAGTTCTTTTCATGGTTTTTAGTGGGTCACAGTAATTTGCAAGAGCTACTTTCATACTTCTGTCTCTCTCGCACATACATATGAAATCTGCCTGTATGCACGGATGATTGTTTCTGTGGCTGTAGTCTGTGTTTATATTGGAGTATTTTCAGAAAGTAAATGATAACAACAGTCCTCTCATCACCCAATTCATGTGTGTGTGTGCAAGAGTGAGTATCAACTGGTTTAAGGATTGCATTACACCACAATTTTCCATAGGAAAATTAAGCTTCACACATGCTACATTTAGTCATGCTTTTTACTTATTTTGGATTACATAAGGGCCAAAAACTGTGAAAAGACCTGTATGTTATGACTTATGACAGATTTATAGAAAATAACGGCATATAAAATTATTTTTATACAAATCAAGCTGAAAAGATTTTAGAATCTCATAATAATAATATATGAAGGAATAGTTTAGTCCTAAGTACTTTGAGCCTTAATACTATACTACAAATAATGAGTACATTTTGTTGGAGTTCATCTGAAGTAGTAATAAAATGCCTTTTACAAGAAGCACTTTGTACACTTTGAAAATGGTGTTCATTACAATAAAAAGAATGACACATTAGTCCAGTTGAATAGCCGAAACTGCCGCAAAAGTGATAACATAGCCACAAAGTTATTTCCGCTGGCGTAATGGTGTAATAAATCCTTGCGAATATTGTTGTATGAATTTGGTTTTCCGGAAACCAGCCGTAAATTTTTCAAACTTTTGGGCCATCAAAAAAGGTCTTTGCAAATGTTTTGCTAGAATGCGTAGTTTTCGCGCTACAGCTTGTTGATAGTTTATGGGTGAGGGGCTTGCGGGAACCAGGGCAGGTGTATACTTTATCTGAAGTCACTTGAAACACTGTGAAATACCGGGTGCGTTTTATATATCTATATTTAACACGCTCTGATGCTGCAAAAATCGCCAAATTTCGCAGCAAATATCCCCCGTATAAGAGGTCAAAGGTAGTTTCACCGGTCCACGTGGAGTAAAGCACGCCTATGCGTGGACATAGCCAATGACAAAGCGTGTATTTCAGAGCTCGGAACAAGTGCAGGTGGCTACTGAAAATTGAAGCAGTTTAGCCAGTGCCGTGTAGCGGTGAATAAACGTGTTTTCTTTAGTCTGTCCGTGTTTTTTCATAGATTTTATTAGTTTGTGTGTTTTTGACTTTTGAATACTCAGTTTACTTGTTGATTTAATTGTTGTGTTGATTGTTCTTGTGTGTCCTAAATATGGCTCTTTGGAGACCTTGGGAAAATGCTCCAAGCCACGAGGAGATGGTTGATGAACCTGTGCAGGCAGAATTCTTTAATAAAGATTTAGAGGAACAGACCCAAAGAGTAATCCTAAATATGTATGATTGTCTGAAAAACGAAAATCCAGATTCCTCGCAAAATCAAATTTTAAACAGAATTTGTATCCTGACAAAAATCAGTCGGTCTACCATTTATCGGGTTATAAAAAGGGGAGATGTAGTCAACCATTCCTTCCACAGAAAGCGCAAAGGCAAAAATTAAAAAGAATAGACGTGGGTTTTCAGGAAGATATTCGTCGTATAATATACGGATTTTATAAAGAAAATTTGGTGCCCACGTTGGAAATGATACGGGATAAATTAAAAGATTATCCTGAAGATTTTTATAATTACAAATGCTTAGACTCACTGCACTGTATTGTAAAACTGTGTGGTTTTCAATACAAGAAATTAGATAAAAGAATCGTTGAATTGCGCCAAGAATTTTTGCACAAAGTTAAAATCTATAGAGAGCAGAAAAGAAACCTGATTTACCTGGATGAAACGTGGTATGATACCCATGATGTTGTGCAGTACGGCTGGGTTGACGACAGCAACAAGTGCATTTTAAATGCACCATGCAACCGTGGAAAACGAATCATTATTCTCCATGCTGGCAGTGAAAATGGATTTATACCTAATGCCTTGCTGTTATCTGCCAAAAATATCAAAGAATCATGTGCCGACTATCATGAGGACATGACCTCCGACTTATTTGAAAAGTGGATAGAGCAGCAGTTAATACCAGACATTTCCCCAAATTCAGTGATTATTATGGACAATGCGCCATACCATTCCCGACAGAAAAACAAAATTCCGAATACAGGCACAAAAAACAAGACATTATTGATTTTATGAAGGATAAGGGAATGGAAATACCACAAAAATCAACCAAAGCCATATTATTGGATCTTATTAAAAGACAAAAATTTGAAAAAGAGTATGTTGTTGACAATCTGCTTCAGCAAAATGGCCATGAAGTATTACGTCTACCTCCCTATTACTGCATTTTTAACCCGATTGAGTTGGTCTGGGCTGCTTTAAAAAAAAAGTAAGAAAACATAATCAGACCCCTGAATTAAGTGAATCGCTATTGGCCACAATAAGAGATGCAGTATCTCATATTGCTGCCACAGACCTATGGAAGCAGTGTTCTAGGCATATTATTGAAAAAGAAAATGAATATTGTGTTTTGCCTCCTGTAAATCCCGTTGTAATCCCTCTACAAGATGACTCTAGCGACAGCTCCGAAGGCGAGGATGATATATAAATACATACCTATAATGTAAGTCTTTATATACCTAGCTGCTATGTAAATATTTGCCTATGTCAAACGTTGGAATTCTGTAATTTTTCCATTTCTTAACTTTCAGTCAACATAAATTAAACTCCCAATATAAGTATTTTTTATCCCAAATCAAAAACATAAGAAGATAGTAAAATCCATTTATTGTGATATAAAAACATTATTATTATCGTTCTAAATAAATGCCGCACGCCTATGATACGTCATGAAATTACAAAGGACGCGCCGACCAAAGGTTTTTATGCTATTTCAAGTGACTTCAGATACACCATACCTGCATTCCTGTATACCACCAAACTGCCGCCGCACCGTCCAATCCACGCGTTGACGACGAAGACGATCTCTTACTACATGGTGGGGGTTATTTAGTAATAGTCCAGTTGAATTTCGAACCCTGAGCTCGCTTGTCAGTTTGGTGTTCACCGACTTTTCCGAATGAACTAATTTTAGAATTGAAGTTAAATATTTTTTCCGTATATTTCATTGGAGACAAGAAATTATTGACAAACCATTTAGCGGAAGATGCATCAATTTTGTGTATTTTCGATTATGATAGGATGACAATTTTTTTATTATTATGTTTCTGTTCAATTAACTCAACTCTGAAATGTACACACTCATACTTATAGTCCTTCCATTATCAATAATTGGAAACGCAAAAAATCCCTCAGCTGCACAAAAAAGGTGCGAACTCCTGTGCAGATAAGTTGTACAGCAGAGCATACTGCCGTGTCTACACGTCAAGATAAGGTACACCGATACATTGAGACTAGGACTATTGGTTGCCACAGCGAGTTTGCAGAGAAGATATCGTCAAATGCTCATCACCATCTATTCTTTAGATATTTGCGTTGGCGTATGTTAGCCTAGCGTATAGACGCGGCTCAAGAACTGCTAAATCTCTTATCATGGTCGTAGACCAAGAACTACCGGTGATCAAACTGATTTGCGAGGATGATTATGAAAATAACGTGGAGCCTCGAAAACGAGTATTTTGATGACTCATTGGACTTCTACATCCTGTAATGTATTCTTATCATAGACTCATTTATATAAACGTCTACACCTTTTTTGCAGCTCTAGGTTTTTTGTCGTTGTTCCAATTATAAATGAAAATACTATACCTCACTTATCCAGTCAATCGGTAAGCGGCTGAAGAGAAATTACTGCATCTTGTACTCTACTTAAACGCATAAATTTCAAAAATTCATTAATATGCATACGTCGGTATTATTCGAAATCGAGTGGCCTATCACTGCGAGTGAGACACTGAGGACGTCGAAATATTAAAAGAGGATCGTCCGCGTCAACGGAGCGGCGGCTGGTGATACGAGTACGCGCGCCCTTGTCCCGCAAGCCCCTCACCCTTAAACTATCAGCAAGCTTTAGCGCGAAAACTAAGCAATTTAGCAAACAATTTGCAGAGACCTTTTTTGATGGCCCATAAATTTTGGGTTTTTCGCTGTTTTACAATAAAACGGCTGGTTTCCGGAAAACCAAACTCTTACGACAATATTCGCAAGACTTTATTACACCGTAACGCCAGCGGACATAATTTTGTGGATATATTATCACTTTTGCGGCAGTTTCGGCTATTTAACTGGACTATGTAGGAACATGTTATATAATTTGGCTACATTAGAATAAAAGATTCTTTGAATCACAAATGCATTATTTCATGATTTCCAATATATGATGCTTAAATTCTGAATATCATATTTATTCGTTTTTCCAGCTGCAATGTTTTTGGGAGTATTTGTTGTGATATCATTCTCGCCCTTAAACATTGTTGGTGGTCTGCTACAGATTGTAGCTGGCTTCATTGTTCTTTGCTGTGAGGCACCTTGTTGTTGTATGTTTGTTGATAATGTACAACGGCTGGCAGATTTTGTGGACAGCAGGCCTTATTGGAACAGAGCAGCTGCATATGTTGTGTAAGTACTTTGTACTTGTGTTTTTTTTATACTTGAAGCACCATAAATGCCTAATATCTAAATTTCTGTGGGTACTATGGGACTATAGGGAGACACAGGGGAAAAGGGGAGACGTCACACGGACTCTGAATCATACCCAAATTAAATGGTAATGATTATTTTGGATAATAATTTTCCTGTATATTACAGGTTAGCTTTGGTGCCGTTCTTCTTAAGCTTCTTCACTCTATCAGCCTTCTTTGGATGTGGTTTGATATTTGGAACTGGAATCCTTTATGGAATGATGGCATTGGGTAAAAAGTAAGTGGAAAACCATTCTATTCCCTCAATAAAATCAGCTATAATTAAACACTTTTTTTATCTGTTTTAATCAAGAATTGGTGTAGGAACCGCTTTTACGTGTTTTGTTTACAAACATTTAAAAATTGTATTGAAAATAATTGTGTAAATATAATAATGCAGAGGTAGCAGAGAAGACATGGCAACTGTGGCTTCCCCGCAAATGGCTACAACACCGACTGGTGTAGCACAAAATGACCATCGCACAACTCTAATGGAGGATCCTGACGTTTGGCGTCCGACGTAAAGAATTAATGTAAAGATCTCTGTTATGTTCAGCATGTATATAGTTTCCCCTCGTAAAGTATTATGCACTTTGATGGTATCTTATATCATTGATTAATGTATTCCCCAAAAAGGTGCCCAACTAAATGCTGTATTTAGACATTTACATATAATTTCCTTCACCTCAACCATGTTGCCAACTAGGATCTCAGGAAATCCGTTAGAAGCAATAAACAGCAGACTTTATTTTCCTTTGAAAGGAAATAATCTCTTAAAAATGGCTTACACTTTTCAAAAAAAGGTCATACCTAAATCCCCCATATGATTATATCCTAAGATTTCATATTCTAAGAATGTCTCAATGATGGAAAAGAAAATCGCATAACCTGAGGCAACAGTCGGTTATTTAATATTTCACGAGTATCTATCATGCTTGGACGTCTTCTGAGGTGAACAGCTGATCAGCAAGTGACATTTTTGTGTTACTCTGCAACTTTGGCAATAATCTGGTATAAATCTAGTGAAACTTGTTTGTGGCCTTTTGTTTTTTTTTAAACAAAATACGGCTCTGACTACCTGACGTTGACGGATCCGTCAGAATTATGTGTCCTGGGTCGAAATCAGGAATTTTGGGATATTACTAGATAATCATCTGTCATTCTACCGTGTTAGATACTCGTGAAATAGCGTATAGTTACATCGTTGACGGTGGTTGACAGGCATATAGTTGTAAACAAAGCATAAGTGGTTAGCGACGATACGGAACATATACTTATTTTTACGCAGGCGCGCCCTCCAGCTGGGTTGGGTATCTTCTGGAGGAATATGGTAATTATTGCTTATATTGAAAGCACTGCTTGTTGTCATAGCAGGCTGTTGCTATAGCATATATACAAATTGCAGCTAAGTAATTTGAAGTATTCAAACTGGAGATTTCCTTAGGTATTTTTATGACGGACTAGATAATTTTCAAGATGAAGAGTTCCAGTACTATAGTTTCATGAAGTCAACTGAGGAATCATCCCATTGAATAATCATTTCATGTATCCAGTCCAGATGACGTCAATACATGGTACAAACTTCATTCAATTCATAAAAATGTACTCATGTTGAAAATAAACGCAACAAGCAAAATTCTGGTCAAATTCGGCACGTCGTAACTTTTTTACTTTTACCTCGATTTTATTGATTTTTTAGGCAGACGGTAGGTACACTCATTGCAATTAATGTGTTAATATGAGTTCTTGATTGTAGCCACGGTTTGACTTGTTGTACAGGGTAAATCAAAATTATGTTGCATGACTCCAACTTTGAGCCACTCTGTGGTGTGAATCCGGTTGTCAATCCAAACCACAATGCTTCCCGTTATCAAGAACCACATTTTATCTATAATCTATTTATTTATTTACGTCAATATATACAGTGGTTGAAGTTTTAGAGGCAAATGGTCATTTTGCCACCAATTTTCCTTCTTTCTTAACGTTTTTTTATTCATGTACGGATTTAAAAAGTTAAATAGTTTTTCACCAAATTGTACAGAAATCTATTGCCTTTCTGAGTTGGGTTCATATTTTTTTGAATCGTCTTTGATTTCGTTTGTTGGAAATGGAAACTTCTGACTTAATTTAAGAACACGCTAGATAATAATTTCACGCTCTGTCCTTTTGAAATACACGGTCAGGGCAAAAAACATATCTCTTTGAAATTTCGAGTGTCTGAAAATTCTGGCTGGATTGTCCTTTTTTAGCAAAATCAATGTAACAACAATTCACAAATTTTGATGTATATATAGATAGGCGCCTTCTAGTCGGTCTCGAGGTGGGGCAGTGCTCCTAGATAATATTTCCTTCATTGTATGTGAGGGAGCATGATTTATGCATATTTTGTATTATACAGAGCGACTTATTTTCAAATTGCATACTGAAGGTGATTGATAACCAACCTGTAACATATTTAGATAAACGCAATCAGAACAGGGCAGTAGGATATACCGCTGTCCTATGACCTTCCCGAGGTGTATTGCATCCTGTAGTGAAAACACAAGTATTCGCCAAAGGTCGGCTGCAGTACTGTTCCTGTGCAATAAAGCTACTGATCCACATTTTCTCGGACGATACCACTATGCATGTGGGCATTCAGAATGTCAAACCGATCTGTGGAGAGTTGGGGAGATGGACACTGGTATCGATACAATTCTGAGTTCCTCTTTGACATAAGACACGAAGATTATATTATCACTGATGTGTTCTTTTCGAAGCACTTATTCCACTCGTTTGCTGGCATATCCAAAATGGCATTTTTGAATGCGTCAACTGCTTCTTCTGGTGACTGGAACCTTTGACCACGCAGTCTGTTTTTAATTTTCGGGAAAGTGAAGAAATCGTTAGGACTTAGATCAGGACTGTATGGAGGATGGTCCAATAATTCCACGTTTTTTTCCGTTAAATACTGCCTTGTTTTTTGGGCTGTATGCGAGCTTGCATTGTCTTGGTGGAGGATGATTTTTCGAAGCTCGGTGATGGCTATTGGCAAACAAATGGTGGTATACCAATCCGCAGTAACAGTTCTTTGCTCATAAAGAGGAATTGTTGCAATATGACCCGTTTTTGATACAAATGCCGCGACTATCTTTTTCGAAACACTTCGAGAACGGATGACTTTTGTTGGCTTTTCTTCACCTTGGAACATCCAAACAGCCGACTGTCATTTATTTTCTGGTTCTTAACAGTAAATCCACGATTAATCACCACTAACAATGCTGTACACATTTTTTGAGTTTCCGGAATTGAAACGGTCAAGCGTTTTTTAACACCAATTAACCCAGGCTGCTTTCTGCTCTTCAGTCAACAGGTGGGGTATCCAACGAGAAACTAATTTTCTTACTCCGAATTCTTTATGTAAAATTTTGTCAATTTAGGTCTTTGAGATCTTCAAGGACGCCTCTGTCTCGCGATATGTCACATGTCTGTCTTCAATGATGAGTTTGCGCACAGCATCGACGTTTTCCTGGGTGACTGCCGTTTTTGGTGCACCCACCCTGGGATCGTCGCTAAGACTCACCTGTCCACGTTTGAATTCTCCATACCAACGGGAAATTATCGACTGATGTGGCGCTTCGTTGCCGAAAACAGACAGTAACTCAGCAAGGCATTCTTGTTGCGATAATTGTCTCTGAAAGTTGTAATAAATTATGGTGCGAAAATGTTCTTGGTTGAGTTCCATTTTTCTAATGACTTGGTGACACTTAAAAATTCACTGTAGTGAGAACATTGCACATATTGTTGTGAAACTTTGAATTTAAGTTTACTAAAGAGTGAGGTTAAGATTCAGTACTGACGTTCGATCCGCGCGGCGGACTATGTTTCTATATGCAAAACTTAAAAGACATCTCTCGTATACAACTCTATAGCACGAACACGTCTCCTCAATCGAGGTGATGCTCGGCGTGCAGTGGGATATTTCCGCTCTGAATTCACAGGCCATACTCAACGCTTGACTGAATAGCGCTGAGTATGGACGTGTAGTCAGAGAGGAAACATCCCAGATACTACACGGTGACTTGTACAGAATGAGAAAGACATTTCATATACGAATATCACAAGCTTTTTCCAAGCTGCTGCCTCGATTGGGGAGACGTGGTCCTGCAAGTTATATTCTCGAGGACGCCTCTTCTTGGTTAAAATACAGTACTGTGCCTGAGAAGTCACAAAACTGTTGCATTAACAAGCATATAAGTGATAACCTTCGCGTTTTAGGTCAAAGAGGAAGTCACTATTGCATCGCTTCCAGTCTTCTTCTCCAACACTCCACGGCTCATTTTGACTTTCAGAATGCCCGCATGCAAAGTCCTGTCGTGAGGATGTGGATCAGCAGCTTTTCCTAACAGAAACACTTGGAGTCGAACTTGGCGAATACGCGTGATGCCACTATGGGATGCAAAAAGCACCTCAGAAAGGTCACAGGATAGCGGTACATTATATTGTACTCTTCTGGTTGCATTTATTATCTGCTCCATCCGAGACCAACGAGAAGGCTCCTATCTGAAGAGTATAATACTAAAAATTTGTGAATTGTCTTACATTTATTCTGTTCCAAACGGACAATAATTTTCATGAAGCCAAATTTGTCACTGCATTTCAGAAGGTTAGAGCGTGAAATTGTTATACAGCATGCTCTTAAATTAAGTCAAATTTTTTATTTTCTTCGCCACTGTAGATAAACGGTATCAGCGACGACTTTAAAAAAATGTGAACCTAACGCAGAAAGGTAATTGCAATTTTGTGAAAAGTTTTTGAACTCATACGGGAATTAAAAAAGTTATGAGATGAAGAATGAACATTGGCGGTAAAATGTCCATTTGCCTCCAATACTCCAACCACTGTATATATTGACGTGAATAAAAAAACAGATAGAGAAAATGCGGCTCTTGATAATGGAAAGCATTGCAGTCTGATTGGCAGCTGGATTCACATCACAGAGTGGCTCAAAGTTGGAGTAATGAAACATCATTTTGATTTACCCTGTACAACAAGTCAAACCATGGCTACAATTACGAACTCACATCTACAAATTAATACCGATGAGTGTACCTACCGCCTGCCGAAAAAAAACTATTAAATCGAGGGAAAAGCAATAAAGTTATGACGTTCCGAATTTGACCAAAATCGTACTTGTTGCGTTTGTTCTGAACCTGAGCGGATTTCGAGATAATTCAGACCTCAAGAGGAACATATTACCGTGCTGTAGAAGATTATGTGTATGCTGAAACATCACTACGTGTATGTCTAGCTATTTAGGGAATTGCTATAGATTTAAAAAGTAACTGAAGCTACTTTTCCTTGACCAAAGCATAGCGAATTCACAATTTACAACTAAAAAGAGCTTGTGGGTGACTTGTTAATAGTAACTGTGGTCGTTAGTTTCTTCTCATTCACTAAATCGTGTAATGCTGACCATTATGCTCTATGGAACTAAAAATGAATCCTATAACTTGAGATACGACTGAACGAATTGTAAGAACTTAAAGCCTGA